AGAGCGCGGCCGAGCCCCTCTGTGCACGTGCGTGAGTCCCGGTGTGAGACCCTCACACGCATGTTTGGCGCAACGCATTATGGGAGATCATCCACTGCGCAGAACCGGGAGGACCAGACGATGCCCAAATACAGGCCAGTTTCCCATGGATCTTTGCGAGTTTCCCATGGAACTTTGCGAGCTCCAGGCGACTTCCGCTAATCTTTTCAGCACCCATGCCGGCACAAAGCGCCACTGAGCACAACCATTCATTTGAATACGACGCCATCTTGGATCGCCGGGGCTTGGCCTGAGCACGGTTGAGAGAGGTGGGCCAGGGCACGCTTCTAAAGCCCAGATCAAGAGGGTCAGTGTGGCGGGTGGTGGGGAGAGGGGGATGAGGTGTGGTATGGGACTTGAAATTGTAGTAAGTAAGTAAGTAAGTAAGTATTTATATACCGCCTTTTCACTGCAGATCTGAGTCTCAAAGCGGTTTACAATTGTTAATTTTTGGGCATTTGTCTCTCACTCCACACAGAGATGGGAGCGCGGTCGCCAGTACAGGAGGCGCATGCTAGAACTATTGGACATATTTTTAGTGGTAGGGGAAACCGGAGTACCCGGAGGAAACCTACGCAGACACGGGGAGAACATGTAAACTCCACTCAGAAAGGCCCTGGTCCGACCGGGATTCGAACCCAGGACCTTCTTGCTGAGAGGCGAGAGTGCTATCCACTCAGCCACCGTGCCGCCCGGTGCGTCACATTAAGTCTTCCGTTGTGACGCGCATTTTCACACACGTCTCACTGCACTTTCGTTTCCTCCACTTGTGTTAAACCTTTCATGCAAACAACACGATCAATGCTCGAGCTGAGAGCAGAATATAAATGGGAAGAGAAACGGAAACATAACTCTTGACAACGATGTAGTCGCTGAAGTTGGTATTAGCGCCACCAGCTGGACCAAGCGTTGTACTACAGCACAGTTGCACGGTAGGGAGAACAAGACCTTGTGACCGCGGGCCGTTTTCACACTCCTGTGGCGACGATCCGGGCCACTTTGCCTAGTTTGATTGTAAAAACCTATGTGACCGTGCCCTTTATAGATTGAAGTTGAGGGGAAGTTCACCTGTGCAGCTGTCCGGATGCGTCTCCCTTCCGGGTGTGACGGAGATAAGCGCATGTGGCTTGTATGCCGAGGCCGTTCTCATGAATGGGAGCGCAGAGAATTGACCATATGAAACATTTTATTTTAACACAGAAACAATTTCTAATGTTTTGACCCTGCGGCTGATCTAGCAATCAGGCCAATATGTGTATGGACTTATAATTTTGAACATGCATTTATTGTCAAAATAGATTTGTGACTTTGTCATAAGGACATGCTCTCAAGTTTAAACAAACTACAAAATCCACACACAGGAGCAGGCACTGCACCATTCCTGATGCAGAATGACACCTCACAGGTTGAGTACTGTCATCTCTAATTTAGTTCTGCTAATGTTCCATACAGTTGGGGTTTAAGAGTGGTCTTCTCTTGGTGTTCGCATACCTGGACAGTAAAGTATTCTAGTTTACGCCCCTGGCTCATTTTTGTATAGAATCAGAGTAAGATAAGATTGGAGCTGCCTGGAGTGAGGAACAATCACAATTTCCTTTCAAACATCTTCATCTCCTTCCAGCACTGCCCCATAGTATTGTGAACAGTGACTAAACATTAAGCCCATATAAAAGTAATCATCATAATCAATTGCATTTACTAGTAAACCCATGCTGCTACTGTAAAGCATGGATATCAAAGGCAAGCAATCTAAAAATAAACCAATAAACTCCATTATTACATTGAATTTCAAATGTGATCTGACATTATAGTTAATGTAGTACTTTTATGTGACACAAGTTCAAAAATCATGCATTCTTGGACTTGGACTAGGGCCTCTGGAGGTGTGTCTTTGTTGATCAAACCAAGGAGTGGCTGAACTTATCAGAGGAAATATAGTGTCCCTTATCACACATGGTTGCCCTCACTGCCCTTTTTCTGCAACACTGTCCCAGGCCTATCTGTGTTTTTCTTTGTAACTAGATGGTGCCCCCATTACCTAAATGTAACTCGTCTTAATACATTCAGAGCCAAAAACTTACTGTCTTGACTCTTGTGGTGGTAGTGGTAGTAGTCTACATTTATCTCTAAATGAGATCCACTGCTAGCCTACCTTGAGCTGCGTGTTGCATTAATATAGTTTACTCGAGCTACATACCTTTTCATCTTTGCTGTGAGTAATTATCAGTGTGCAGAGACTATGTTGAACATTGCCCACGATGCTTCAATCAATTGTGACTCATGAGTTGCGGAAGTTAGACGGCCGTAAATTACACACTGGGTTAAAATACATTCACAAGACTCCGTTCATGTGCTCGCTCATTTTGTGATACAGTTGTTGGGGCCACTTTGAAGCTGTACATTTATCCTTTTTCTATTTTTGTTTTCCTTGTTTGACAAAAGACTAGTATTAAGTAATAGTATCATTTAAAGATTAGTAAGACTAATCTTTAAATGATAATTTATACGTAAGGTTTCTGACCTGAAAATGTTTCTGGAATTTCACTTTCACTAGTTGAAAATTTTATAACAATTGAACGTAACTGAAAGTTATAGTTGAACAAAAATGTAGCCTCTTATTAGTTCAATATGAAATTTAAATGTGATTACTTAATCTGCATTTTCTGAAATGTACAAGCTTTTCCAGTAGTATTATAGTTGATTTTGTACATTCCTGGACTGGAGCTGTCCATACTGAACAATAACTTATGAAAAAATACGGCTAATCATTCTCAATGTTTGTCCCCCTGAAAAAGTGCATTCAGATATCATACTGGCTAGGTAGGGACAGCAAAAGATGGCTTGTTGTTGATATTTTTCACTCACCTGAGTGAAAAATACCTATCTGAGTTCCGCAGATATCTGGTATGTTTTTATTTAAACTGTTGTTAGGAAAATCCTGAAGTTAACATCTCTTGTCTGAAGATAGCGGTTTCCACTAGCATAGTTGACACCAGTTTTACATTTACAGGTATTAACCGAGTGGCTGGCCAATGCCATTACCTGAAAAGAGTTATAAATTAGCTTTACCGCTCTAATGGAAATTTGACTAATACTTATACAAATACTGTTCTGCACAACACACATTGTTTGAATGAGCAAGATATGCATACATATGAAAAGTGTACATGGTTGGCTTGTTACATGAACACTAACAAGTGGAGGAAATAAAGTGTAATTTGATAAAGCACAGTCAGGAGGAACATTTATAAGAGTATGCAAACAAACTCGGCGCTGTGGCTGCTCCTCTGCTGTCATTCACTAACTTTTATGAATGTGCGTGGGAGGAACCAGTTTAACCACCTTGTCCATGTGTGTACCACTCATCCCTGGAACTGTCTCTAAGCTAATTATATAACAACACTTTTCTCATTCACTCCTACGCTCATCTCCATAGTTTATCTGTCTTTTCCCCCTTCTATATCCTATCCTATCCTATATCCACACAGTTATTGTCCAGTTCGCTCTCATGGAGGGTGGTGCATTGTAATGTGCAAGCTCTAACAATGTCATGCTTCTGCTGAGGGTGTCAAATTTGAAACGTCAAAGTTTTTTTTTTTGTTTATTGAAGGAACTCCATGGTGAAAAACATGAAGTGCATGGTATTTGCAATGAGAATGTGTCCCTGTGTGCACACTGACTTGTCCTGTAAAACACCTCCCACTCCGCTGCAAGGACCAAGTTGTGACTTCAGACACCCTCAAACATTCTGCTACAGTGCGAGATTCTTATATGAAGTATCTGCCGTTTGTTTAACCTTGGGCTTCTCAATCTTTCGCTCTGGGACCCCCAAATCATGGTTGAAATCCACTTGCACCCTCTGCTACTGAATAACATTCACAGCAGTAATATTTTGTACGTCAAAACATGCTATCTTATGGTTTCTTTTAGTCATTTATTGTCTTTATTGATATCACTTACATCACGTATATTGTGTCAATTAGTAAATGGAGAAAAAACTGTATAGCTTTAAAATGTTATTATTTAAATCCCCTCGAGAGAACCACCTGTTTTGCTAACTGGTAGATTTCCATATTCCATATGCTTTTCTTTGTTTAAAATATGGTTTGACCAATTATCTGCACCATTATTTGTTCAATACTGAGATTTCTTTGTTTTATTGCTTGACGTAAGTTATGTTGAATATATTGAATAACAGAACACTTCATTTTGATCAAATCAGATCAAAATCAAGTTGGAGTTGGTTTTGGGCTTTCCCAGTGTGACCATTCCTTTTTTTCTTTTTGTTATTTGTTTTGTTAAATAAACATGAGTCAAGCATTGAAACTGTTGAGCTTTGGACGTTATTAAAAAGTTTGACACCAACAAACGCTTTTTTCTATAGAATAAATATATACATGAATTTATATTGTGTCTATATATTGATTATCAACTCCTTTTCTACTAGTTATTGGTGTTGGTATTGACCCTGAAAAAGCACATCCGTCAACCTCTAGTTTTGCAAAGTAACTGTTAACAAAGAATATATTGTACGTAACATTGATCTTTGTATATTTCTTATCACTGCGCCACCAGCATGTGAAAGTCGGATCCCATCACACCTCTGGTTAGTACTGTGATGGGAGACCTCTGGGAACACCAGGTGACACAGTGGGGCGGCTGTAAGGTGCTGAACTGTCGTTCGTTCCTTAGGCAAGACACTTTGTCCACATTGCCTGCTACAAGTCTGATGTGTGTATCAATAATTGGTGGTGGACAGAGTGGGCGATGACACCTACTGGTTGCTTCTCTTCTGCCCCTGTACGGCTGTGGCTACAGTCTCACCTCTGTATGGAGTGAAAGAATACTACTTTGTGAAGCGCCTTTGAGCATCCAAAAAGCACTAAAAAACTACACCATTGTTACTGCTGTCTTGTGCTGTAGTTGGTATGGTTCTAACTTAACTTTTTGTTCCTCTACAGTGACAGCTACATCGTGCGTGTGAAAGCAGTGGTGATGACTCGGGACGACTCGAGTGGGGGCTGGCTGGCCCAGGATGGAGGAGCACTGAGCCGGGTGGGAGTGTGTCGCCTGCTTCCTCCAGAGCTCACATCATCACTAGCCACAAGCACCCACAGCCGCTGCCAGTTCCTCATCCACGGAGAACGTCTGCCGGACAAACAGGTACTGGGTGTATCCTAGCCACATTTCAGACACAGTGCCTATTAACAAGTCTAATAAAGGATGTACGAATTACCATGATCAATGCAGGATATGGAGCCACAGACCCTATATTATAGCATTGGATTGACGTCACCATAGTGTTTGCAGAATGTGGAAGAAGCCAAATTCCTTATATGGACATTTGTTCGGAGCTTTGTTTGTTTGTTAGCTTTGTACTGCAGCAGGGGCAGACATGTTGCTAAGATTGTTACTAGGGCATGCAGGAGGTTCCTCTTCAAATGAAGGCAATGATTGGTAAATCATGTTTGGTTGGATTTACAAAGACCATATCAAAATAAACACTTGAATCACTAAAGAGCTAAACCAGGGTTACTGACCTAGAGTTTTCAATGTAAATTGATAGGAGACATCTCTATCCTAGTTCAGTCACTCAGAAGCAGCTCAGACTGCTTCTCCCTTGTCTAGGGGAACCAGTTGAGGTGATGCCTCGGGATTCCTCTGGATGGGCTGGAGCAAGCTTGTGTGGCTAGAGAAAGTCTGGGTGTTTCTACTTAGACTGCTGCCTAGACTGGATAAAGCAGACAAAAATGTCTGTATGAACAGAGCGAGTTGAAGCTAAATTTTGTCCATGACCACTTCCCTATTGGGCTTCATTGAGCTGGGGGCTTAGTATTGTCCATTTATACACAGTCTATAGACTAAGATGGAGTGAAACTGACATGGAGCCATGAAATGGCAGGTGTCCTATGAGAACTGAGCACAGGAATGCAAGGTTTAGATAGATACATTAATTCTTGGAGAATTACACATAAATATGTAATTAAATAACTAATTCTAAAAGCTCACTGCAATATCCTTGTGAAGCGCATCAAACCTGTTCTAGTGGGCTCCAATGGACACTTTAGGGAATAAACTGGATCAGCTTCAGAGAAATGCATTTTTGTCATTTGGTACACACACAGCTTCATTGTGAGCGTGAACATTGGTGTAGTCCTCCAGCCCCTGTTCCAGGTTGTACTTTTTATTCAGACCATAAGTGAATTCCAGAAAAGTTGGATAGTGTCCACTTCTATGGATCTCAGTTTGATTGTTTGCTCCGGAGGATCAAAGTCCACATGGGTTTGTTCAGACCAGACAATTAAAGACACACATTTTTACAGTTGCTCCAAATGAAAAAACATGTTAACCAATGTGACCTTTCTTTGAATATTTACCTCCACAATGTTTTTGAATTGTTGTCATAGACTTAGAATTTGAACTATAAATGTCCATGAGAGCTGAGTACTATCCAGGTCAATGTGCCAAAAAAACATTGGTTGATAAGGCACAAAAAGGATGCGAGAATAGCATTTTTGTTTCACAAAAGATCCAGTCATTTATCAAACTAAAGGATTCTTCCTTAGTGGTTTGGTGAAAAACTGGGTGTTGGGGACCACTGTCAAACAAGACATGGTCCTCGAAAGGCTTCCGTAGTGTTGGTAGTAGTAGTAGACTTGCAATATATGATCTCAACGCTAGATGGAAGATCAAACTACACAGTGTACCTTTTAAGACAAATTCAATATGATTTTTAATGATACAATTACACTAGAATTACACACTGAAACTAAATAACTTAAATAACATCAGAATATTCAGTTTGGAATAAGATTGGCATGTATAATATTTGAAACATTCATTAATCGTTCAAATGACTGCATCTATGTGGTTAGTCCTACAACCAACCGGGAAATATAAGCTTTTATAAAAATCAATTTCCACATTGCATGGAATTATCTTTTGCTATTGTGCAAGCCATGTTCAGTGACTGACCTGCCTGGGCTTTCAGGTGATTCTGGACTGTCCCCTGAGGAAGGACCTGGTGTACACGATTGCTACACCTACATTTCACCATTGGAAAGTGGAGGATCGGAGGTGTGGTCTGTCCTTCCAAAGTCCTGCTGATGCCAGGGCTTTTGACAGAGGAGTCCGGAAAGCTATAGAAGACCTGGCTGAAGGTACACGATTTGTTTCCAACATCCGAACCTAATGCATCTTTGTTTTTGCTTATTTACAGTGCGTTTTATATGGATTTCTTTCTTTCCTCAGGCTCAACAACGTCATCCACAGCACTCCAAACAGAGGGCGAACTTGGTGATGATGATGTCTTTACTGTAAGCACATTCCTTGGCCTTACATTTATTGCTTTGTGTTTTGTAACTGTGGAAGCAAGTTCTACAGTTTTAGCAAGCTAAACCTACAGTATATGTTATAAAGGGCTGTTGTTTGCGAGTATTGAGAGATTCAAAATGGTTAACATGTGTTTGAAACACAAATGCATTATTGTAAAGATAGATTTCAGATATTGCTAGTGCCCAGTGCAGGCACAATCTAAATGTGCTCCTAGCACATATTTTAGGATGTAATACAGGACACTCTTCCTACGACCTGCCACTACACATGATAAGTGTGTGTTTTTGCGTGTCAAGGCCCTCTATCTTAAGTAAGCATGGAGGAGTCCCTCCCCCTACTCTGTAACTCAACACCATGAGCAGCAGGCCAGGTCACGGGGTCACTTCCTGTGTCCCACCACCTCCCAGCAGAATAAGAGCAGAGTGACCAAACTAGCAGCTAGCAGCTGTTTCCCAGCTTAGCGTGGAGCCGGTGATTTACGAGAGGAAGTGCCTCGTGGTTCATCTTTGACTCGGGCTGTCTGTAAGGGCCAAGACTAATAGGTGCTCTGCTGGGAGTGTACAACCTCAGAGGCACACAAACATACCAGGAACAGTGGAGCCATTTCTGTCAAAGGATGGTGCAAACTATGAAATCAACAATTAGCTTTTCAGACATATCTTCTTTTTTCAGTCATAACTGTTTCAGTGAGGACACAAGCACAGTTTCTCATCGTTCTAATCTAAATTTGAAATGCCAAGTTGTAAATTAGGATACATATGTTAAGGTCTGCTTTACATTCTTCCTTGTGCGTGTAAATGACCTTTCCTAAAGTTAGCAGTGGCTTTCATGGATGGGAAAAGCACACAGCAAATTTACAGCCTCTGGGTACAGCATTGGAGAGGTTCACCGGGGGCTATGTTTCCTAAAGGAATCACTTTTTTGTATATAAATCCTGTCTCTTTGGTTCAATAGCTGACCAACCAGAAGCATAGCATTTTAGAGGGACATGTTTCATTAAAAAGGCTCTCCAGTCCTTTGCTTTTATTCACAATGGATGATAGTTCACAAAGTACTTTGTCTATTATTCCATCAGAAATCTGCTCTGTGATTTGAATTAGTTGCAGTTGTGGAGGCCAAATACCTCGTTCAAAACTGTATCAGCTCCTCCCTCTGTAATGTCTTCTCCAGGGGGGCGGAGCCAGGAGCATGTCATGTTATTTTTGGCTGGCTGCTTTAGGGCTTTGTAAGAAAGCTGGGGGAAATTCTCTGCATGGTGGTATCCATGTGGGGAGAGCAGTACTGGACATGGAACAGGGATATAATGGGGAAAGCTCGAGCAGACAGACAGGAGAACTAGGTCATATACTGTCTCTGTGCTGGTTTTAACCACTGGACTGAGATGATCAAGCTTTTGAGATTTTTTTGCTCTGCATTCAAGAAGTACAAATTGTTTTGATGCATGCATTCCGTGTAATGTTTCATTGATTGTATTAGCTTTCTAATGTAGTTATGTCATTCTTTTATGAATGGATGGCCTGACATTGCCCTACATTCTTTTATGTATATTCTATGACTGAAAATTCAAGCAGATTAATTAAATGACGACACTACGCCTGCCCCTTTGTGATTGATTATTTCACACACTGGGTAAGAATTACTGAACAAACCAGTCCGCTTCCCCCAGAGGGGGAATGTCCCAATGAAATGTCTGTTTTAGATGGAGTTGTCTGCTGTTTGAGTTTATGCTCTTGACAGTTAAGAGGTGAATGAGGACAAAACGCGTGGACACAAAGACTATGAATTTTATTTTGTTGAAAGAAAGTTGGCTGGACTTCAGACTTAGACGAGCCTGAGGAGGAGGATCTTGTTTAATGCAGGTTGCCTGTCTGTGAATAGGAGTAGTTTTCACGTGAGTTACAAAAGCATAGTTCATGTTTCCTGTTTCCCCATTCGAAGCTGTGATTCTGTGTCCTGTTTTTGTTTGTCCACTCGTGGCGTCCTCTGGAACCTCTTATTTGTTTGGGGTCTCTAATCAAAACTCAACTTTTATCCAACATCCTGTGTTTGTTTCTCTCTGACAGAATACCACAGACAGCTCATCCAACTCCTCCCAAAAGCTGGAGCTTTCCCTGCAGCCGCTAGAGTCGTCACCACTTCCTCACAGACAACGGTGCATGCTGGGACATCGCCATGACTACACTCGCCATGACTACCCACGCAATGATCTCCATGACCCTTATCGCCTCTCGGACCACTACTTCCTGGAACAAGTGAGATGACAAAAGAGTACAGTAAACTATTTTGCTCATTTTCTTGTTATATCTGGTAACCAATGTATTTTTTTTTTCATTTGCAGCCCCTGTCCCGGATCCCCCGGCGTGTCACCTTCCAAGAGGATGAAGAAATAGTCCGCATTAACCCTCGGGAACGTACCTGGGAGCAAACAACAGAGCGATTGCATGGTGGGCGGTCGGAGCGCTCTTGGCTCACTGGTTATGAGGACTATCGCCATGCCACAGTGCGGGACAAGTTCATCCAAATGGAAGACACAGAGTCCTATGTAGACTTTGCCAAAACACAGAAAGACTACTACACTTATCCGCTTGCACCAACTCTGTCCCCCTCAGACTCTGACCCTGCCCTCGGACCCTTGCCTATTAAGGGCCACAGTGGCTCTTGTCATCATGGCTTCACACCTGTGATCTCCACTCAGCCGCGCCCATACCTTCCTGGCTCCTCTCCCTCCACCAATGGTGGAAAGAGCAGGAAACCTGATGGCATGGACCGAGCCCAGTGTGAGCACTGTGGTGAGGCCTTTTACCTCTCTGAGAACCGCAGAGGCCGCTGCCAGGACGCCCCAGACCCGGTGCGGGTGTGTATCCGTCGGGTCAGCTGCATGTGGCTGGCAGACACCATGCTGTACCACTGCATGTCTGATCCGGAGGGCGACTACTTGGACCCCTGCTCCTGTGAAGGCAGCGAGGGCAGTGGTGGGGGCCGGGTGGGCACACGTTGGCTGGCCCTGTTTGGTTTGTCTTTGGTGGCGCCCTGTCTCTGCTTGTACCCCCCTCTTCACGCCTGCCACAGGGCGGGGCTTACATGTGGCTGCTGCGGAGGAAGTCACAAGGCCATGAGTTGAGATGCCGCACTTGGAAACCTTTTTAAAGGACAAACTACTCAACGCAAGCACAGGGAAATGGAAGGATGGGGAACAAATGGGGACACATTTTTATAGCTGCTCGCTCTCTTGCCTTGGTTCTCTGGGTTTCTTCACATATTCCAGACACTGAAATAAGCCAAAAAAGCAGTTGGTGCATTTTGTAAACAGCCTGGGAAGATAAGCTCCCCCTAATGGCAGACAGTTCTCTCAGCTCTCTACAAGGCCATTTCATGCTCTTGTTTGTAATGAGAGAGCTCTTTTTCAGGGGGCCTTTTTTTTAATAGCAGACCTATATGTCATGTATAACATATGCAGGTACTTTATACTTTGTACACTGACGTGGCGTCAAAGAACTTGAATTATCTTTCTTTCTTTTTTATTTTTTATTGTACAAGGCCATTTTATTTATATTCTATTTCAATACTATGGCCCACCCAGCTAAACTCCAGGCTAAAGAAAAGTCTGACACTACACCTCTGTTTGTATGCAGTTTTGTGTGTCATCTGATATGTATGTGTGAATGTATACAACATTCGCTCAGGCCTTTGTTGTCTGCTCTGCATCTTATGGATAGCCCATGTATATGGATTGCATTGCTCTCTACCAACAACTTTGTTCGATGAAAAAACATGTGGTACTTGGCTCATCTTAATCAGTTAACATCCCAAAGAGTAGCATTTTAAAATAATTTATTTTCTCAACAAAAATAATAATCAAAAATAAACTACTACCAGCAAAGTAATTCTTGAGCAATTATTACAGCCGGTGCTTTAAGTTAATCTTTAGCATCCGTTTCCCTTTCATGCTGTGCCTAAACAATTACTATAAAACTTAATTTTGGGCTTACTGTTTTGTACCTCTGTCAATTCAGATTAATCTTATACAGAAGCCTGGCCTATATCCATGGGGAGTGATAAATTGACAATTTGTGCCCGTTAAGCCTTAAAAGGGGATGCTCAAACTCTACTTGATCCAAAACCTGTAAATGTCAGATAAACAGAAAAGTTAAGGCTCCAAACAAATAGCCTCAATACTCTCTCAAAAGCATGTGTAAACTATTTTTTATACAGAATGTGTGTGATATACAGGGACTCCTGTTGCCTGCGAAGTACAATCAGTTCCTTTCTTTAAGTCCCACTTTAGTCAAGTCAACCAATTACAAATCAGTATTCTGAAAATCTGCTGCCAACAATGTTTCAGACAGTCCTTGAAAACTGTGGTACAACTAATATATTTATATTGAGACCTCAGGTATGAAACCTAATTGCTAGTGATTTTTCAGTCATTGTGTGAAAAAGAAAGAAGAAATCAATCACTCCTTTTTGCTGTAGTCGACGAGGTGGCATGTATTTTTATGAACATTTTTGGTTATTACATCATTTTAACTAGATGTTTAAAAAAGATAACCCTAAATAATTTCAAATGTATGATAAACTAAGGATTTCCACATGTATCAGAATTACAGATACATCTCAATGAATGAAATACTGTAAATAACTAGCAAATAAATGTGGTATTTTAAGAATCTATTTATGCCAATGTTTTACGTTAATAAAATATAGTAACAGTACATCGTCATGCAATGTTAATGACACACAACTGTATTTTATCAACATTTTATAATCTATTAATAGTGCAGTTTATTGAGATGTATCCGTTATTGCCTTTTAAGTCAATGTGATGTAAACATGAGTGAATAACTAGAACTAAAACTTCTTGACCAAATCTGTACATGTGTGACGCCATCATAAAGTTGCTAAATGCACTCTTAAAAATACTCAAGACAGTCATGAGCATCCATCTAGTTCCAGCTCAGACTTTAGTGCCAAGGATATGTCACTGCAGGTGACTTTCCAAATGTGGAGAATGGCCTTTTTGTTTCATACATCCTGTCAGGTCGTTATGAAAATATCTTAACCATGCGTCCATCTGTTCAAAACACAATTCCTTTACTTAATCAGAGCGACTGGGAAGGTTCTAAATGTCACTTAGTAATACCTATATTGTAAAATTGGATCTTGTGATTCAGGGAGGGGCTCATAAGACTAGAGTGAATGTGCGTGTCTGTGTGTGAATCTGCTGGCTTTAAATTCTCCATCTTGCCTGGTGTTTGTTCCTCATGTCAGAGCCATTTACAAGTGCCTGAATGCATTCTTTATTTTGTGTATTTAAAGGAAAATAAACACTCTGTAATTAAATTAGACCCATTTTTTACTTAGTATTTTTACCTCTGTAAAAAAAAGAGCAAAAATATATTATAGATATATAAATATATATCTCAAGTGTATGTTGTACATTTTTATTTCTATTTTGTTTTTTAAGATAACTTTCTAACATGTATGATGGATGTAGCTCTTGCTTTTGAGAAGAAACAGGAAGTACTTTGTAGATATGGAGGAGTGGCCCAGATTATGAGAAAAACAGTGAAGATGTGTTTTACTTTCCACCTCCAATAAAGAGAAAACAAACTGAGTCTGTCTACTTCCGTTAGTTCCCTTTACATTCAAATTTATCATTCAAGAAGCATTAACGACCATAATCACAGTTCTTCAATGAGAAAATCAAACATGTAGCAAGTATAAACTGATGCAAGCTATTTATTTGTATGGCTTTTTTTTTTCAGCCTGTGTACTTTGAGCTGAATCTGGCCTGGTAAAAGTTGGTCTTTCATCTGACTCTTCCCCTCAGCCTCCTTCCACAGCAGGAACATGTGATAGCCATCGAAGACGTGGAGCTGTTTTGTGCAGGATGTCTCTGGAAAAGCATGTGGGCGATAATGATGGAGCACAACAGGAGGGGGTAGAAAAGAAAAGGTCCCGGAGGGATTTTGGGGGCCTGCAAAGCTGCTCCACAGCTTTAAACTGCATCACAGTCCACATGTGCTAACATTTAAGATATCTGCTCTGGTAATGGGGTCAGTCTGGCCCTCTTTGGATGCATACTACTCTTGCACTCACTTTGCTCAGCAGCTTACTGAACTTTTACACCAACCTAATGTCTGTTTTTAAAGCATTGAAGTTGCGACAGATTTGAAGAGTACTTTATTTGCAGCCCGAGGAGACTCGGGACTAAAGAGAACCTCACTACTCCCACACAGTGCAAAAACATAAGGCTTAAAGATGGGTTCATAATACCATTATTTGTTCTAGATAATCTTGTGACACTGACAAAACACTTCCACAGTTCATGGTCAGGAGGAAGTGAACAGGATTAAAAAGGAACAGGTCTGGAAGAGTTTGGAGCAATCTTTATTTCAAGTTCGGAAACAGAGCCTCTTCCTCTGGTGGCGCCAGTCCTGCCACCGTTCCATTTCCACTTCCTCCTTCCTTGTCCGAGTGTTGAATCCTTTGTCTCTGACAGAGCTCTTGTACAACTAAAGTTATCAATTGACACATCTTTGTTTGTGAAATGAGTACAGCTCTGAAGTCTTTATAAATCACTTTTCTTTATTTAAATCAGCGTTAGGCAGTTATGCTATGAACAACACAAGAAAATAAAAAAAATAGAAAGACATATAGACACAGAGTGATCCAGTTAACATTAACTGCACTTGGCACTGGATAGACAATCAATGGAAAGAGGAAAATATATATGCTTTACTCAAAATAGAAGTGCCTCCAGTCTGCATAATGCCAACTGTTTGTTAATTTAAGACTGGAAAACAAAAACTGACAGAATGAAACAGTATTGATACACAAGAATACTGTTTTTGTGGCATTACTTCAAATTGAATAGATGAAACAGTTTTCTGCCTCCGTGCTTTGGTAGATCTGCAGATATTTGACAGGTGGATAACAACAGAGGTGCCATATTGGGAGACGAGCTCACACTTTTCAGTACCCAGAGGAGGCAGAAGCAAAGCAAAGGAACAAAAGAAAAAATGCACATCCCTAAAACCTGAAGTACCGTCGCACAGCTGTTGTCAAGTTCAGGGCTTTACTCTGTGCACGTGTCCCTTATAGAAATTAACAATTCTTCATTTAAAAAACCTGGAGGAACTTGGTACATAAATGTACTCCATTTACAATGGAAATAGTGCACAGCAACAAAAAGTCATGGAAAAAAAAAATCATTTGAAAGATATAAACTCATACACCCAAAGAAAGCAAATAAGAGGAACCCCTCTCCCACAAGAATTCATGATATCATTTATAAAAACCGACATAAAAATGTGATCAGCACACTTTAACAGACGCTGCGTGCGGCCCGTGGCTGTTTGTGTGGACCCTGATTGTGATCTTTAAACATTTCTTTAGAACTGTTAATCCACTCAACAATTGTATTTTTTACTTAAACTTATCTTTCTCATTATGCAGCGGTTGATGCATCTGCAGTTTACCACCATGTTTTATATATTGTTACTACAGAAATAATGGTTGTCATCTTATGTAAGTGGTAGGCAAACATGCAGAGTGAACATCAGACTTAACTTCCTGGTTTTAACCATCACCACCACAACACACATAAATAATTCCGACTCCGAATTACATCAGCAGGGCAACTTTAGCCCTTCTAAACCTACTAAAAGAAAGTAAGAGGCTTGAGTGTGATCGGCAAACAAGAGAAAGGTTCTCAGGGATATGAGCCAATCCCCGACCAGGACAGAGGGGAGACAGGAAAGAGGAGAGATGCAAGGAGGTGAAGGCCATGTTCCTGCCACTGTTAGGAGGACATTCTAAGCCCAACATGGGAGGGGGTAGATAGATATATACTCTGCAATGGTTGTAAGGTGAAATGTGATGAGTGCGGTACTGTTGAGGTGTGACTGTGGTCTGTCCATCCAGAGCTTTATCTGACGGTGACTCCGAGTTTCTCCAGCACACGCACCCCCTTCTCCTGATACTCTTCTCGGGTGAGCCAGAAGCTGTCCTTGTCCTTCATGATGTCGGCCAGCACAGCTCCCCCTAGAAACACCATGTGCTTTCGCCTCGGAGGGTCCTCGATTCGGATCTTGAATTTCTAGAGTAAGTAAGAAACTAAAATCAAGACTAATTCATGCTTTTTTATTAAATGCACTTGTGAAAGTTTTTTTTAGGAACATACAAGTTCACCACAGACCACACTACCCCACTATTTTCAAATCATCTTGTTCCAGTGCTAACTCTGTTAATTACGTTTTTAAGAAAGCGCTTTAAGGCTGTGTGATGAGATGAAAATAGTTAGCTTCTCATTCCACCTGGTGGTAAACAGACGTCACTGCAGTGACAGAATGTTTAACATGAGTGCCCTATCCCCCAATCATGTTTAATGTCCTAATACTAAAATAAAAAGTATAATATGATTAAGAATGATTGTTTTCACTGCCCTAGTCAGAATGCTCACACAAGTTACTTGCAGTTCTAAGAAGACCAACAGTCCTTATTTTTATTGAGTAGTCAATTATTTTAAAAATAAATAGAAATAATGGTTGTAATATAAATTTGACAAGGTATGCCAATGATTACAAACAAATGTATTCCTTAGCCCTAATTAAATCAATAGTGCTAATCATAATAATAATGACCACAAATGCAGTAGATGAACTTACTGAAAGCTTGTCTACATCTCCTTTGAGTACACGCTCCAGGTAAAGCTGTTTGAGCTCCCTCTCGAGTCGTGAGGGCAGACCAGGGTACATGGTGGATCCTCCCGACAACACAATGTGTTTGTAAAACTCAGTCCTAAAACAAAGATTTATATTACAATTGATATTAATAAAAAAATACTTTGTTTTTTTAACCATCCCAAATATACTTATTAGCGTCAAATTGCAAAGTGGGGCGGACCTAGTGTCTATGTCAGCAGCTTGGATGGTGTTGAAGAGCAGCTCTGCCACACCGACACCCTCCACGTTGATGAGGTGAGGCTGGAACAGTGCCTCAGGAGCCTCAAAACGCTCTCCTCCCACCTTGATCACACGGCCATCTGGCAGCTGGAGATGAGTGAAAAGAATACATGAAAAGGCGTTTGATAAAAAGTATTACCACAGATTCAGTTGAAGCCATAATAACAAAATGCCTAAAAAGGTATATCTGCAGTATTTGAGAAAGGAGATCTGGCTCATGTGCTATGTACATATGCAACATACTGTATGGCCCTATGTTCAAATCCTAATCAACACAGTTTATGCCTTAAACCAAGTCAGTTTGACACACCAATAAATCTGGTGAAACTAAAAACCCATGCAATCAGACAAAACAAATCCAAAATGGTACGCCAATATGTAAGATTTCATAAAGGGCTTCATTGAGAGGGCAGAGGGAGGAAACTAGGCCTAGCCATTGCTGCAAAGCGGCTACACAGGAAATGATGTCATATGGCCCAGCACCATTCTGACATTGGGCTCCTTGTTCAAGCACAAAAACGCACATGTTCACAAATCTACAGGACATACACAAAGATTAGGATCATCAGTGCTCTATGGGATAGCAGTAAACAGTTACTACTAGCCTAATCTTAAAAGGTATATTTGGAGGATTTTACCAATTTTTAGGTTTGAACCACCCTCTCCACTTTTTAAAACAAAACTATTGTCTGGTTTCATTTGACAAGCACAAAAAACAATTATTGTCAATTGGGAGGAACAATAGTCTTAATAATTTACCCGGGAGTAGAAAATCCTATATAACGTTATCCCGCAATATGATAATACCCACCCATCCAAACACAGTCATCACAGAGCCTACAAAGACACAACAAGTGCCCACCAAGGCGTGTACCGACAGACTTCAGCCTCTGCATTTAGACTTGTGGTTCCTGCAGCATGGAAAAAGTCTTTGGGAAAGTAACCCAAGTCTGGTGGAGCAGTACTATCCCCCATATGTTTCAGTCCTTTCATAACATGAGTCAGCACTCGGCAGCACTGCCCTGTCCTGAAGGAGTAGCTACCAGTGGCCATGTGGTCATCAATATGATACAAAAACAATATCATACTTCAGCTTGAGAAACCAAATTAACACTTCCACAAGTTTCTGTTGCAAGTAAAAGTGTGAATATATATGTATACCATTTTACCGTTTTTTAGGGATGGGGAAAAAACTTTTCCGAACAAATGTTTTTTTCCATAAAACTGTGTGGCACAAGACAAACTCAAAAAGTATCCACAGCAGATGCTTATTATTATACTTTAGCCAGAGAAAGTATATTAATGTATATATAATGATAAAGTTTATATATAATGCAGTAATGTTTCTTTGGTTGGCTGTAATTAACCAAATGTTCTTATTTGCGCCTTCCTAAATTTAGTTACTAGGCAAACACCAGACTAAATGTCATAAGTGAAGATAACAACAGACGCAAAGCCATGTTTGATCCGTAAAAAAAAAAAAAAAAACTACAAGCCCGAGTCTGTTGAATGGAACTTCATCAGCCGCTTTTCACACTGCACACCTGTTTTTGACCCGTTTTCAAATGCCGGGTTGTCTTGTGTCAACAGTAGGGGTTTACACACTGGCCAAAACCCCTGGTCGGCTTTTCCATTGCAAATTTCTCCATCAATTAAGTTTATCTTCTCCATTCACATGCGCTGTTGTATAATTTTTATTTCGGCTTTTCCACTCACCTTTTGCCCGAGACACGTTATGTGGGAAAACATTGGCCAAATATAGCAGTCAATGAGACACCCAACTGTTTTATCTTTAGGATTGTTGCATGTTTAAAATTAAATTATTATAAATGTCATTATAGTGCTGTATGTAAATATATTGAGCATATCAAACAAGTATTGTGTGTGCCCTTTTAGAATGACGATCGATGAACAACAAAATTAAATTTACACATTGCTGGTAATTGGCTATGAAAATAAAAAAAAGATTGCATGAACATAACATGATGGCTGTTTTTAATGATCACAAAATCATTTGTATATTTAGGCCTAAAGACATTATAATACTTCCTCCTGTCACCGGAGTCTAACTTTTAAGAGCAATTTACATTTCAAAACCATCAAAACACCCAAAACACAGCATATCTAAAAGTAATGTTAGGTTTTCACACTAGACCACCACCCCACTCAGCCTGTGCTTATGTGTTTAACTCATTGTGTCCCATTGACGCACAAATGCGTCAAAGCAAATAGTAACGCCATGTGCCATTGACGCATTAATACGTCAAATGCCTTTTTTGCTATTTTCACGTTCCCAGATGTCTATTGTATCTAATATGTATGGGGATGACTTGAGACCATATTCTATCGAGCCAGCAGGTGGCAGCATTTCTCTCTGAATGGTTTGAAAACATGTAGGTGCACATGTTGTGCCTCTTTTTTCTCAACTTTCTGGTGATTTCTGGTGATTTCAGTAAAACTTCCCTCTACTCAACGGAGGATTACAGGGGAACGAAAAAAGCTATAAACGAAATTCTTTTTGCTGAGGAAAGTAGACAGTCCATTCTTTTAGAATCTGGTGTCGGATTTCAGATAGTCATAGTACACAATATTCTGTGGGTCTTGAAAAATCAGTAAAAATCATCAGAAATGGCTGGCACTGTGGGAGTACCTGTTCTGAAATAGGCTGGCATTCAATGAGTTAAGGAGCTCACATCTCACAATATGGATCGCACATTTGCACGTGGATGGCGTGACCATAGAATGATAGAACCGGGAAGCGCGGAGGAACGAGACTTTCTTTTGGATGGCTGTTTCGCTGTGTAAGCATTAACCAGTAACGAAGACATGGGAAGTTTCAGGTTAGCCTCCGCTAACCTGAAACTGTTTACCTCAGCTGTATGTGCTAACGAGAGACCTGTAGCTTTTCTCAAGAAAATGGGGGCCAGTGGTCCGCTGTGATCGGTCACAATCTGGTCACAAAACAAATTCTCTTCCTTGTTGCACAAAAACTCTAAAATAAAATGACACGCCAGCACAAATCTGCGCTACTTTTTCTTCAAAAGGACGTATATCCCAATGCGCTACATGGCTATGGATTGAATTTTTGTAATGAATACAAAAATAAAGTGAGGTAATGCAGCTTTAACTAGCGTACAGGAGGTCAACAGTACCGCCTCCTCTTTCTGTGATTAGTCCCGAAATCCATTAGAACATTTTGGTTCCAAGTTTCTAGGCGGTTGAGTGGAAACCAAGACATAGGTATGTCCAGGCTACATTTGTGTTATCGTAGGAATTCATTATCAAGTATTAGTCAAAGTACAATAAATGCAACAGAGGAAACTATTTTGTCTAAATGCTCAATAAACACCAATTAATCATTAATCCAAACATTACATAATTACCGTGTATGACTCTACTAGCACCGTAGTCTCCAGAGCAAGCTTTTGCTCCTGTTCAATGTTATAGCCAACATAACAAAGCTTTTCCTTCATCATCCGCACTGTCTCGAAGTCAGCAGAGTGGTTAAATGCATACCCTCTCAGCAACAACAACTAGAAATACAGGACAAAACAGAATTAGCTTTGCACAGAAAAATTTGAAAGAATTTTCTGTGAAGGCACCTTGATGAGGTAGCGAGTAATGTCTCTGCCTGCAATGTCCAGACGTCTTGTTAAGTGCGGCAGGCTGAAGCCCTCGTACACTGGACATATGTGCGTCACACCGTCGCCAGAGTCCACCACCACTCCAGTGAGCAGCCCTGAAAGAAAACATCAGCATGGGATCAGCTGCGTTCCTCACCTCCTACCAAAAGGGATCAGTACACATTTGGTGTCATCACAATGCACTATATTATATATATTCATGTTTGCTACAAATACTATTGTACAGATTGAGATTTTCTTTAAAGTGATTGTCTGGAGTTTGTCAGAAAGAGAGAGAGAGGTACTTGATTTGCAAAAAAAACGACACAAGCTCCCTCCCCCTTCCTTTCTGATTGGTCTACACCTACGTTTCCGTAACAATCAATCAACACATTAAATGTTAATCGGAGAACACATTATACATATACATTAATACACATGCACGGAGGTTTTCAGAATAATCTGTTAACGTTTTCATGACAAAAATATTTTTTTAATGCACAAAAAAAGCGATTGCTTTAAAAGTTAAATACAAACGAATAAAGACACGAATGTCACTTTTAATGCAATTTGAGGCGAGATGTTGATGGTTCCGCATCGTGATATGTGTGTTTTAAGAGTAAGAGTTTCGTGTAAAGTTTGTTTTAAGCAGTCCACTGCTCCTGTGAAACTACACTGCTAGTGTGCCCAAATCTGATTTGCGCATGCGCAGAAACCCGCCAGAATTGGGAAAAAACTCGATCTAATTAAATATTTCGTTTGAACACACTATTGTTTTTTCATATTGAATACAGTATGGTGCATGCATGACATTTAAATGTATTAATTTGTTCGTATTTAACTTTTACAGCAATTTGCGGACTAAATGTCCGCCATGTTGGTTTGCTTTGGCTGCGCAGCGCTGGTTTGCATTACATCATTAACAGCTGAGCCAGATCATCTTGACGGGCAGACCAACTCGACAGAACAGCGGCAAACCCGGAAGTAGCTATTAACATGAATTGAACATTATAGGACACATCTGCAGAGGATCTGATTATGGATATAAGTTCAGTATATAAATGAGTAACTCAGCGCGGATGTTCAGAATTTTCAGTTTTCATGTAGTTCCAGAGCCTAATAGAGGCTTGATTCGGAGGCTCCGTGAAAACAAACAACTGAGCATGCGTGCAGCAACAAGCACGAGCGCAGATGATTGACAACATGGACGGCATCGTGGATTTTGAGCTATAGCTAAGAGAAGGGAAGGCGGGACTTACCCGTAATATTAGAATTCATAAAATGACATATTTTATATCAACATTTAAGGCCAGGAGGTCAATCAAATACAATTCTTAAAATGTGTATGTCATTTAGAGTTCCAGACTATCACTTTAATTGTTGTAACACTGAAATTTCGCAGTCAATTAGTTCCTTTAGTGATTGTGCCATCATTGTTTTCCCAATGAACATAAACCTAATATGAATATACTTAGTATACTTATACAAAATCTCATACCTTGAGCGTACAATGTCAACACAGCTTGAATTGCAATATAGACTCCTGCAAACTGGTAGGTCTCAAACATGACCTACAAATAAAACAAAAATAAATATGGTGCCTAGTTTAACATATTGAGACAAGAAAATCTGTGGAAAAATGCTAACCTCAATGATTTTCTCCCTGTTCTTTGTCGGGTTCATGGGAGGCTCCGTGAGAAGGATCTTGCAGTTACGAGAGTCAATATTGAGCTTTTCTGGGCCAAATGTGTAGTCCCACAAGTGTTTCATGTCGTCCCAGTTTCTAACAATACCATTTTCCATGGGGTAGTTGACCTCCAGCATGGAGCGGAGTTCACTGGCCTCATCTCCCACCATAAGGTCCTGAATAAAGGTGAAAGGAAAAACGGTTACTAGCGGCTTAGAATCAAGATGAACTACTCCAGCTACACACACTGAAGTCCTTGATTAGTAGTAAAAAAATTCAACAAAACAGTTGTCCTGCATGCACAATTTGGCCCATTTCCATGCACACACACTTCAGATTTCCTCAAGCTTTGGTAACCGCTATTCTTCTGGCTGGCTGCATGCAAGCAGCATGAAAATATAAACAACTCTGGGTTAGAGTTTGGTGTTAGCCACACAGTCAAGCATCTCATGTTCCATTTGGAAAACATCAAAAGCTCATGAAAACAGCCATTTTATGAGCTCATCCTGTGTTCTTTGGCATTAACAAAGTGCCAGTCCAATGTTCTTCCTCCATATGGTCTCAATAAAAGCACACATGTGCTTCCGTCTCCATTTCCAATGGTCTGCCAAGCATCCCCAGAATAGGTAAAAGATTATTTGAATGCGAGTGAACACAAGCCCATAGAACATAGCATCATGTAAATCATCAAGTATTTTTGTCAGGAGCATCAAGCATGTTATATGCAACCTTCATTAAACTACTAATAAAAGATGACATATTATGCCTTCTCTGGAGACCACTAATCATTCATTAATCAAATATCACAATATTGAACTAAAACTGCTTATTGGTAAGTACGGTAGCAGGCAGCGTGGTTATTTGTGACATTTCACAATCCAGCAAAATGTGTACCTAAAGTCTTTTTTTTTTTTTTTTTAAACAACTGTCTTTGATAAATACGAGATCAGCCAAACACAGACGTGCACCAATCAATACAACTCAATACAAGTTAATGTTGTAAAAGCATTGTTATAACCAGGTTAAAAGTTCATAAAGTGCTTTGCATAATATGTCCACTTTGGAAAACTCAATAAAACAGTGATTAAACAAAATTTCCTGCAGGCAAGGACAGGTGCACGACAACCTGAACTTACCATCTTCTGAGCATTCTACTTCAGCAGGGACAGTAACAAAAAATAAAGGAGGCAGATATTGAAATAATACTAAATAGGAAAAGTGTATAAAGTAAAAAATGCTTAAACAAGTTAAATATTTTAAATGAATTGGATACACCTATAAAATGGCATTGTTTTATTGTATTGTTTAGCACATACCTTTATCTCAATATTTCCAACTTTGGCGGTGGAGCGGATGATGGGCCTTCCAACAAGCGCAGGGAAGATGTGCTCAGGGAAGTTTGAGCCTGCATAGCCACACTTTACAAACTGGGGAGGAAAAGAGAAAATGATGACGTGCAGGTATGTTGAAACAGCACATTAAAGGTGATCTCTTGAGCTGCGGTCACAATGTCATTTCCTTTTGCCTCTTCAAATGCACCGAGAGTGGCTCTCTCACTCACATATGTACAAATTCTTCATTCTCAACCCATTTATAAATTAGAATTCTTTTAACAGCGGGAAAACAAAAGCTTATCGTTTTAACCATTAAAGAAACATCTATTAAATATACAATATATATTGCACAGTAAACTATGGGCAACAACTATCTTTCTATTTAAAAAAAAAACAGAACCATTGAATTTTCAAAATACATAAGTAAAACGAAATAAAAACATTGTAATTATTTTATTTATATTAATATACCCTTCTCAAAAGGCCCTGCCAATTCAACTAGTTCTAGCCAAATATCGCGTAAAAGAGCCACAAGGCCTGGTCGCCCTGAAACTATGAGCGTAATATTGTGGAACATATATTGTAAATCTATATAAACCAGAGTTTTATAAGGACTACTAAACAACACAAGAACATTGAATACATGACAGCTGACTGAGGGCTGCCCATCCCAGACACCCAGCTGATAAAGCAGAGCAGAAAAATGGCCAACCAGCCGCTAACAATCTTAGCATGACAGCCAGAGGTTTGATACATTTGTCGGCTCATCATGTGTAAACTAGACAAATGTGTAATTGTAGATAAAAAAGGCGCAGTTCATTGCACACAAGATGAAATACGCGATTACTAAGATGATGTTTACCGTTTGACAGCAAAGCTGGATGAATGGAAATGAAGCTAATATGCTACATGCTAACACCCAGTTAACGCCAGCCTACTTCCTGTTTCAGCAAATCGTTCATAAAAACGGTCCCAAATACGCAAAACTCGTAAAGATACATATTGTAAGAACATTGAGATACGTACCCCCGTTCCATTGTCACAAACCACCACTTTCCTTCCCTGGCTGTCCATTGTGAAAAAGCCCAGTTACCGCTGAACCTCCCTCAACTTTCTTCAACAAGCCGGAAGGAAGACAGGGCAGCCCGGCGGAGCGGAAGGAGAGGAAGGAGAGGAAGGAGCGCAGTCAGCCTCTGCTGCGACTGCCAACACTTTTTCATTCTGAATGCTGTACTTTTATGGGCGTCTTCATCTTTGACATTATTGTTACACGTATTAAACGTTTAAATGAATAGAATACAATTAGCTCCTTATAACAGAACATGCTACAGCAGAAGCCTGAGGTTTTGTAGATGTGTATTTTATAGTTCTGAGAACTGAGGAAACATGAGTGCCTTGTAGAAAGACTGGTTCAGCAGCTCAAACGCCTTGGCTATTATTCTGAAGGCGAAACGTTCTCGTTATAATGTGGACATAACAAGGCTGGAGCAGCAGTGACGGGAATATTTCCATTGTAGGAAAAATATCACATACGCAGACAGAAGAATAATTAATGAATGAGCTACAGAGAAAGAAACAAATACACATACCGACCATAAATTAGTAGATTTATTTCAATATTTTACAGAAGTAAATCATGTATTATTATAAGACATTTTGAATAACAAAAATTATAGGTCCAGATAAAAACAGGAAAACGTCTTACGATGATGGAGGCACAAAAAAATACAACGTAATAAATTATTTTTTGTAATCACACTATAAAGTTTTAATGAGATCTCTTCCTTCTTTATTTCATTGCACTTGATACCTGATGATCTTGTGCTGCTGCCCTCTGCAGTAAACTATTGCCCATTGCTTCCTTCATAGTGAATACTGTAATTGACAGGCCAAGACAAGGACTCTTATGTTATAATACTCACCAATACTTTCGGTGCAGGAAAAATGTATATGGATTTTGTTCGATCTTTGAAACATTTTATCAATGATAACATGATCGTTTTTTATTTTCTTTTTTTTGGGTTTTTTTTGTGTACAAATGTTGGCATGCCAAAATGACCTCCAGATGGTTTAAACAATTGAAATTATTTTAATTCCAAATTTAATATTTAGCTGGGATGGATAAAAAACATGCAAGAAACTATCTGGCCAATTACATTTCAATTAATTAAAATATAGGTATGTATGATTATCAAAGAACATTTTAAATAAAACTGCTGTAAAAATTGTATTGGAAAAGTACAATAACAGCAAATTTACATATTACATTAGTTGAGTGGCATGGCGAGATTAAGCACCTGCGTTTATGGTTTAAAGAAAAATGGAGGTAGCTCTTTTTGTCTTTATTAGAATAGATTAAGAGCAGGTTAAGTCACAGCATATCACTGCATAATAGAGGCTTTATGATTTGCCACCTCAAAAGGTAAAAGCCATAGGAAACAAACACAAAGATGTTCATAAGCTGCCAAACAAGAGTCTTTCTGCATCCGACACGGGGGTAAAAAATGGACATACCATCCTGAGAACTGCTAAGGCTTTAACTGCTTCAGGTTAGCACAGAGCACAGGTAATCCTGAAATAGAAGATACATGTTTGCAATAGTGTAACAGCTACATTTTCTGTACATTGATATATGTTACTACCATAGACTGTGTTACTACCTTTAATACACCCAGGGAACGATGTCTTAGGTGCTCAAATGTGCATGTGTTGCAACTGCAGTTTGTCCAGGGAAGTGTTCAGGCGACAAAGAGTCCTTCATATGTTCCATCTGTTCCTGTTAAAATAAAATCCTAGTTACTTTAAAAAAATATTAATTTCATCACACACAAACATCTGTTTTCATGTACCCGATAGGCTGCAAATGCAGGTCCAGGTTGCTTTTTTAAGTCAATGAAAACCTTTTTTAAAATAAGAGTTTTAAAAGTAAAATATATATGAAGACACTTGATAAATTGTCTTGTTTGTTAAACAACGAAGCTTACAATATTCCTGGAGTCCACAGCGAGGCATTGAAGTAAACACCTGTTGGCATGGGAACAAGCCCACTGAAACTGCAGCCCAGCAGCTGAGTGAATGTCCTGAGATGATGATCTTAAACCAGGCGGAATGCTAGGTGGGAGAAAGAATATTTTTTTATTACATTACATAGTCAAATGATTAAATATAAATAATATTATGTTTGTAATTCATATGATTAATTACAAACATAATTTCAATTATACCAGAGTGAGCCCATATGTTTTGACTCTTCTTCATCTCGGTCTCCAATATCTTTGCAGAAGAGCAGCACGTCTAGTCCATAAACTGGATCGTCCATTTCATTAGGTGAGACCAGCAAAGGAAAACTGTCCAGAAACAGTTGTTGAACTTGATGTTGGAGCACAACCTGCCCTCCAAATCAAAATACATTAACTTATTTTAATCTACATTATCCAGCCATCTTTTTAATATAGATATTTTACCTGACAGCTAGTTAAATCACACCACATCATATCATGCTGCCCATGGGCCTCCTGGCGGTCTGCAAATTGCACACACTCTCTGTCCTCCTGTGAAGGTGCTGAGCAAAAGTCAGCAAAGCTGTCACTCGGCGGAAGACCTTGTAGACTGTGTACTTCTCCCTCAGTTAATTGGACATGGCTCATGTTGTGCTCCAGGTCCAGGTCGACAACTTTGGACGTTCGTTCTTTTTCAGAATGTTCCTTATATTCTATTAGTCCAGAGGTAGCAGAGCATTCCTGAGCTGCAGAGTGAACTTGATAAAATAGTCCTGCATCAACATCAGAATGTAATGTGTTGCACCAAATAAAATCACTGTTGCAAAAAGATCGAGAGAGTCTATAGTTTCTCAGTTCTTCTTCGTCGTCAGTCTGATATTCATCAGTGTCTGTATCATCTTGAGAAGCAAGAGAAGAAACATTTGGCTCAAAATCAGACGGTTCATCCTGTGATGAACCATCATCACATGACACATTTTCCACAAAGTTATATAAGCCCTCTGGCTTAGAAAGTGTTGAAACACTCTTTTCTTTCTTTCCACTTTCTTCCCTTAATTCTGCTTCTTTTGAAGTTCGTAAAAAACTAAGATTGAAACTATGTTTTCGTTCTTTGCGACTTTCACAAGAGTTGTCAGTTGTTTTATCTCCCAGTTCACACCATTCCATCTGACAATAGGGTTTTATGCTTTTGAACTCCTGAGATGATTTATTTATTTTTTCACAGTGGTTGATGGTGCAAATGTTGCCCGCTGATGTGATAGCACACGATTTGGGTTCAGAATCCAAAATAACATCCTCTTCTGAGCCAATAAAACTGTGTCGGAGTCCTTTCTCCGCAGTCATTCCTTCTCTTTCATCCCAAAAATCTGCCCCAGTCAGACCACAACACCAGGCTGGAGCTGCCTGTTCACCAAATACAGAAAAGTCTGCAAAGTCTGTTTCATTTGAGAGAAAGCAGGCATTAAGAATGGATCCCTTGTCCCCGTAATGAGAGCATATTTCAGCATTTCCAGCTGCACATGCTGTCTGTTCATCAATGGACTTAGCACTCAGAGTTGATGAGGGTTGAGCCAGTTCAACTGGATGATTTAACCTGGAAATAGAATCACAGGCTTCTGGATATAAAGTGGCTGCAGATTCCCATAGAGTGCTATCAAAGCCATCCGCACCACCAGGTATCTGACTAAACTCTCCAAATTCTTCCTTCTCAGCTGATGCTTCTTCATCCTGGTCGCACACTTGTGGCAGGGATGAGAACAGCTGTGGCATGTTGTCCATTGGCTGTCCTTTCCAGAAATAACATTATTAGTCCAAAACATTAGGGCTGCCCTGTACTATTGCACAATGACAGAACAAGAAATGTATCAGTAGAAGAGTCAGTATACATATGCATTTTGAGCACTGAGAGCTTAGCAGTACTTGATTTAGATAAGGCCCTTGGGTAATCCTCTTAGCCTATAAACATACGCAGTTAATCAAGAAATTCTGAAACCGGTCACAGACAGCTGTCAATCACACTGTACAGTCACCAATATACTAATATTGATATAATTTGGCAACGAACATGCACTGACCTCTATTAACATATATTATTAATACCATAGTTATAACGCTGTTTAGCTACAACGCTTTCTACCTAAACAATAACATGGCCAATTTATCACGGGCTATAGCTAGGGCGTGCGTGATCCATGGTGTATGCACTAGATCCATGTATGCGTCCAGAATGCAGTACGCTTACGATAATGACTAAGGGCGCATTGCACAAAACGTAATGTAAACTAACAACAGTTTCACGGAATTTATTGCACTGAATGAATATTTACCCAGATTGTCGCTATACCGCTTCTGCAGTCGCTTTACCCATCCTTCATCATCAACATCAGTTCGTGCACGGTGTCGGTAAGTGCCTTGTAGCTTAATGACAAGACGAAACAAGAAGAACTCCCACTCCGTTTCTACATGTTAACCAGAAAGCAGAGGAGGCCGATACAGCCTCCAGTTAAACCGCGTGGTGCGTCTGTGCATCCCAAACGATCTTTGTTACTGTCGGTCATCTTGGTGGCTCACATCAACATCACCACCTACAGGAATTGTGCAACCCATAAATCTGAGAAAATCACGTTCAAAAGCGTTTATCAAATCCAAGAATGTTTCAATTAAAAAAACACTACAAATTCAGATCTAGACATGTATATTGTAAGCATGGGTGCCTATTTTTGTTTCTTATACAATACATGAAGGAGTCTCGAAAAAGTACGCAGTTAATCAAGAAGTAGAACAAAATGAGACCCTTTTTAACAGAGCCATGGTCAGCCCAAAACATGCGCTCTTCAACTTATTCTTTTTTGCATATATGCATAACAGCCCTGTGAGTCACTATTTGACTGGCTGGTAGGTTTCACTGATATTTCTGACCAAAAAAAACAATCTCTGCTGAAAATGTGAGAAAACTCGTGATAAAACAAAAAAAGCAGGGAACTAATTCATGCATCTATATATTTCTATTATATAGCTTCACTTTTTGTGATTTGAAACTTTAGAAGATACAATGAATTCCTTTCCGCGCTTCCTTTTATTTTCCTTGTTTGTATAAAAAGCCTAGATAGAAACGACAGTGAGCAGGATGAAAAGATTTATTGTGATGACATGTTTATAGTATTTTTCATTTCATTTGTTACAAAAGCACGACAATGGAAAAAAATTAAGTGACGTTAAACCAGAAAGTGAGGAACCTGCTTTCTCCTACAATATCCTTTCATATTATAAGCAAGCTGAAAAAAACTCTACACAAAAACTCTACACAACTGCCTGAAATGGACTGAATCAAACCTTTTTTTTTTTTTTTAATCTACATGAGAACAAAAACAGTAGCTATATAGGCTACTTCTTAGTTTGAATAAATAACATAATACAATACACAACACTCAAAACCTGACGACAGCACCCACCGCATCATACATCAGTTATTGGTTACATGACAAATAGTACAGTTTACAGACCGAATGCACAGAATACTCGGTACGAGTTTTACGTTTGGTCTGTAACTATGCTTAATTTTGTTCCACTTCTCAGAGTACCAAGTGTTTTACAACAGATCAAAACAAATTAATTCAACCGTAAAATGAAATCATCTTCATCTTAGGCAACACATCCATATACAAATGAACATTCAAAAAAACAAATTATCTATGAATTAAAAACTAAGATAAAGAGACAAAAAAAAGACATTGTTCATATATTTATACCCATTCAAACAAGAAGGTTAAATTATCAAGTAAGCATTTAGCGATAAAAATGGAAACGCATCGTACAAACATGTAAAAAAATGAAAGGAGAAAATACTGTACTATATGTTGAGTGAAACGTAAGGTTGAATCATTGGCGCTACCTTACTTCATCAAAAAGTTGTTCATATCGATCTATGCTAACTTCCATTTCTACATGGCTTTAATGTGTTCAATGCTCCCTTTTGGCATCTGTGAAGGAATGTACTGTGCAAGTGCCTTTCTGCAGACAGGACGCTGCAATGGAAATGATCCTAACAAAGATCTACTGTGTGGTGTCGTAAAAATCAGTGTAACAGTCACTCGTTCAGATAAGTGATACATTCAGATTGTGATCTAACCTTTCAAAGCCGCTTAAGTCACTCGTTACGGGAAAGTACGAGCTCGATTCAATTAGGTTTTTTCACTGGTGTAAACAATGTGTGAGATAGAAATACGGTATCATATTCAAGAATAACACGTTTTGGAAGGATTGAGAGTGGGATGCCAGTTATAATCCACATTTTGGTAAAATTAGGTCGGGCAGGGACTGCAGCAAGTTGTCATGACAACTGGAATGAACCCAAAAGATGGAATGGCCTTAAGGGGAATATTGTACATAATCAACAGAAACACATAAACCGTGTCAAACCGCAAACCTGTTTTTTCCCCCTCCTTTTTAAACGTTTCTAAAATTGAACAAACTAATCAAGTCCTGCTTGGATTCTTCTCATTAGCACATCTTTATAAATAGATGCAATTTCACTTTCACACAACAAAAGTCATCCCTAATTGAAAAAATAAAAGAAATTGGCAACATGAAATAAACACTGTAGGTCTCTAAACAAAATAATACACTGATGTTTTATGATTCCCTTAAGTTGGTTCTTTGTGTTAACAGTCAGCAGTGATTAAAGTGATATGATGACTGGCATATGTGTGTTAGGTGATAAAGTCTTTGCTTCTTGTAGGTCTAAGGTTACCCGAGCTTGGTGATGTGTAGATCTCCGTCTATCCGTACTGTATCAATAGAGGGCAAAGACTTTATTTTGTGATAAAAGTCAAATAACTGGTGTCCATCCACAAATATCCGGAACCGCTCATGCTCACAGTGGAGCTCAATCTGGAAGAAAAATACAAAACATAATAAATACATACAAGGATTCATGTTGCAATGAGCCACAACGGACATCAGTATTTGTGAGATTGGAGCAGCAAGATTCTATGATACATATTTTTAGAAACAAAGCGCAAATGTGCACAGAATTATTGGAGCAGAAACTTGTGTTAGACGGCGGTCCTATGACCATTACTCATAATCACACATATGTGCAGCTGACTCGCTCATCCCCCAAACTCACAACACACACACAGCTGCGACCACCTTTTATGCAGAAAATGGAGTCATAAATAATTAAGATATTGTAGAATAGAATAAGATATGAATTAAAGCTGCAGCTATCGATTATTCTGTTTATTAATACTTTCGGATAATTGAGTCCAATGTCCACTTTTTATACCCTTAACTAATAATAATACCTTGCAATTGTAAAGTACTTTACTGGATTTTTGAAGTCACACAAAGTATTACACTGAAGTCACTCAAGGAGGCTCTGACCATCACTCGCCCACCAGACTCATGCTGGTTTTGGGTGATGGGGAAAACCGGAGCACTCGGAGGCCACTAAGCCAATAGAACTTTCATGTCCAAAATAATTCTAAACTTAAACTGTACAAAGTAAAAACTATTAAACTGCTTCCATTTTTCACAACCATCTCTAATCTATTAGACATTTGTTTGGGGACTGTACATAAGGGATATGAAAAACAATAACTGATTGTAAATAAAATATCAAAAACATTTAAATGTTTGGCATATGGTGTATACATTACCCGAAAAGGTTGGTCTGGTATGAATGGGAAGTATTCAGAAGAGGCTTCTTCAACAGTCCATTTCCCAGATACTCTGGCAGTGCGAAGGAGCCTGCGCTCACTGAAGCGGGCGGTGAGTTTGAGGGCCACATCATACGGAGGATCTTCTTTCTCAGTGATATGTCCACAGGTCAGGCTCACATCAAAGCTAAAGATTTAGACAGAGGTAACATATGGTATGTCAGATGTGCAATACTATGACCCAGAGCTAATCCATTCTGTTTCTGCTGTGTAAGAGAACAGGGAGTCCATAATCCTGTAAACAATAGTTCTGGCCAGAATACTCAGGAGGAAGGAGTCTTAGAAGACACAGAATGTAAGGCATATGGAATAAGCAAGTCAACTTTAAACAATAGATGGCAGTGCATTCTTAACACTGAGCACACTGATGTCACTGAGAAGTTTTGCCAAGTATGACACAAGTTTCCATGTCAGAAATAGACACACCCAAAACTACTACCCTCCAATGGGTCATTGCCCCTTCTTTCTTCCAAGTGGCCAGGAGATGCCCAGCCTATGCATACCTAAGAAGTTACCATTTTCCATGTCAGATTTATTATTGGCCCAAAACAAATTAATACATTCTAAAATAAAAAATGTAGGGTGTCAATAGAAATCCAGTTTTATCTCACCTAACTGGCTCCAAGTCGACAATACCCATCACTATGATCTTTTTCCCAGGGCGCATTCCACCTCGTATACGTCCACTGAACGGTACAGCCTAGCAAACACAAACGGCAAATATTTTATAAAGGTCAATTAGATGAATGTTACACATTGTTATTCTTACAAGGCGTGCTACGTCTTCCTTGACGGGAGAGATGATGCCAGCGTTTCCAAGTGAATCGTCCAGGTAGTCATTCTCCACATTCTGTAAAACCAATAGAAACGTATTGTACATTAATTACATTGAGTCCAGATAGACTAAGTTAACATTTGCTGATGCAACCGTGGATTTTAAGCATTGGAGTTTACAATCATCGAGGTGGCTGCAACTACATGTGATATAGTAAAATATTTCCCGGTGCAAAGGCCTTAATGTTGCAACAGCGATGCGCAGCATCAAAGGCCGGTTAGTGTGATCATCTGGCTACAACATTCTGCAGACTGATCACACACGCACTCGTACTGGGTTTCCCCGTCTCCTTCAGTGATGAAAGAGGACCGGTACTGGCCGTGTCCACACCTTCACTATAGCGGCCCGGAGTGCAAATAACGGTGCGTCTGAACAAGTGTGTGGTCAGTGAGAATGATGATACACATTAGGCAGCGTCCATTCATTTTGGACGAAGAAACAAATATGGGTTACTTACTATCGCGTCGTTGTCCGCAGCCTGCACCGCCATCTTGAACAGTCCGGACAGCGTGTGTCAGCGTCGTGGCACCAGAGGGCTGCACCACCGGTCTGATCAGCTCCACTCTCAGCAGGATGAACACGTGTGACCCGGGCAGACAGGCCGCACCACCGCTACAGGGGCTGGACACTAAATCATATGTGTATTGCTGACGTGCGGTTATTCATAATTGCTGCTAAAAGCTAATCCCCGTCTAAATAGCTCATCAGACAGATCCCCCCACCCCCATTCTACACATGCACAGAACTGATGCATTTTTGCAATACAAATGTCAGCGAGTTAGGTTTGCCCACGTGCTTTGACCCAAGTACTCCAATAAATATATATATACTCGTGCTGTGGACAAATACCCTTTTTAGAACACAATATTGCATACGCTGTTTGTGATAGTGAAAAGTCCACTGTTCCACACCCAGGGAACACAGTGCAGCACATTTGGGAATCATGTGCAATTGCGCCTCCTTTAGGTCTTTTTCAGTTTCACATATGGATTGCACTAACTTTTATTGACCAAAGGGGGGCGGTGTTTAACCAACTGCGAAGTGTGGGCATGGCTACACAGCCCATACAAGTATGGCGCATACTGTAGAATCAAGCTTTACTGTTATTTGTGAGAAGTTATCTAGGCCAATGTTGCCATATAGCAACAAACGAAAACACAATTTTTATATTGCTCTGTTAAAGGCTATTCATTGCGCTAAGGAAATGGAAAATTCCAAAGAGCTAATGGTAATATGTCTACATACCATGAATTCATTCATTTTGGAGTGAGCCACCTTCCTCCTCCTCTCCTGCACACGCACAGAGCACGCTCCATCCTCCGTGCGCTGTCATGGCCGCAGAAACAGCGCGTCTAGAGGATGTAACAAGCTGCGCTGCAGACTCTACTGAGATGGAGGAATGCGTAAGAACCATTTACATATATATCCTTGAAAGTAGACTGCGTCTGTTATACCTAAGTTTTGTGACGTTCATTATTTGGCATATCCCGTTTGCCTTATTATTCCCACTTGCTGCCACCAAAACAATTGCGGAAAACAAACATCGCCGCTGTGGCTACGATAGGTTCGTTTGCATACAGGGAAGAACGAGAAGATGGCAGTGATTTAGTGCAGTTTAGCCTCCCTCCATCACCTTCCCTGCAGCTCTCGTGATGTCATGAGGGAGAGGAGCGAAGTGAAGCAGAGCGCGCACTTGTCTCTCTGGTGGAAGGCTGCACTGTTTCGAGCCGGTATAATTGCAGTGCACAGTTGGGTGGTTCTGATCCACCTGGACCTGTGCATGGGTTTGTACCTGCGAGTAAAGTGAGATGTAGCGCGATTCTACAGTTTTTGCAAAGAAGAGTGGGTTAGAATGAAGAGGGGAACACTGTATAGAATTTAGGTCATCATCATTATTGTGTCCAAGTGGCTGCTCTGCTCTGCTAATGAGTTTAATTAGGCTTTCCCTCAAAATGCCTGCTGCAATATTGTTTTTTATGTTATCCTAGAGGCACATGATACATGATTGAGAAAGAATAAATCATTTCTGTTCTGGAACAGTTTTGCATCCTATTGGTTATATGATTACCCTGAAGTTTCATAGTTTTACCATTCATCATGTGGCAGTCTTAATCTAATTTTAGTGACCAAACAATAATTGATGAAGACAAGACTTCTCCTCCTCTCTGTGATACCCAACCTGTTCTACCACTTCACATGCATGTAGCTCAATTGTTTTAGGCAGTTGTTGCATTTCAACTGGAAACTTGGGTGGATAGAGATCTTATTGTGTTCAGGTGAGATTGACTTTCTGCTTATAATTGCTGTGGAATAGCTTTGTGTGCACTTCATCGTGTCTTGGATATTGAGGTTAAAATGGCAAAGGTAATACCAATGCAAATGTAGGAGATTACACTTGGCAATCTCTAATCTGTGTAGCGGAGAATGAGACTCTGGATTATCAGAGCTCGTAGAGGACTGTGAAAGAGTGCTGTGATGACAGATTTCTGTCTGGGTTGTTTTATCTGATTTCTTGTTTCTTTGTTTTAAGAAAAACAAATGTGATAAACAAAGTAACAGTAACACTAAGGTTTATAAGGATATGATAAGGTTTATGTGCATGAAAAAGTGACTTAACCGATGCACTTGTTTTTGATGCACATGCAGGTATGATTTAGTATTTGGATTACCATGCCCTACTTACTCATCAAAATAGAACCTTACATTGAAGAAAATATTATGGTTTCCATCTTACATTTAGACTTAATACATTTTGAGCACACATAAAAGTGCACAATATATGTTAAAAATAGCAGTAATCCAATAATTGTAGATTCTGATTGCTGCTTTTCTAGACAACTTTTAGGGAGGTTCCCCAGGGGGCTCAGGACCTCGCTTTGGGAAGCACTGCTGTAGCCTATAAATAATTTTTACATTAAATTATTTTAATTTATTCAAGAATGGTTCAATTGGGTAGATTCAAATAAAAATAATACAAAATGCCTGTTGTTTTAGACTAACATGTTTGTTTTACTTCTTGACCTCCAGCTGAAAGGGGAGGCCATGACGGTCGATGTGGAGGCTCCGTTACCTGCTGGACAGGAGGAGGCGGCGATCCGCTGCAGAGATGTTTGCCGATCTTATGGCAAACTCAAGGTCCTCACCAATCTCAACCTGACAGTGCCACAAGGGCAGATGTAAGTGTAACAAGTGTAACTTTGTCATTCAGATTCACAATTGCTTCGTACCCTTTTGTCTCTCCTCATTTGTCCCATGACCAGGGACTGACCAAATCCCCTTTGAATTAGGTTTCAAATCTGATTTACATTCTTGACCTTTGCTAGGAACACAAAGAAGGTGAGGTCAGAACTTTACTTCTGACTCAGCCGTATTCATATTTAATGCACTTTCCTATGTACAGCACTTTGAGGCAGCTGTTGTTGTTTTTAAATGGGCTTTAAAAGGAAACGTGACTTGTAACATTGTCCACACCCTTTTCTATTTGAAGCTCTCTTAAGTAATGTTACCTTTCCAAGACTCCAAAACTAGCTCAAAATATCAGCTCTCCCTTTCGCCTGTCCTCACATGGAATGAGTAACAAATGGATTCCTTGCAAATGTACAGGTCAGATCTGTGGAGTGGCAAGCCTGCTCTCAGTCAGCAGTAAGAATGTTCTGTAGATTGAGCAATAGTTTCATACCATATTGTAGGACATCTCCAGGAATGTAATAGCCTTTCGACCTTACACCTTAAAAGTCCTTTAGACTCTGCTGTCCTTAGCAGCACATTCTAAAATGTGGAAATGACAAATATAATGTGTCAGGAATGTAATCATTAATTTAGAATATGTTTATTTTTTGCTATTATAATTATTTATTCAGGATTTGACACCTCACAATAGTTATTTTGTGCATTCATTGATCTGAAGACAACTGCGTATAGATGTAACCAAATATTCAGACAAAACTTTGTATTATCACACACACACACACACATATATATATATATATAGTATATATAGTATATCTTTAGATTTATATGTTTATACTTTTTTACATTTTGAGGTTTATAAAGCTAGGATCTTTTTTTTCAAACAATATTGAAATGTCCTTGCTGTGGGACCTTTTATTGTAAAGAAGACATTGTGGCAGGGTGGTCAGCACTCTCACTTCTTTGTGGGGTTTGCATGTTCTCTCTGTGTCTGTGTAGGTTTCCTCCAGGTGATACGGTTTTCCATCCATCCATCCATCTATCCATTTTCTACCCTTTAATCCATTTCTGGGTCAGGGGGGTGGCAATCAGAGATGCCACCCAAGTCTCATAGCACCAGCCCCTCACTGACCCCTCACTGTGGTGAGTCCACAGGAGGACGGCTGCTCTCTGAGTGTGAGCATAGCCTTGATCTTTCAGTGGGGGCTTTGGGCAAAGTGGGGTTAAGTGTCTTGCCCAAGGACACAACGACAGCGGTCATCAGTGGGAGTCGGTGGAGAAGGTGTAGAGGTGGGAATTGAACCCACGACCTTCAGGCCTGAAGGCCAATGCTCTACCAACTGAGCTACCGTCGCCCCCTGATACGGTTTTCCCTACCTCTAAAACATGCACAATAGGTATGAATGTAATGAGTGAGTGACTGGATGGTGTTGGTGGGGGATTTGGTGCGTCAGTGTGCTCGGCGTCTCACTTCCGTAATCAGCGTGTGTGGAGAGAATGAAACAATATCTGATTTCTGAACATTGTAAAGCACTTTGGGTGACCTTGGTCAGTAAAGATGCGCTATATAAATATACATCACTTACTTACTTACTTAAATGACCTCTCCATTTGTCAAGTTTTGTTTTTAGTGTTATACGTCTGTCCGTTGCAGATATGGTTTGCTAGGCCCGAGTGGATGTGGGAAGACTACGCTGCTGAAATGCATTGTGGGTACTCTAAAAATATCCCGAGGTCAAATTATTGTGTTGGGAAAGCCACCTGCGTTTCCTGGCCATGAAGTACCTGGGAGAATGGTTGGCTACATGCCTCAGGTAAACACAGCACACACTCAAATATTTCAATCCTGATACCTGCCTCTTTGTCTGTTTCTATCAACTTTATAAATTGTCAACAAGACATTCAAGGTGCCAGCAGTCTTGGTGATGAGCAAGGGTAGCACTGTATATTGAAGAATCGTCTTCCTTGGGCCTCAGGAAGAGCCAGTGGAAAGCAGCATTGTTTAGTTTAGTTTAGTTTATTAATTTAAGGTGAGAGGGACAGTGTACAATAAACATTAACCTCAAAGGGAAAGATGCATTGTACCATTGTGGCGTCTATTATTTTTAAGGATTATTACAATAATATCGATTATTATTCAATGAGCCAGAGTGGGACATCAAACACTCTGGCTCACTGAATTATAATCGTTAAAAATAATAATCGCCAAAATGCTGCTCTCCACCCGTAGTCCCTTTACAAGTTGATGTGTTAATTACAACTAAGTATATAAAGTTGCAGAACAAAAAAAAGGTGCAAGAATATTAACATTTTATTAGTCAGTCATAACATTTTAGAAGCAGAACTTTAGAATCCGCCGGTTTTTACATTGTTTAGCTATTTTTTTAGACATTATTTGGAAAGGTGGCTCTTAGTATGGCAAAGACAACACTGGTACGTGGTGTAAAAAGTTGGAGAACGGCTGCTCTTCATGCAGTGACCTGTGGTTGCTTGAGTGTTTCTCATTACTGTCGGTGTGAATATCCGATGGGGCGACTCGGATTCAGCTGAGGTCGTGTAACACTTCTTGAGTTCCCAAGCCTCATGTTTTGTTCTACAGCACATAGAGCAATTATGTTATGTCCCAGTTATGCTCCTAAAACCGCGTAAACTGAAAGTGCAAAGCTGCCGTTCCGCTGAATATGAGAACACTGAATATAGATGGCACCCTTGCTGTAGTAATTTTATGCCAATGAAGCTGGGGTTCCTAACTTTTTTGTTTAATCATAAATGATATATTACGTTTGTCCCAACAGAAAGAGTCTTGTTAACAATTCAGACCACAACATGTCTTCATCTTATTAGAAAACTTGTTCTTTTGTTTGCCTGTAAAAAAGATCAGTCACTATTTGATGCATTGGTCCTCTCTTTTTCACTTTTCTGTTTGAAAAAGCTGATCTAAAGATGTGACAGAGGCTAAAAAATAGCCTTAGCCATCCATAAACTCCGGTCAATTATTATATTGAATTTTGTACAATGGTGTGGTATGACCATGCTAGCCTCATGTACGCACATGTTGAGACTAGTGATTGAACCAAACTGTTTTACAACCAGGAACAGGATTTTATTGCCTATGGTTTTGGCTACTTTTACTGTACTACTTTTATTGTACTATTCATTTACTTCTATCCACACAATATCATTTTATAGATGTTACAATGTCCATATGTAATTTTTATGCCAAAAACACAATATGTTTTCTTCTGTAGGAGCTGGCGTTGTACAATGAGTTCACAATTAGCGACACTCTCACCTTCTTCGGACGCCTCCACGGTCTGACCCGCAAACAAACACAGGACCGCATCAACTTCCTCATTGACTTCCTCGATCTCCCACAGAAAACGCGCCTTGTTCGAAATCTCAGGTAGATTACACAGTGCACTCTCTCTATCATATTTATCACAAGCAATTTCAGACAGATCTACTTAAGTAGAAAGTAATCATATCAATGATTATTATCTCCTCTTTACAGTATCTGCTGTCCTGCAGCTCACCAGGCTAAAGTTTTTATAGGCTTAGTGGGTAATAAAGTGCAGATGTTACAATATGTGTTGCATGGAGAGTTAAAAAAATATTATAGTAATTACACAATTGGACTTTGATCCCAATTTTACTCCGCCATAAAATGTGTACAATAAAATGTCTAAATATTTGCCATGAGTTGCCATGAATTTGCATTTTTAGAAGAATCTGCCTCAAATTTATACTCCAGTACAACTATGCTATTGCAATAATATCCTCCAAATTAGTATTGAGGCATTTGCTTTTTTGTGGTATAATTACATAAGTAGGAAGAAATTGAAGCTTACTTAAGAAGATATGTAAAATATTTCTGGCATGGAACACAGGATGTGACTTGTCATTGTGCCATACTTTCACATAACATATCTTCATTCTTCTTAAATCAAAGTCAATAAAAGCGCACATTAGACATAAAAAATGTAGAAATATGAAAATTCAATAAGAAAAATAAATCTATATTATACGTTAAGTTTAGACATTATCAGTCTTTCTTAAGTGTTTGTTGCTGAGTTGTCAGTGTTGCCAGGCAGGTTTGTCTTGCCTCTTGAGCAATCCGGGAGCTTCACCTTTGCCACGTTTAGTTCGGAGTAATTTTTAATCATCATGTGTTTTGTTTGTGTTGTTACAGTGGTGGTCAAAAGCGGCGAGTTTCTCTGGGAGCGGCCCTGCTTCAAAACCCTGAGCTGCTCATACTGGACGAGCCCACAGTCGGAGTCGACCCGGTCCTCAGGACCAAGTATGCCCCCACATATAATAGAAAAAATAAAATCTACCTCCAATTTTTTCCTCACCCATAGAGCAAATAAAAAATAAGTAACCACCTATACATTAAATTACACTTTCTACAAATAACCATTTATATTCAAAAATAAACCGCTACTGTAACTTCCTACCTGTAATATATATGAAATAGCCGGTTTAGCTTGGAATATAACATTATAATAACAGATAAAAAGATAACATCATAAATCTTGTAGCTCTGTCAAGTTCTCATGCTGCAGAGACCAGATATAAGGTAATAAATGCAAATGAAAATCTTGCTTTAAGACAATTTTACAAAAATAAGTAAAATATATAATATAATATATACTTCCTTTTCACACAAAGTAATAGCAGTTTAGGCTAAATTCTGCAATACATCAATAATAACCATAAACTCTTGTCATCTCATAGCTTTGTAAGGAAGATTTCGCAAAAAAATTGATTGAAATATGTCTTTCAGTTCTTTGAACTTTGATTAAAATCTTTTCATTTCCTTTCCAGTCCAAATAATTAGGCCAGAGCCCCAACTGGGGTAAAGGCCTATTGCTTTCCCATCGTTGTAATTCAAAAGTCACAATCTCCGGGCGCGGTGATTGTGACCTGCATACGACGGCACCTGCCCAAACACTGACAAATCCTTGCCGGAGGCACGGAACAGCTTTGCTCCTGCTGTAGTATTTTTTATTTATTTATTTATTTAATATGGACATAGCAATTAACATTGGACGAACCAGATGCATTGTTTCAAGTGTTATAGCACAAGTGCTAATTTTCAACACCTGTCCATAGGGGGCAAGTACACAGTGAAATGATTGAGGTCCTGTTAAAGGGGTGGGTTCCTTCAACTGTCTTACGGACGAATGTCCGGGCGAAGCTATCTCTATCATCGACAATAAAACATGTCTTCTGTCCTGTAGATGTTACATGCAATGCCCGCAGCCTCCAACACCTGAAGAAGATGACAAAGTCTGGGATTGTGTCTTTAATTCAGACAGAAGACATGTTTTATTGTCGATGATAGAGATAGCTTCACAAACACAAACGTTGCAGAATGCAAGTGTATTATACAGCATGGAGGAATGAAGTCCTCCAATCAGCATTTGCCACAGTGCCAGCAGCTTCAACCTTGAGTACTTTTCCACATGCAGTGGAAAAGTACTGGCTTCTGCATATGTTAGAATGATGAGTTAGAACTTTAACCATAGTTGCTTCAAAGTGTCATGAAATACCTGACGACCACCCCCCCTTTCTATAGTAGAAATATAGAATTCCACCTATTTGTTGACCAGTGATGTTTTGAATTGAATGTCGGGTTTCTGTGTTCTCCTGTTAAAGCCTTGCACTTCCCCATGCTTCATCACAATTGGTCAGCTATGGGACAATCAATGACTGGTTGTGAAGGTACAAGCATTCTTGTAAAACTATAGTTCCAATTTAATTATCTTTTGAAATTCTTGCACATTATTCATATTTTCATTCATATTTGTGGGACATTAATGAACAGTTACATGGGCTGTTGCATAATTACTCATTTTGTGGCTTTCCCAGACAATTGGCAGGCGGCAGCTGAGGAAAATCCTTTTGAGAGATTTTCAGGAAATTAGTGCCACTAATTCCATTTTATGTAATCTAGTTTCCCTGCTACTTTTTCTCGTAGGATTTGGCAGCATCTGGTGGATATTGTAAAGACTGCAAAGGTCTCTGTCATTATCACCACTCACTACATCGAGGAGGCCAGACAAGCCAATGTGGTGAGCAAACAGTGATCAATACGCACACAAGCATAGAAAGACACACACACATGCATAGAAACCCGCGCACACACACACACACACACACACAGAGGGCCATAAACGAAAGCACTATCAGTGCAATCATGAGCTGACTATCTTGGTCTTTTATGCTCCTCTTATGAAAACAAAGACTCCATTGAAGTTTATTCTGGACCATAAACACAGCTCATTCAAATTCAGAATATTGGTCCTACACAGATGGTCATGATGGGATTAAAAAAATACTAATCAAATTATACCAGGGGGGTGTTGACGCGGTAGCAATATTCAGTGACTTCAATCTTTTCGCTTTCATTACCAAACATTTATCTGTCATTACAAGTTTTGTAAAAATCTGTGTGGATTTTCCATCAGAATGAGTAAGTAGCACTTAAAATCTGAAAATCTTGAAACGACCCATAAAGTTGACATACTGTAACCCTTGCCCTCCTGTCTGTTTTAAGGCGGCTATAAACTGTATAACATTGGGTTTCCCTGAAAGAGTCTGTTCTCTATTTAGGCACCATAGTCGAATTGCTAAACAAGCTCCTAGATCCAGGACACTTACTATACGGCGACTTGGCCTCCCACAAACGTCTCTGCATTTTTTTTTACATACATTTTTTCTACATATATTCATTAATGATTGAAGTAGTCCACCTTCTCTTACTAAGTTACAGGGTTAATTTCTCAAACTTACCTAAACAGGCAATAATATACATATAGTTTAGGTTTTTGGCCTAGTGTTGCACTACGACTTATAACCAAGTGGCTTGTTGTGTAGGTTGGTCTGATGAGAAATGGTCGTCTATTGGCAGAAGGTCCCCCAGATCACGTCATGAAAATGCATGGCACTGCAGTAAGTAAACAACCCATCGAGATAGGAGACTTTTGATACAGTATGTGACTAGTATAAAGTGTAATGCTTTTTGCTTTAAAATCAATTACATCCATAAACATATTCACAATTAACACTAAAGCACACATTGAATTTGTTCACAGACTTTGGAGTGTACGTTTTTGAAGCTATGCCAGTCTTCAGACCAGAGTAACTCCAAGGAGAGCCCCAGTCCACAGGACGGAGTGTTGGAGAAGAGTCAGTCATTTGAGAGCAATCGTGATGAGAGTCGACCAATTCTCGGTGTGAATCCACCTCCAGACGATTTACCCACGTTTACAGGTGCAACAGCATTTCTCAGAATCTACTGTAGGTGATCAGCTTAAGAAAAGATTGAACAGTACTACATATACATTATACTGTACAGTATATTGTATATGTACAATAGAAAAGTAATAAACTACAGTTTGTTCCCTAAAAACAAATTGTTACTAAAATGTTACCAGTGTGGGTTACAAATGTACTGTTTGTTGGGGTTATTTTCAACCTATTTCCTTTGGATGTCACAGCGGACTGGAAGTTGCGTGCCAGGAACGTGTTTCCAAAGTGCAGAAACATTGCTGCCTTGACAATCAAAACACTGGTGCGATTTAAGAGGACTCCAGGGTAGGCAAAACTACAGAAATTCATATATTGAATTAAGTTTGACATAAACACATTCAAACCTGTGTTTTTAAGGTCCCTGTGTTTCCAGTTTCTGTTGCCTGTTATCCAGATCACTTTGATTTGTTTGTGCATTGGAGGAGATCCTCAGGGCATCCAGGTGGCAGTGGTCAATAATGAAACATCCTCCTTCTCCTACAGCCATTCACTGCTCTCCGCTATCGACAACTCCAGCATCCATCAGGTACCAGACAAGAATATAGAGCAGTTTTGGATAATTGGGTGTATGTATTATTACGACAGTAGCTCAGTTGGTAGAGCATTGGCCTTTGGGCCTGAAGGTCGTGGGTTTGAGCCCACCGTAAGACCTACTTCACGACTCCCGCTGATGACTGCTGTCGTTGTGTCCTTGGGCAAGACACTTAACCCCACTTTGCCTGAAACCCCCACTGAAAGATCTCAGCTCCTGTCGACTCACCACCTGCAGGAGGATCAGTGAGGGGCTGGTGCTGAGTGTACTGGGTGCAGCTCTGACTGCCACCCCCCCAACCCAGAAATGGATTAAGGGGAAGAAAATGGATGGATGGATGTATTATTATTTTATTATCCTTACACAATTATAGACCAACTATGAAATCCAGTCTGTGCTCGGCTAACCAGTGTTAACTTTGGTAGTAGTAGTAGTAGTAGTAGTAGTAGTAGTAGTAGTAGTAGTAGTAGTAGTAGTAGTAGTAGTAGTAGTAGTAGTAGTAGTAGTAGTAGTAGTAGTAGTAGTAGTAGTAGTAGTAGTAGTAGTAGTAGTAGTAGTAGTAGTAGTAGTAGTAGTAGTAGTAGTAGTTCTTGACTGGAAACCAAAAGAAAACAAACAAGAAGTCGGACAAAGGAAACTATGGATAAAACAAATCGAAGAAGACGCAAAAGCCCAAATTATGTCATTAATCGACCTGGTAGATCTGAGAAAGGACAATTGGACCACATTTCTGGAAGCACTGTAGCCACATCCCTTAGCCCATTCAAAGAAGCTCAGTGAGTTTTTTTTAGCAGGTGAGGCCACTTTTAACGGCCAATTCCTACAGTACCCGGGCCCTCTCCCCCGAGTCGCTCCCCTCCTTCTGGGTCACATCCACAGGAGCTTGCACCTGTAAGTTCACCTGCTCAGGGAAGTGAGGCGGGATTCTCTGGCAATAAGAAGAGTAGTAGTAGCAGTAGTGGTAGTAGTAGTAGTAGTAGTAGTAGTAGTAGTAGTAGTAGTAGTCTTTATTTCAAATTATTAATTGTGCATTACAATAAAAAGAACATATATACATATACTATACACAATTCGAAAAGGAGTAGGTAGAAGTGAAACTTGTGTTTCCTACCCATTATAAATATATACCTTTATATGTTAACTGTTAACAGGTGCATCTATCACATTCAGACGCTTTTAATGGAATTAGAAATGGAGAATACTGGGGAGTCATTGGCTTTGGCAAGAATTTTACCAGCTATCTGACAAAAAGGTGAGTAAAATAAAATTAATAATTGAATTGATTTGAAAGGAAAAATAAGGTCCTAGGCACAACTGACTGACAACTGAAGTAAAAATCTGTTTCACGGGTCTTCATCAGGGCAGACAATTTGATATGAATACTATGTACAGTACCTGGGTATATAGGAGGATTTTCCACAATTTTAGGAAAGAACTGGCCTCCTCAGAGGGATTGCCGATTAAAATGTCTCACATATCACCAGAATGATTGACAATTAGGAGGACCGATAGAAAACCCTCCCATATACATTTAAAACACTTTATCTAACATGAAATTCGGTAATGAATTAGTTTCTCAAAACATTTTGTTCTGATTACTAGTTTTCACATGCATGTATTTTTGTCCTCTGTCACATCTTCAGCTTTTTCAAACAGAAAAGTGAAAAGGAGAGAACCAGCCCCAATGTGTTAAATAGTGACTCACTGGTTTCTGTATTAATAGTATGCAAAAGATGACTTGTTTTCTAATAAGATGCATGTTGTGGCCTGATATGTTCATCAAATCCCACTTTTACATGACTTTCCGTTGGGAACAAAATGTATTATTTATGAGTGAACTGTATTTCTCCACGTCTTAGAAGCAGTGCTATTCTTTCTTTAGTTATGATTGGAATCTTAGTTCAGTGCCAGCTATTTTAAATATGTCTTTCACCAAACAATAATAACTAGTTGTAGATGAGAGGATGAATAATAAGTCATGGGACTGTTAGTCATCGGGAAACAGGGCAAAAGGCACTTGGTCTCATTGGTTCTCAGACTCCAATGTAGATGGGCTGGTCCTTCTGGTCCTCACCTGACAAGGGGGATTTGTTTGAGCCAATCAAATGCTAATATTTGAATGTTTTACTAATGTGTTGAATGCACAAACAGGAATGTCAAAAAGGCCTGAATAACAAATGGTTTAGAAATGGAGACAATCATGTTTGATCTTCAAAGGTTATCCAACAAAGAATCCATCGCATTAAATAACTTCTTGCTTGTTGTCTCTGCAAACAGTTATTATATTATGTAATTATTAGTCACTGCGTGCATTGTTATTTTGTTGTTGATCGTTGGGATAATTTTTTGATCTCAATGATTGAGTTGTGTGACTTGAAAATGGCTTCATATGTTTTTTTCTGGGACAGAGCGTTGCAGCGTCATGTCTCCAGAGAAGTGGTCGACGGTGGATCTATGCACGTCTGGCTGGACTACACCAGTAATACATGATATTCCAGTTTTATATGTGCACATTTAAGTCCTATTTGTAACTCCCTTGTGATTTTTGAAATTTCTATCAGATCGCCAAATCGCTCTGATGCTTCAAAAGAAATTACATGATGCTTTTCAGGTAAATAACAGTTTTATCATTACAGAAGCTCAACAAAAATCTCATTGAATACATTTTTAATTATTTTTAGTTCACTGTTTCAGAATTTCACTGAAAGCAAGCTGGGAACTATGTCTTATCAAGTGGCCATTCCTGTGAAGGTATAGTCTATTTATAATATACTTCTATAAGTAGAAGTAACTACACTATTGATATTAGAGTATGGTTCCATCATAAATTACTTGTATGTTGTCTTCCAGTTTGAAGAGCCAATTTACGGGAGTCAAAACACTGATTTCACCACTTATGTGACTCCTGGTGCAGTTCTCAGGTTTGTCTTTTTTACCTCATGTCAAAGCACAGCAATTGTACATAAACCATAAGATGTATTTTCTAATAATATTATATAATTTTATTCCATTATAATCCCTTTTCTGTTTTAGTATCACTTTCTATCTCGCTGTTGGTTTGACTGCTTTGTCCTTTGTCCTGGAGAGAAAGGAAGGCCTGTTGGACAGGTGCTGGGTCGCAGGTGGGTTTGCATACGGCACTTGCTCCATGCAAAGTGCTCCATGTTTAAGCTCTGAGATGTTTTATTTCAACACCAACAGTATTATGGCAATCATTATTGATTTTTGTTTGGTTAGTAACAGTATCTAATTTTCAAAGAATTTCTCTACACTACTTAGTTATTTAAAATGTAATCTAATTACATTCACTAAACCTTTGTTACTGAGTTGCAGCCATCACTGTTTAGAGTCAATAATATTACTTACCAGTGTTTGTATTATTGTGTTGCCATCTATTGTGTTGACATCTATACAGTAGGTCGGCTAAGACACTACGTCTTAGCTGACCTATAGATGTCACCATTGAGCAGCACATATCACGGCGCATTGTTATTGTGACGTGCTAGCATTTAATGCAAGTATCAATCAATCAATCAAAGTTTATTTGTAGAGCGCCTTTCATACACAGGGCAACACAAAGCGCTTCACAGTCAACATCACAAATCATCACATAAAACAAACACCAGAATCACAATTAAAACATTAAAATCACACAAAAGATTAAAACACAATTAAAACATTAAAATCACACAAAAGAATAAAACCATTAAAACTTTCAAAATTACACAAGAAATTTAAAAAAAATAAATAAATGACAGTATGTAAGTATGTTGATATTATTTGTTCTGTCCTGCTGTGAAACAGGAGTGAGTTCTTTGGAGACGATGCTAGCTCACCTCTGCTCCCAACTCTTTGTCATCAGCATCCAAATCTTCATGCTGCTCATCTTTGTGATGCATGTTTTCAAGGTTTGCTATGTGACTACACTCACAATAATACTTTGCTTTCCCATACAATCATGGTCATCTTAAAAACCATTTTGAAACCAATATTTAGTGACATAATCCGGAAATTAAATCATAAAAAAACAATTACATTTGATGATGATGAAACTAATTGGTATATTAAGATAAACCTTTATTAGTCTCACAGTGGAGAAATTTCAGTGTCATCGTTGCACATTACAGCAGAGAAAGGAAATAAGAGCACTCAGATTGCACACATCAAAGTCTATTATTTAAGATAATAGACAATAAATGTAAGGTAAAATAAAATAAGAAACTCTGGGCTATAATTGCACTTGGTTCGGAGTATTTACAGATGTCTATATTATACATTAGTAGCAGAGAATATGAGAATATGAATATGAGCAGAATAAACATCAGAAATAATATCAACAGGTAAAGTGACTTAAATGGGAGAATTTTCAGATGGATATGAATAATACAGTAAGATATCAACAGGTAAAGTGACTGGTGAAAGGCAGAATTATCAGATATGAAATAATACAGTAGTACTGATAACAGTAAATATCAGATATGTAGTACTGTAGTAGTACTGATAACAGGTAAAGTGACTAGTGACAAATATTGTGTATTATGTATTTAATTATTCTAAAAGTCTTATAAAGACTAAATATATCCTACACAATATACATCACACACATGTGCATACAACACACCGGTACTAATGACTTATAATGAACTCACCAAAATATTATGTTTTTGTTATTCAGCAGATATGGACTTTTCATCCAAAGACAAAACAGGCTTGCACTGTGGTGATGACAGCTCTAGGGTCTCTGAAAATCCAGGGCAGGTTCATTGGTTTTATGGAGCTGAGCAGTTGTGTCTGTCATTGCTGTGGTAACGGTCATGTGACTCTATGAACAGGTCTATTTCTGCACAATGTCAAGGGAGACTGTGTGTAAGAGGCTGCATTTGAATTCTGAATATAATACCTCCTTTCCCTTTTTATTTACCTTGATGGAACTAAACTATACCCATGGAAGGTTTTAAAAGGTACATTTTAAAGGCCAAGGGAAGATAAGAAAGGAAGTATTTTTTTTATGAAGTCTGATGCCGTCTCTGTATATACTGTCATGCGCCATAAAAAGCCTGTGTTTTCAACCCAAGTGCAGTTAAATGCAGTTGAGCATGAAAGGTTTCTCCCCCAGCCAGTGATTTCATTGTTTTGGCCATATTTCCTAGATAATGAATGACAACACAACGAAGTCTCATCTTTAGTGGTTGTGTGTGGCAATTTATTGTGAAATCTACTTTTCTCCTTTAAAATTATAACATATTTCGGCCAATCTACCAGACATGCAGAACTTTGTGTATGAGTGTTTGTTTACGACCGTGGGACTACAGATGGAAATAATAATAATATAATAGTAAATCTTTATTATTGCACTTTTAAAAACACAGTGTTTACAAAGCGCTGCACAGTCAGCATAAAACAGTCAGATAAAATTAAAAAAATAAGGCAGAATAAAGCTGACAGACAACAAGAAAGACAAAACAAAGACAAAGTGGAACAGTAAAATATAATTAGTGAGGTTTGAAAGCTGTTTGATAAAAGTGGGTTTTAAGTTACTTGAACAAGGATACTGATGGAGCTAGCCTTATTTACTACAAATAAGATCTGTGGCAATATCAAATGTGCAGTTCATGCAAGGCAGCCAAGGAATGTACAGGGAATTGTTTTTTTTTTGCCAGGAAGAATAGACAGTTTTACCATCAAAGAGGATTAAGAACTGAATCCATAACCACCACAAAGATTCCAAGCTGTTATAGATGGTAAAGGGGCAGCACACACTACTGAAAACTAGGAGATGAAAACTCGATCAGGGTAATCTCTCATCATTTGAATTTGATAATAAAAAACAAGTTTTTATTTGTTCAAGTGGCTTTACACAACCACTAACTTTGACCTCATTCATAAATTCATTGAAATGTTTTTTATATTAACATAATTTGTTTCTACACAACTGTAAAACAATAAATTGTGTGGACTATTACAAAAACACATCTGCACTATATGTATCGCACACACGCACAATTCTCTTGTTCAATTACATGTAACCAAATATCATATTATACATTTATACATTCCTAAACCAATTTCAATTTTTTTTAGCCATCCACACATCCTCACAGTTTCAGTTTGTACTCTACTGTTCATGTTCTAGTAGTTTGTCTTACACATAGTAATGTAACTTGTGACACATGTGTATCCATAACAACATACACGCTACATAATAAATTACATCCTTCATTTTACAGTAAATATCAATATGAATAGATCTCAAGATTGCTCAACGGTTTTTTGGTTTCCAGCCTTTGGGGTTCTTGGTGATGTATTGTGTAGGAATAATATGTGTTTGAAGAGTTTTTCAAATTTAGATTGTGTGTGTTGCTTGTGTTCCTTGTGTGTAGATGCCAAATGAAGGCTCCTTGGTCCTCATCATCATCCTGATCGTACTGCAGGGAGTGACCGGCATCTCCTTTGGTCTCGTAATCTCCTCTGCCCTCGATGACGAGCAGAGTGCTAACCAGGCCGCTCTGGGTATCTTCTACCCCAACCTCATGATCAGTGGTAGGAACCAGAGCATACAGGCATGAGGCATGACATGTCCATAGGCTGCTTCCTGATTGGCATCCATTTTGTCAGCCAATGATAAGATAGCACAAGAAACAGTACACACAATTGTGCATGCTGGGTAAAATAGATGACTATGTTCAACAAACTCATGAATAAAACAATAATTCAGAAAGATTGTTTTTTTTTTGCATTCCATTTTTACTGGGCCTACAACGTCAACATATGTCTGGTCGCTGTCGTGAAAGAGATTGTTCAAACCTAATACTTGCTCATTCTCCTCACTATCCTGTCTGTCCTTGATTTAACTAAAGTGTATTTTATCTTTGTGTTGCTTGTTATCACATCAGTAAAAGGCTAAGATTCCACTTGATATTTTAACCATTTCACTATCACAAATAGAATTAAACTGCATGAAGTTAATTTACATTGAATAAACAATATTTGATATTTTTGTTTTCAATTATATTATATAATTGACCTAATATATAATCATTCTACATTGCAAATACAATGTACTTGATGTACTGAATTAGGAGAACAGCAGAATTAGGCTGTCATTTGGGTTGCTCACAAAGCATGAAAGCAGATCCAAAAGCAAGCAGGTTGGTTTCATCAGTAATCAGCGCTTAGGAGCCCCATGTGTCACACACTGGAAGATTCTGGCAACAAAAGTAGGATTGTAATTATAATTATCTTTTTAGATGACTTAAGAGTGCACACTACGTACTTTGACTTGAAATTATTGTTTCACATTTGTGAGTGAAAATGGTGTTGGTCTCTGTGTGTGTTCAGTTGAATTAGATACCAATGGTTCCAACTTTGGCGTGAATATGTTATTTTTGCTGTGATATAAAAGGACTAATCTAATGTTCTGGTCCACTTCTCACCTTTTTTGACTTGAATTAAAGCCGTGTTATGAATACTGTTGCATTTGCTTGTGTGAAAATGCAAACTTCATTTTTACACCAGTTTCTGTTATTAAATGTGTGATGTCATCAGATAAATCTTTTCCAATCATTATCGTTAACTCCAGTTCTTGGCTCAATTGACCCAAAGACTGTAGAAAATGACTCCGTCTACAGTCTTGTCGTTTACTGGTTATTTTGGCCCTTTTTTCCTCTCACCAGGTTAAGAGACAGTTGCAAAATGATGGTCCATGCTTTCTTCTGGTGTATGCATTCCCTTGCATGGTCTTAAAACTAAGATATTGCTGTGTAATACAATTGTTATGGGTTAATAAAAGGTACTTAAATTAGTTGTATACTTTGGTCCTTGCAGGTATTATTTGGCCTGTTGAGTGTATTCCGTATCCTCTCCGATACGTCAGCATGGCCCTACCTCAAACCTTTGCTGCTGAGTCTCTTCGCTGTATCATGTACAGAGGTAAAACTACACTACTGCTTTATAAACACCGTTATCACAAGTCACTAGTCCATTTGTCTCAGGCATGTTTTAGTGTTGCCAATGCCTCACAGTTCTATCCAATCTATGGTCTGTTCCCTAAATGTTTAATCAGCTCTCGATCCTCTGTAATGCACCCCCCTGGAGAAGGAGGTTTAGTGGTTTCTCTGGCCATCCCATCTCTGCCCATATCTGCATTGACCTCGCCTGTGTGGACAATGCCATGTGACAGCACAGCGCTACCTCTATGTTATGTGATATTAGTCCTGAAGAGGAAGTGACAGGAGATGTTTTGCTTCCTCAACTCTCAAACATTACAGAATGAAATGGACTTGGCAGATTGGCAGTTTAATTCTGACCTAAATAGTTCTAATCTACTATTGAGGATGATGTTTCTGCAGCGATTAATGTCAAAATGGCAATTTTCCAATGGGACAGTGTCACTATGGGCCAAAAAGATCACAGTTTACTTCCACTGACTTATCAGGTCATTTTGTGTTTATGAGTCCCTTCAGTCCATCGATCATCAATTAGTACTGTATGTTATCTGGAAGTAGTAAGTATGTATTTTTTTCTGATATCATTATATTGATATTGTATATATTTCTGATATTTGCTTTTGCAGGCTGGGGTCTGAGCCAAATGTTGGTGTGGCGAGGATTTGCGGTCACACTTGGCTGGAACACCTTCTTCCTAATTTTAGCGACTGTCATTCTGAAGTTAAGGACTTGAACACGTCTTTCTTCTGGTAAATGCTCATTATGAAGAACAGGTGAAACTTGTGCCAACAAAACAGCCCCGACAAAATCATCGAAGGAATACTGTTCATTCCATCTGCCTATACAGCCAAGTATACACCACATGTTTGTAGGCCTGTACACATCTGAATGCGTACAATATATAATGAAACTTAATTTAATATATAATAATGTGTGTCTAATGTGCACATAATGTGCACAGAAACACAATAATGTGCAGAGAAACACAATATTCTTTTGTTTTATGTTAAAGTAACCTACAGAAAACATTTTTATCCACATGAAATGTGACATCATATTTAGAGTGAACTTTTTTTGTTGGCTTTCAGTTTTTATGTAGAGACATGCTGCCTTTCTTATCTGACCCTTGTGTCCTGTGCTCTGCATCATTTTTACACTATGTAAAAGGGTGCTCAACTGTGAACCAGACATTTGAAGTTCAGCTTTTTCAGTGCCTGCATCAATAGAAACCAAATATTGGGATTAAGATGGATAGCTTGGTCAAACATTATATTCCTGTGGAGACTGTTGCACACACACACACAGATGGCTGGACTGGAGTTAGTGAAAAGGGAGAAAAATAAGTTTTATAATTATGAAGGTGCTGTATAAGAATATATACAATATGTATAAAATTAAGCTAGAGATATTTTGTCTGTGTAGCAGATTAAATTGTATTTCACATATTTATGTTTTAGTTAACGAATTATGTTGGCTTTATTTGTGATTAAATAGTTTTTTCCATGACAGCTTATCTTGACACACATTAATCCTTTTGTGCCAACCGTATAAAATACAGAAGTTCACTTCATTGTATAGTAAATATTATATGCTGGGTCAGTTCAAATGTATGTTTTGATGATAGTTTTATTTGGGCAGTGCCTACTGATCTGGCTTCACTGTTTCAGTTTGTGGACAGAACCTTAGTAGGACATCATAGCTGCTAGTGTAATCCAAATGCTTTCAAACGTGTACTAACATGTTAAATATTCCATTCACGATTATATTGACCCAACACAAACTATCAAACATTACAATTATAGAAATCATGAAGATGAATATTTGATTTGTGTTGGGTTAATATATTATGGAGTGGGGAATTTCTTTTTTGTAAATTATTCTGCCCATACAAACAATGGATGCATTTTATTTATGAATGCCTTAACAGTTTTCTAATTATGCCTTGCTGTATGTTTAATGCTTATATTGGCCCATTTTGTTTTAGTTTAGTTTATTTAAATCACTGCCTTATTCCACTACAGAAAGATTGGTTGAATATTTTGCACAACATTTTTGTTTGATTGTGGTGTATGAATTGTTGGTGAAGTAAGACTCAATCAAAGCGTGTTGAGTTGTGTTTGTTCCTGGTTATCCCGCGCACCTGGTCAGAAAGAAGTTTGACGTCAGCTGATCCTTTTGTGTCAAAGTGAGTCCCTACAATATTCAGTCATCTACCTCCTGTGTTTCTCCCTAAAGGGCATGTAACTGAATGTTGTGAATGTTGTGACACATTCTTGGATTTTGAAACAATAAACTTTGTTGAGAAATATGCCCTGTGTCTGTCTCTGCTTTTCGTAGTGCAGTATGTTATTCCTGTGGTTACCAATAGCCCAAGGCTCTTTGAAACGGATTTGTTTAATGACTTCCTTGCATCACTGTGTTTCACGTTACCATGACAATAGCAGGCAACTGCCTTTGATTAATATGATTTCCTTTTCTACCAGGATATTTTAACTCCTACCATTTACTAAGTAATTATGAGTAAAATTGCTACTGCATAGAGTACCATCAGTGCTACCAGTGTATCCCTAACTGTGATGCAGTGTCTTGTTCATGCAAATAAATATGCTCTTAAAGTCCTCTTTCTTGATAATATAAGTAAACACAAAAGTACTTTCTAATAAGTTCTATAATTTTAGTACAGGTCTTTTCTATTTATTGTCTGAGAATTCTACATTCTGTGTCCACGTAGAACACACAGAACTACAGATATATGGGGAAAGTAGTAGATATGTACTTCTCTGACAACCTACTATTAGAACTGTTTAGTGAAAGGAGAGTCTGTCTGTCCTTCCACAACCAATTACAGCAGCGCAGAACAAACTCTTCCTAATTATAGCAATGACTATGCAATTACACACAATGACGCCCAAAAGAGCCTCACAAGACAATGTGTATGGAAGTTTTAGATACCACGGTTCTATTCTAAGTTGTGTAACTCAATCATGGTGGAACTCTATACAGATGGTTCAAATACACAAATACATCTGCCCTGCATTTGAACTATATATTGAGATATTCATTGCATGATAAAGAGTTGTTTTGCAATCTGAGAAAAACTATGTTGGTCAAAGATTCTGCGCAGAAATCATCTCTGTGTGTTCTTACTCTTGTGTGTTTTTTCTGCAACAGTCTGCTAATGTACATTACATTACATATAATACTGCATGATAGATATAGAGAAATAATGTTATTTGCAGACTCGAGGTCCAGATTAAGATGCATGCTCTCAGTTTTTGCTGGTTGGATAAAGCCTTGTACTTTTCCAAAATTCTGCCGACTACTTTGTCAGAGATGTTATGAAGCAGGGTGACAATCTGCTCATGTGTGGGTCAACTTATTTTTATATAATTAGGACAAACAAGACCAAACAATGGTAAGATTTGAAGTGTCAGTTGAAAAAAACACACCCCCATGTAATACATCTGGTCCGGTTGGGCTATGTTCCTGGTTTGTGATATGCTAAACATTCTGTAAACATTATTCTGCGCATGGTAACTGTCACCATGGCAGCATGACAACACCGCTCAGCTCGGCCCTCACACACGGGACAGTGGAGTTATTTAATATTTGGCTGCACATGAGCACAGCATGATTCTATCACATAATTCTGTCACACACTGATGCCTGTTGCTGGCTCGACTTCTGCACACTCCAGCTGTTGCTATGTTTGGGCCTTATCACACAACAAAAACAACACACAAGAGTACATTGCTCTTCCAGTTGTGTGCTTGACCAGGGTCACCACACATCTTTTATCAGACTGTACCTAATGTTACCACATGTGTCCACTGTCACTATTCTACCCATGTGCTCTTGCTGCTAACACATGCAATAAATAAATATGTAACTAACTCACGGTTATTTCAGTGTTAACTAAAGGTTTTTTTTTGTTTATACTTTTTTTTAAAGCTAAAGGTAAGGATTTTATTTATTCTAAGAGTTATATACTTAATATTCAGGCACTTGTTTTGTGTGCTCCTCATTATATTGTTCTGTAGCATGTGATGCAACACTGAGATTTCCCTGCTGTGGGATGAATATAGGTTTTCAAAAATCTGCAAATCTAGATGAGTCGAAAGCCAATACTTGAATTTAAATTCCCTATTTCCAGTTACATAAACACAGTTGAATAAGTCTGTTTCTATTGCTACACTTTGCTCATAAAAATAACAAAGTGAGTGTACATAACTTTTAAACCACAAAAAATGCAACTATAAGATAGAAAGATAAAATCATTTCCAATAAGATGAAGGCAGTATGTCAAAGTCTGATTTGTTTCTTTTAGGACAAAAAACATGGATTATTTAAGAGTAAAGTTACCCCAACTTTAATCATAACAAGAGTACAACACATTTGTTGGTGTACATTTAGCAAAGGCTGTAGGAGATTTAAAAAGTGCAATATTTTTTGGTGTACTCAGACTACAGAGTCCAAGTGTTCAACTCACTGCTCAATTTTTCATAATTTCCTGACGCTTCACACAGAACTGCAGCCCTATTGGCTCTGGGAAAGAGAACCAAATGTCAAAACATCCATCAAGAAGGAACTGGCCTGAGCAGCATTTCACCCGAAGAATCAAAGGAAGGTGTGTCTGCAACTTCCAGCGCTGGAAATGTCCAGGAGTGGGGCTGGTGCTGTAACCATAGCAATGTAAACAGTAGGGTTAAACACAGATTAAATTGAGTACAAGATTATGTAAGATACATGTGGTAGTGTGCAAATGACCCTTAAAATGTCTCAGGGTCTAGTTGCAATATGTTATTTGGTGTTCAGTATTGATTTTAGTCCTTTGCAAAAGGGACTATGAGGAAACAAAATTGCATTAGACCAATCCAGGCATTGATATGCACCAAGGACCAAGGCAAATCATAAAAATAAAAATCATGCATAACAATACAAGGCCAATGAAAATTGTAAAAGAAAGCGACCTGATGTTTAAGTTAGGAGATGACTAAAGTTAATAATGTAGGCTTCATAGCATAAAAGCACTGAACACAATAACATAAAATGATCTACAGAAATATAACATTGTGCAAAGTTGAGTAATGTGTGGTTGTCATTGCAGAAAAAAGTAAAAAAAAAGCTACTTATATAATAATAATTTAAAAAAATGTTTTACTTATTCACAACCTTAGACTAGTTAAGACCAGGGAAGGTCTTCTATTCAACTCGTTACACAGCAGTTGGTTGACAAAATCAAAACAAAAGCAATACAACAGGAGTCTGACTGGAATGTGAAATGTGTAGGCTCAAACTACACATTTTGGCAAACTACGTGTCCCATAATGCTGTTGGCGGCGTCAATGTCGTCTTGGCTCCGCCCCCAGCGTACGCTCGCGAAGTCTGCTCCGTGTTTACGTTGAGATGCTCACAACAAAGGACAGCGCTGCTCGACACGGACTCTGTAATTTTTTATCAACCTCTGGATATTTCCGAAAGCGGACAATTTACTATTTACAGTGACAAGAACCAAAGGACAACATATATCATCATTCAGTTTGCGTCTCTGTTAGCCTGGCACGCCTTTGTTTTGCTTTGTGGTCAGACAGCTTGTATCGCATAAATTAAGCACAAACATCTCTTTTTGTGCCGGGTTAATTGTTAGCTAGCCTGTTAGCTTCAGCAAGTTGTTAGAAAGGCCAACACCAAACACTGGCTAGACAAGGGTAACGGGAAAAAGGGATCCCGCCAGTCTGTTCGCGGTAAGTGCATATCTAGACACATTTATTAAATGCATCATAATGAAACATACCATGTGGAGACACACACTGCTGTGCTTTCTGAGCAATAGCTTTGTTGACTTGAAATAATTAGTACGAGACGAACATGCATTTACAATTTTACATGAAGCCGTGATTCTGAATAAATATTCATTTTTACCAGCTTAATGAATACATTATACGCACCGATTTAGAATGAATGCCCACATGCATGTGTGGTATTATAACCAATTAAGAAAATTATGACATTGAACAGTCTGTGTGTACCATGGCTGTATTTTGTCAGAAAAGACAAGATGTTGATGAGACATCTCAGGGGGCTCTGTGAGAAAGTGAAAATTGCTTATTGTTTGTTAATGGTATCCCATCATTCATCTTATCTGTCAACTGATGCCAGCTCTCAGTACTCACCCAGACTCTCCTCTGTCAAGGGCCTCACTGCTCACTTCTCCGGCAGCTTGGATAAGTGAAGATGTGATAGGGTCAGTGGCTTCTCAATTATAAATCTAATTTTCCTTTTTAGTGTTACAAATGTCAGATAAATTGAACTTTCTTGGTCAACTTTCTCGTCTAAACTACACATTTGCCACCATAGCAGTGTAGTTAATTGGCCAGTGAGTATATAAACTATAGATACATTAGCTGTTGATAAAAAACATATGTCAACTCTTAGTATTTTAGGAAGGTTTTATGTTTTTATTTATTTTCCCCAGAAAACACGCACAACTAGAGCCTTAAAGGCCATACGTTTTCTCTAAAACCTGCACATGTACACACTGTTGCCTGTGAGTTGTAGACCCTGGTGTCAGTTTCAGGGTGAAACTGGAGCCGATGGTGTCAGACAGCGAGTGCAGAAGCAGCTCTGGCGACTTTCCTGTGGCCCATATATGTTGCTTGTATCCGTAGTAACCCAGAGAGTACAGGAACACAAGGCACTAGCTCCTCTTCACATTTAAATAATATCCTTCAAACAAGTCTAGTGTTGTATGTATTTTTCACATTAACCTTTGAAGACAGCCTAAGTTCTGGATGTCACTTTACATTTAGTTTCATAATACATAATTTATTGAAAGATTGTCTCAGACAATTTTGATTATCTGTGAATAACGTATCACAATTTTGTCCCCTCATATTGACAGATTTTTTTTTTCAAATACTTAAATTCAAAACAAAACAAAAATCAGATAACCAAACCTGTTCTGTAGGAAGGATTGCTTTTTTTCAAATGGAATATTATGGTATTCAATGATACACAAGTTATTTGTCTTGTGTCTAAATCCAGGTGGCGGCCTGTGTGTTCTCAGTGAGCTCAGTGTAACGTGGGCACAGCTGGCCTGGTACCGCTGAACAGGCTCAAGTTTGAGGAGATTATGTCTGTTATGGAAAGTGGGTCAGACAGTGGGCACGTTTTTACAGTGCTGTTTCTCAGAGGTACAGAGAAAACTGACAAGCTTTGCTATAAAACTCTAGTGATTTTCCAACATCTTCGTCGAGGTGACAAGGTCTAAAAAATATATAATGTGTGTCATGATTTGAATAGGGTGTTTATCTTCTTTTTTTTCTCAGGAGCTGTTAGTATAGATCCATAAAGAAGTGGGAATGGGCAAAGTTAAGCCTGAGTTCATGAATAGCATTAAGCTCTAAGTCATGGAACAAAACATCAGTGTTTTAATATTGACATATGCTGGCTTACAATTGGTGATTAGGGTTTGTTTCATTATAAAACATACAATAATTTTTAGTACAATAGTTCAGCGTGAATGTGTGAGTGCAACTGCTGGACATTGGGGGAAATGACCCAAGGCTGTTTTTTGGTGTATTTAGAGCACCTTCTGCACATCAATACATACTGTTCCATCCAAATGTCAGAAACATGAATTGAAGATTTGATTGGAGAAGGAGTCATCAATACAATTGTGAATGAAATTTCGCAATTATTTCAATTATTTCAATGGCAATATTTCCATATTCTTATACTTGAAATAGTGTAATACAAATGCGTGTGAAATACATGTATAATAGATTTCTCCAATTATTTGTCAGTGAAACTGGGCTGTATATGTGGGGCTTCATGAAAATAAGAAAATTAAATTTCAAACAAACTATTTTCTTCTCTTTAATTTGTACATTTTCTTGATTTATTTAACTTCCACTTTATTCCTGGCTTCCTCAAATCAACATTAGCATGTCCACTTGGCCTGCTGTGGTCTAATGCACCAGACTGTGGTGATGCCTCTGAATCATTGATGAAGAGGTAACTGGAGCTGTGCTCATCCTGTTTCTGTTTTATCTGCCCTTTTTCTGGAAAACTTGTTGGCTGCTGTGGCAACATCTTCTTGGGTTGATGAGACTCAAGGAGCACATGCAAACAACCCCCTTTGACTTGCATTAACCACCAACATGCTTCCGGTAGAAAGGATAATGCATGTTCTCAAAACCAGGTGTTTGTAACTTGTAAATATGGAATGTTCACAACTTGGACATTTGTTTGTAGTGTTGCCTCGCTCTCCGGTGAGTCATAAGTTGAAGTCATGGTGATGCAGCGGGTCTGTGTGATGCCCTCATCGGCTGTCAACAGTGCTCTTCAGGTTTACATTCCTCGTCCTGCTTCTAATGCCCCGGTGCGCCGGCTGACCTGCTCCACATATTTCATGCTGTACTGTTTATAGCTGACAATTGTGAGTATTGTTGTGGCAACTCTTCCGCCGAGCAAGGGTCTGGCTCTGGGCCAGGTGGATTATCATAATCACCCTTGTTACCAGCCGCCCCTGTTTCTGCCTCGGCCCAGGCTTTGGCCGGAGAATACTTACATATGAGCTTTCATTTTAGCACAGAAGCTTTAGTCATGCTTAGGCTGCTTGCTTGTGTGGACTGCAGATATCCCAGTCACCTCAATGGGGATTCCTTCCAACTTTACCCGTCAAAACGTACTAAATTAAATGGATCATGGGTGGTTGTGGTTGAAGAAAACTTCAATGAACAAACAAATCATTCTCTTATATCACTGCTAGAGAAAGAAAAAAATAGAGAATTCCATAATACTGTATATCAGAGAGAACAAAGAGAGACTACTTGATTCCTGTGCCCATCCCTCCTATTTGACCACATGTATTCTGTGATACATATTATCGAGAGCCGCTGTGCACAGGGCCCCTCCAGGGAGCACAGAGCAGGAGAAGTATATGTCTGTGAGTAGGCAGGGAATTGGGACTTCCTGTGCATCGACACACACCGACTGTAAATGTCTCAGGAATCGTCTGCCATCTGGCCAGTTTTTAGGCTTACAATGTAGCAAGTCAAAACTTAAAGTGATTCAAGTGTTAAGGCTGTTTCTTTGGGAAAATAGCTGTGTGCATTTGACCCATCTTTCCATTGCCACGAGGGCACCCTGCCGCTGCAGAGCTGTGCCCAGTGATGCATCTCCAGATGTTCAAGCTCCCCTTGGTAACCTCACTAGAGGATTTTACCGATGCTGAATGTTATCTAGTCTTTCCTCTCACTTATGCCCCTCTGCCTGTAAAAATACATTAATCTTATTAATGAATGCAATTGCTGATCATGTGGGCAGTAGAAGGATTACAGATCAGAGAGCCTCATAGATGGTTGTTTTATATCAGAAGAATGAATGATCTGTTATGCTTTATGAATCATTTTCTCGGCACACGCTCTTACCATTACTCCAACCCCCGAGTGCATTATAAATGAGCTCAGTCCGACTTCTGTGAATACATTACAAGTCTCCATGTGAATTTGAACAGCCAGATGTATGCATGCCTCCCACACTCTCTAACGGAAGAACTTGGCCATAATTTTCTGGGTTAACATGTGTCTAGCCTTTTTATTGAGTGCAGTTAAGATATAAGCGTGTTTTAAATGAGCTCCACTGGTAAAGTTGAGGTTTATGGTCAGGCCAGGCCTCCTCTCTCTTCAATAAAACGTCCCCATGATGTGATGCATAATGCCTCTTGTTTAGTCATCACCAGTTGGAAAAGCTCAATAAGGGCTGTTGTGTGAATGCTGTCTCTGTGCAAGTGTCCATGTGGCTGACGTCTAAATGACTACCTCATGAATATTTATGCTTCTATGTTTGTGCAAACTCACAACTAACTAACTATCACTTTTTCCGATTGACTCTGAGTTGGGATCTAGTGATTAGATTGTTTGAATTTAGTGTTCCACCATTTCGTCCATTTATGTCAGTCTCTATCCCTCCCGTTGTTCCGGTGTTTTGTATGTATGTACTCGACTCCTAGTTTTGTTGTGCTAACTGCAGCAGCTGCTGTTTGTCACCAAGCTAAAAGCTTGATGTATTGATGTGCGGTAGCCACCCCCACACAGAGCTCCTGTTACCACTGAAGATTGATCACATATTAGCATCACTTTGACAGATGCATTTGCTCACTCGTTGGCCCAATATTGAATGTCTGATGCGGTAAAACCTCATTTCATTTGTACAATTTGTGTAAATTTGGCAACTGCTTCCTCGGTTTCTAGTTCACAAAGAAAGTTTTTGTTAGAGGACAGGATTTTGGCAAAAGTGGACTTTGCTAGATCACCTGACTGAGCTTTTCTGGCTTCTACTAAGCCATTCAAAGCACAAGATGTATCCCATATTTTGAATTAAACATTTGTTGAGATTTAGAACAACCATTGTTCCAACAGGGAATAATAACACCTTTTGTATAATAAATATTTATAAGAACTAAACTTTTTAAAATGTTTTAAAGTTTTTAGTTTGACAATAATCAGGCTGTATAAACATGCATTTTATTTGTATCAGCTTGTTGAAGTCTGTTTAATGTTGTTATCAAGATTCACCAACGACATTTTGGCTTGTTTTCTTAAAAAAATAAAAAAATAAAAAGATTTTCCACTTGACATGAAAGGCTTGATTGTGCCACAAATCGCTCACTATCCTGTATCTCTACGGCGAGGTGTCTTGTGACCTTTGAGATAAAAGAGTCTGGCTGAGATCACACCGACCACAGAAGAACCAAAGCCAAACCTCATCCTCAATGCTCATTACAGTGTCATCTTTACTAAATGCTCTTTCTCATACCAGACTTGGTGTTTGTGTTATTTATCATCACAATCGTGGTCCTTTTAAGTTGTAGAAAATGATAATCCATAAAGCTCTTTTCTAGTCCCTCTGTATGGGTAGTTGTGTTTGAACTCCCACGGGGTAGAATACAGAGGATGGTCTGTGAGGACAATTGTTAGTGCAGTTATTGTAAAGCCAACAGACACATGAGCAAGCACAGAAGTTTAAGTCTTTACGCCTGCAGCAGAAATGACCCATAAATTATATCATGTAGTTATAACAAACGAGTCGTCTGTTAAAGCAATATTCTTGACGTATTTTGACCTCAAAACAAAAAGCAAAACCTAGTGACACTTTCCCTTGTTGTTGTAACCTAATTTGTGTCACCTTTTGTTTTGCGATTTAGTGCTGTTACTAAATTTACTACATTATGATAGTAGAATAATTACTCGATACAATTTTTCAAGCTATTTACATTATTATGACATATATTAAGGCTCTTTTTGAACAATATTTTTTTTTAACTCCAAATATTTCTTTTTATGGAAATTGTTTAAAAAAACAACATTTCTCCTGTTAATTTGTCTGTTTTTTTTTTTCTATAATAAAATTAGTTTAACCTAATCCAGATTCAATAATTTTTTGAGTATTTGCAACCATACTGCAATGTTTATGTTTATCAAAGGCATCTTCCGCTAGAGACTGTTTTTCCATTAGCGAATTAATTGGTATGTAACGGTATGTAGTTTTGGAAATATAGTCATGGTGTCTAAGGGTAAGGGCAACAAAAACATCCCTTTCAGTTTACTACGGCTCACAAATACTTTTCCAAATGCACTCCTCTATTGATATTTTCCATAGGTGTACATGCTCTGAAGCAGATTGTAGTATATCATGTTGTGCTTTATTGTGGTGAAGCTGACGGTTGTGTCCTTTTTCCACCAAGTCCGACAGTTAAACCACCATTTCATGCTGCAGCTGGCGTGTTTTTATGTTCACATACAGAATGTGTTTGGATGTCAATAATTTCACGCACATTTGTTCAGGGAGAACAGCAGGTGTGGTGTTTAGTCCGTGCCTTCTCGACGTGAACTTTTTCAGGGCACAATGTTGTCCCTTGTGCTCGTACACCCGCTAGCCCTAGACTCGTCCTCAGATTCATCTATGAGCGTGGCCTCTATTGTGTTTCAGTCTTGTGTATTTCAGGAGCTTAGCAACTGTTGGCACAAGTCCACCGTGAACTGTTCGTAAGAGGCCAAGAGCTTACTCCAGATCAGACACACACGCACACACACACACCTGCAAGAGTGCAGTACTTGTGAGAACATTTATGAGGCTAACAGGAGTTCAAGTGATTGTCCTTACAACAAGCTGCATTGAATTTATTGTGAGTAATGTTATTTTTACACATAAACTCACAGAACAAACATGTGGCCGAGGTTTACCAATTAGTTTTATTGAGCTGCAACTTCCCCGAAAGCCAACATCTCTTATGCAACTTTGTGAACAAAAGGGTTTTATTCACGTAATGCTGTTGGGTAAAAATAAACAATAACTAAATTATGGTTGCAAAACATGATTGATCACAATTACTTCATTCTGTCAAAATATCAAGCAGATCATTATATATCAATCATAGGGAAATATTCTTCTGAGTCCCACAGTGATGAGGACATTTCAATGATAGTTCTAAAGAGCCAAGAGAATAGTACAGAACAAGTACATAGCGTGAAGTGAATACTTCAAAAATATAATTATATCTCCCCAATAAGCATCGTAACAAGAGCAAAGAGCTGCCTTTGAAAATGAAATAAGCAGTTCCTGGGACAAGTCCAATGAAGAGCTGTTTTTAAACTCCTTTAATCCTATACAGACATATAAAAAAAAGAATTCTTTATTTTAGAAGATCCATAGACCCATTATAGAAGTGAAACATTTCAAGCTTCAGGAAGGTTTTTTCATGTCCAAGATATAAATAACATGCAGATGGCCGGCTGACCGACAGGCCTTTAACTGGTGTGGTGTACACTAATTTGACTTAATGCACATTAATATACTTGATATATAAATACTTTTTAGTAAATCTAAAAAGTTCATTAATAGTTTCAGACTAAGAGAAAGCTAAACAAATCGGTGTATCTCAGTGTGTAAATTAGAAGAATTTAAAAAATGTTCCTTATTCAATTTAAGATGTTTTTCTTTTAAGCAAACACTGAAGAAGTTTGTGGAAGAAAGATGGTTGCCCTTAGCACAGAGCAAGTGAGTGTTTGGACCTGTGTCTTATCTGTGTGTGTGTTCTGTTGAATGAGTGAGAGGAGCTGTAGTCAAATTGTATCTGCTTTGTCCAACACCTTTTCAAACAAAATATACTTGATGATGAGCTTACCGTCAACCATTACAATGAAACTCCTGGGGTCCTGAATACACTGCAGTGTGACTTTAGAAGTTTGTTTTATACCTTTAAATTTGGTCTTGTCTTCCTCGTGGTGAAAAGCCAACGCATGATGAAACACACACATACCGTTCCCACTGTTGTCGCGGGACAGCATTTCATGAGTCAAAAAACCCAAGCACAAATGACAGATGGACAATACATTTTGAACTTCATGAACATATCACGTGATGACATTGTGATGTAGAATATTCTTTTTTGCCATAATGGCCATTCCTAATCAGAAAAGCAGTCCATAATCTAAGGCTTATCCTGTCTTTTTCCTTTTGCAGGGCAGGACCGAGATGAGGCATGAGATGAGACTGAGCTGACCCTCCCCTCTTCATCTCCCCCTCGTGCCCCCCTGTGCCCCCTCCCTGTTGTAGCTTCTGCTCTTCCTGCTCTGTCCTTCCAGCGGCCTGCCCTAATGTACTCCCCAGAAGAAACCATCTCTACTACCACCTCCACCAAAGTGCCAGTCAAGTATGGGGAGCTCCTTGTACTGGGGTAAGAGCATTCACATTCTTCAGATCATCACATCACATAAGGAAACAGAAAAGTAGTTAATTTTACTATCAGCAAAGAGTAAAGATAATAGTGAGTTTCTTGTTTGTTTTACTTATTTTTCCTGTTTACCAAACATAAAAAGTGTACAGTCCTCTCTCAAACAATATATTCCTCATTGGAAAGGTGACTTCCCTCATTCAGCAATAGTGCATCGCGGGGATGGATTGGTTATAAACCAACCTTCAGTGTGTAAGTCATCCGCACACCCAGCTCTCACATGATGCTTTGTACTTTCTTTAACGGTGTGTCTCCTGTTCAGTCCCCAAAGGCCGATTTCACTCCACTCCCTGCCCCAGCCCCTCCAGTGAGGAATTCACAAGTTGGAAAGACTGCAGTTCACACGCATGCACACACACACACACATTTGGAAATGTATGTACTTGGAAACTTTCCTCAAGAAGAACCCCAGGTTCCGATCCATCAGCTCTTTGCATGCAAAAGACTTCAGAACTGATATGGACTTTGTAGTTTGTTGTCAATACAAGTGATCTTTATTGAATAACCCCCACATGTAAATCTGGGGCAACAAGGCAGGTGGAGTTATTTCAATATGGGTAGGTGGATATAAAACCTTTCCTTTAAGTTAAAGGAAGATCCGAGCCTTGTCTTGTATATACACATACATAACATATTTTAATTAACTCCATAGTAGTCTCATTTCTATACACCTCAGCTATGAGATGATAACTGGAACACAGATGATGTAGAGACAAACTGTTTGTTTGGTTCACATATCACAGGCCCTTTAACACACATTCTCTCTCTGAAGGATGCTGACATGTGCAAACGTGTGCACTAGTGCAAAATAAAGTGAGTCATATTGTAGGAATTATCTACACAACTTGTCTTTATATGTTTTATAGTCTTACTCTTAGTTGGTCAGCCACTGACGTATGCTCAGTAGGATTTTACTACTGTTTGCATGGAGCGACTGCTTAGTACCTTACTGGATGCTATTAAATTGTGTCTCATTCTGCCGTGACCAGGATTTTCCCCACTCTGGTCAGCAGCCATTCACACAACACACAACACAAGAACTTTACTTATAAAGTTGTGCATAAGTTTACCCTCACTATTTATGTTGTCTCTGTCATGCAGAGAATACTAATGATAAGATGGTTTTTACTCATGCATAGTAGTAGCAGTAGTAGTAGCAAATATTTTGTAGTACGTAAACTCTTGGTCTTGGCCATTTAGGGAGTTTAAAATTAGGATGAAAATGGCTTATCCTATCACCGCCTCTAAGTATCCTTACTCTGAAGGCGTACATTCTTTCAGGATATGAATGTTCAACATATACACACTACTGGGACCCTGACTTTCTGCAGCCGGAAAGGCTTTGACTTGTTTCCAACACTTTTCCCTCCCTCTGAATAAGGCCCAAACTTCACTATGGCAACACTTGTGCCATAGTTACTGGTCCCAAACGTTGACACTCTCCATGGTTACTTGTAAACCCTCGAAGCGCTCGTCTGATCCCACAGATCTGCAAATACAAACACTTAGCAGCCGTCTGGGTAGTCGACTTGCACTGGTTTTTAGACTTTGCCAGAGGCGCAATTTGAAGTGGTATATGATGGTAGCTATTTGAAAAGACCAAGTAAAGTCCAGGGGGTAGCTTCTGGCTACGTTGTGTATATTATTTTTAAGTATATTGTAATTTTGTATTTGTTACAAGTCTATTTTCTTAAACAAATTAAAGTGATAACTTTGGGTAATCTAATGAAAGTACTGAAATGGACAAGTGGATATAGAAAGTGTTCGATGAGTCAAGATTTTCTACATTTGGCCATACATTTCCTTGGAAAGGGCCATACAATGTGAAGTGAAAGTAAAAAAAAAAGCCTACCTGGTTTAATACATTGCAGAGCTATATTTTTCTACACTAACCACTTAGATGGACAGCATTAACCATTGTCCATCTACATACAGTCTGTACTTTCTATTTTAAATTTAAATGCATTCCTTAGAAGTGTTTTTTATTCTTTATTTTTTATTATCTCTTTCTGACTGTTGCACTGAGCCAAAGCAATTTCCAAGTCTGTGACTTCCTGTTACTTACGTGGCAATAAAAATGATTCTGATTCTGATTCTTATATGCCTACAGATTCTCAGCTTGATTTATGTCTGAACTTTGACAGGGCCATTCTAACACATGTGTGTTGTTTAGGCCAAAAGGTTCAGTCTCATCTGACCCACGTTGCGTCTGTCCTCTTTAGTTCCACACTAGTTTTGCCACTAATCCATAAAGGCCAGATTTGCCTCATGTACAGGTACCCTCATGTGAGCTGTGGATGTCTGGGCCACTGGAGTTACCCTGGTATCCTTTGGCATTGCTGTCCTTGTTCAACCTGTTAGTTTAGGTGTTGTGCCATGTCTTGGTAGGTTTGCAGTTATCCCATAACCAAGACTATTGTCTGCCACAATATGTGTATTTCAGAACATGTACAACACAATTTTACCAAACATGCTTGAGAGCTTCCAAGCCCCCTCACTCAGTCATTACTTCAGCCAAACATTCCAAACAAAATGATTAAATGTGAAAAAGTTCAGGGGTATGAATGCGTTTGGAAAATAGTTTATGTTTATTGTGTGATTCTGGTTGTGTAGGCAACCCAAAAGAATGCAAAATGCTGTGAAATGCAGTGAAATCCACGTAAAGTTGTCAATGCAAATAGATGTTACCAGCATTCCTTTGAAACGCTCTTATTGTCCTTTTAATCGTGTGTTATTCAGCAACACTCTGAGAGGCAGTGTAGTCCACGTCACAGAGCCTTCTTCTGTGTGAGGAAACGCCTGTTTATCCCCATGCCTCTGTCAGCCAAAGTGCTGCTCTGTGTGTTTATTTTCTCTACGTTAATGTTTGGGCCTTCTGTTGTTTATGTCACAAAGACCCTTTCTCATGTGTAGTTTTTGTATGCCTCTGCAGGTACAATGGCTCACTGCCGAATGGGGACAGAGGCAGACGTAAGAGTCGCTTTGCACTATGTAAAAGACCCAAAGCAAACGGAGTGAAACCCAGCACAGTCCACGTCGCCTGCTCCCCGCAAGCAGCCAAGGTGACCCACATCACAATTCACTGCAGTAGAATTGAACCAAAGGGACCAGAACACATTTGTGTTCCATTAAATTGTAGTGGATATTCAGTAATGTGTATTTTAGCATTACTTTGTCTGACCTAAGATACAATAGATAAAGCCACGCTGCATATAAGAAACAAATAGCTGTTGTTTTTCACAACATCTGTATTCAATGGATTCTCTGGAAACATCCATAAGTCAACCTTTAACCACTTAAATTTGAAATGGTCTGGAAGAGTGATTGTTCGTCACTCTTTGCCCTCTGGGTGGTCCTAACTGACCTACGAGATGTTAAAGCAAAGAACTACACTAACCGACTCCACCCTTCCTGTGTCTGTTGTTGATTTTTGTAAGTCGTTGAACAGATGTTAAAAGATACAGTGCAAGTTGTCCATTTTCCTCCCTTTGTCTTGTATTAAATCCCTAATGTCAACATTTTCGAATTTTCAGGCCATAAGCAACAAAGACCAGCACAGCATTTCCTACACCCTGTCCCGAGCCCAGACAGTGGTGGTGGAGTATACACATGACAGCAATACAGACATGTTCCAGGTGGAATTGCTTTTCTAACAGTATTTGTATTGACATTTATAATGTCACTCATGCTTCTTGTCTTGGTCTTTTTTTCAGATTGGCCGATCCACAGAGAGCCCCATAGACTTTGTGGTGACAGACACTGTTGCAGGCAGCCAGAGTAACACCGACACACAGTCAGTCCAAAGCACCATCTCCAGATTTGCCTGTCGCATCATATGCCAGCGCACAGCGCCTTACACCGCCCGCATCTACGCCGCAGGCTTTGACTCCTCCAAGAACATCTTCCTTGGGGTTAGTTCTTCATTCATGTTGAGTTTACAAACACTCAAAATATCCCCCACATGTAATCTATTTTTCTTTCATCTTTTCAGGAGAAAGCTGCTAAGTGGAAGACGCCTGATAGTCAAATGGATGGACTCACTACAAACGGCGTGTTAGTGATGCACCCCCGGAATGGCTTCAGCCAGGACTCAAAGCCCGGCGTATGGAGAGAGATCTCCGTCTGTGGAAATGTCTTCACGCTGAGAGAAACACGCTCAGCACAGCAGCGAGGGAAGATGGTGAGACAAGTGTTTCTCTATACTCTATTCTAGTTCCATTTGCTTAATCTATTATGATGACAACGCCACAGTGGTACATCAATAGGGTCATTAGCCTTGCATTGAATCTCTATACAAGACTCTTCTGCATTGTTTAATCACAGTATGTGCTAAATTATTGTTATACATGATTATTATACATTTTTTTGTTGCCTCCATCAAAGGGTAAAGGAATCGCCAGGGGTTGTTGTCTGTTTGTTAGTGAGTTAGTAAGTTAATTAGCAAGATAACACCTATTTTAGAGCGGATCTGAGTGTCTGGATCTTGGATTAAATTACTAAATGGAACTGCGCTCTACAAGTGATTTTCTAATTTTGAATGTTCTTGACTAGATTATGGTCCAAGCATCTTTGGAGACAAAACTGCACCATCCTGAGAAAATACACTCAATAGTTATAATAGAGAACCAGGGCTTCTGTAGCTGATTCTGAGGAACAGACTGAGGCCGTTTCCTTTCCACTTTTCAATCCATGTTGTTATCTCTCCTCCCACCTGCTCTTCTGTCTCAGCACATCTCAAAGTCACACACACATGGATTGTGTGGCACTATCAAACCCTATTCAGATTTTCCTGCTGATTGGCCATTTAGAGTAGAAGTAGAAGGCCTGTTATAATTATGCACAGGCTGTTGCGCTTCATGGGACTGTTCATTTGTATTGACTGGAGACACTGGTAGTCACTGATAATGCAAGGCTTAATTGGCCGTCACTCATGTCGGTGAGTACCCTAATGGAATGGCATAAACAACAATATAATTTATCTACATATATGTACAGCGCCTTGCGAAAGTATTCGGCCCCCTTGAATCTTTCAACCTTTCACCACATTTCAGGCTTCAAACATAAAGATATAAAATTTTAATTTTTTGTCATGAATCAACAACAAGTGGGACACAATCGTGAAGTGGAACGAAATTTATTGGATAATTTAAACTTTTTTAACAAATAAAAAACTGAAAAGTGGGCCGTGCAATATTATTCGGCCCCTTTACTTTCAGTGCAGCAAACTCACTCCAGAAGCTCAGTGAGGATCTTTGAATGATCCAATGTTGTCCTAAATGACTGATGATGATAAATAGAATGCACCTGTGTGTAATCAAGTCTCCGTATAAATGCACCTGCTCTTTGATAGTCTTAGGGTTCTGTTTAAAGCGCAGAGAGAACCATGAAGACAAAGGAACACGCCAGGCAGGTCCGAGATACTGTTGTGGAGAAGTTTAAAGCTGGATTTGGATACAAAAAGATTTCCCAAGCTTAAAACATCTCAAGGAGCACTGTGCAAGCAGTTATATTGAAATGGAAGGAATATCAGACCACTGCAAATCTACCAAGACCCGGCCGTCCCTCCAAACTTTCATCTCAAACAAGGAGAAGACTTATCGGAGATGCAGCCAAGAGGCCCATGATCACTCTGGATGAACTGCAGATAACTACAGCTGAGGTGGGAGAGTCTATCCATAGGACAACAATCAGTCGTGCACTGCACAAATCTGGCCTTTATGGAAGAGTCGCAAGAAGAAAGCCATTTCTCAAAGATATCCTTAAAAAGTCTCGTTTAAAGTTTGCCTCTTTTTGGCCACAATGCAAAACGATATGTTTGGCGTAAAAGCAACACAGCTCATCACTCTGAACACACCATCCCCACTGTAAAACATGGTGGTGGCAGTATCATGGTTTGGGCCTGCTTTTCTTCAGCAGGTACAGGGAAGATGGCTAAAATTGATGGGAAGATGGATGGAGCCAAATACAGGACCATTCTGGAAGAAAACCTGTTGGAGTCTGCAAAAAACCTGAGACTGGGACGGAGATTTATCTTCCAACAGAACAATGATCCAAAACATAAAGCCAAATCTACAATGGAATGGTTCACAAATAGACGTATCCAGGTCTTAGAATGGCCAAGTCAACGTCCAGACCTGAATCCAATCGAGAATCTGTGGAAAGAGCTGAAGACTGCTGTTCACAAACGCTCTCCATCCAACCTCACTGAGCTCGAGCTGTTTTGCAAGGAAGAATGGGAAAGAATTCCAGTCTCTCGATGTGCAAAACTGATAGAGACATACCCCAAGCGACTTGCAGCTGTAATTGCAGCAAAAGGTGGCGCTACAAAGTATTAGCGCAAGGGGGCCAAATAATATTGCACGCCCCACTTTTCAGTTTTTTATTTCTTAAAAAAGTTTAAATTATCCAATAAATTTTGTTCCACTTCACGATTGTGTCCCACTTGTTGATGATTCTTGACAAAAAATTCAATTTTTATATCTTTATGTTTGAAGCCTGAAATGTGGCGAAATGTTGAAAGGTTCAAGGGGGCGAATACTTTCGCAAGGCACTGTATGTAATAGTAGTTGTAATACACAATGTAGTCCTTTTTTACCTTAAAAAAAGTAAAGTGGGGAAATGGTGGTTTGTTCTGCTGCATTGCATGGCAAAAGGCAGTCTCTTTTTCTGCATCTACCAGTTTCTTCCAGTAGAATGTTACTTTCCATATGTTACACTGCCATCTAGTGTGGTTTGTTGTAAGCTACACTGTCAACTGGCTACACTGAGTAAGAAGAAGTGTCTTTACAAATCCATAACGGCATGTACTTGTGACCTTTAGGTGGAGACGGAAAGCCAGGAGCTGGTGGATGGTTCACTAATTGACTTATGTGGTGCAACCCTGTTATGGAGAACATCTGAAGGACTGGCACGCACTCCTACACTCAAACACCTAGAGGCGCTACGACAAGAGATCAATGCAGCTCGTCCTCAGTGTCCTGTGGGCTTCAACACTTTGGCCTTTCCCTCCATGCGCCGCAAGGACACTCCTGACGAGAAGCAGCCCTGGGTCTACCTGCAGTGCGGCCATGTGCACGGCTACCACGACTGGGGCGGCCACCTTGAGGAGCGGGAGGGTAGAGAGGGCCGCCTGCGGGAGTGTCCCATGTGCCGGGCCAAAGGTCCTTATGTGCCGCTGTGGCTTGGCTGTGAGGCGGGCTTCTATGTGGACGCTGCTCCCCCCACACACGCCTTCAACCCCTGTGGTCATGTCTGCTCCGATAAGACAGCCTCATTTTGGAGTCAAATCCCCCTGCCTCACGGCACACACACTTTCCACGCAGCCTGCCCCTTCTGCGCACAGCAGCTGAACGGGGAACAAGGTTATGTCAGACTTATCTTCCAAGGACCTCTCGACTAGTGTCAGTGTGGGGGGCTGAGGCAGTTTGCTTTAACACTACTGCGTGTGAAGTCCATTGACAGATGACTCTCATTTTTAAGTGACCTTTATATTGCTTTTTCACTCAAGACAAGAAGAGATGTCTATATTTTTATGAAAACAGAAACCAAACCAAGAAGACAACTGCGTAAAATTATTAATTTAAATAGTATTCACCTGTGCAACTGTAGAGTAACCGTGCAGTGTTCATGTTCATGTTGCAATATTCCCCTGTGTACATGCCTCAGAGAGGAAGTTTATTTATGATCTGGAGAACAGCCTTCATCCTTCATACCTTCAGCATTTGAAAGTACAGTTTAATGTGGAGATGACGTAAGTTTGGTCTGAGCATCATGTTTCTATGTTGTGTCTGTCGTATTTATTCCCTGTTCTCGGGGGTGTGACTTTGTACTGTGTGAAACTTCTTCAGTTTGACTTTCTGCACACCCAAAGAAATACATTTTCAATAATCCCCAAACTTTTTCAAAAAAAAGGCCTCTGTAAGCAGCTAGCCCTTTAAAGAGGAAACTCTGAAATTGATGACAAAGTAGCAAGATAATAACACATACTAAAAACATGACACTTTAAGGGTTATTGTCACTTAAAGTACCAGCTTTTAACAAACCCCAATCAGCCAGATTGGCCCTGTCTCAGTATTATTAACATCAACATTCTTACTGCTACTAGATTTGATTTTCATCAAATTTACTAATACTGTATTACACCTGGCCATAAAATAAAGACTCTCATACGCTTTTTATATCTTGCTTGGCAAATTTCCTGCTTTGTTTTTCTACAGCAATAAAAATAAATTCCTGACAGGTTTTAGGTCTAGACATTTTGCATGCTTGATCAGACACACAAACTGAGACATGTAATGGAGAAGCCTTCACTCCAAAACTGCCTTTAGAACAATGTACTGTTCACGGCTAGGTGGAGTGTGTGGGTATTAAATTCTGTCCATTAAGATCATTTGAATGTTTGTCCAGTTTTCACCAAGGTCTTCCTATGCTTTGACTGCAACTCACCTCAGGGAGAAACTATTGTCTAGCTGAATCACATCACAGGCACAGCTGAATAAGGTCTAATGAGGATACCCTTGTGGAGAATGCATGTAGAAAAGGGCTTCTTAACTGTTTCATTCTATGTCAGTCATCTGCTGCTGCACTGTCCGTTCTCTCCTTGTGCTTACAGGCAAAAGAATGTTTGAAGCCTACACTTTTGTAACAACAAATAATAAAAGGTGAAATCAGATGGTCTGTTTATATTCTGCAAACTTCTAACTGGTTGGCTGCCTATCCATGGGTCTTTGCAATGTCGAAGTTGCAAACTTGCAAAAGTTGCATCAAGTGTGAATGTGTGGGAAAAGAATGCCGTATTTGAAATGCATTATATAGGGTTAATTTGTAGATTTCTCATTGCTTTTGGGATTCTCAATTTTCAGTTGACACAGAATCTAAAGACAGTGTAACGGCTGTAAAGTACCATTATACCATGAGAATACACAGATAAGAGACGTAAATAGTGTTCATATTGCACTTTATTCCGCTCTTGTCCAGAACTGGGCTGAAACCTCACACTCAACACTTATTGCTAAAGACATTTGCCCCACAAACCTCGATTTTCACCGTACTTAAGTGTCTAAACACCGTATCCAATATTGCACCTTCTTGTGTTGTCCCTAGTTTAACTATTGCAGAGTGATACCGAGACAGAGGTCATAATAGTTTTCAGTGATGAAAGGAATGGAAAGCACATGGGTTCTCTTACACAGACACTGAAATACAAAAAGCCTTCAGTTACATAAAGTGACTTTGGATAAGAACATGTGGTCACATGACAATTTGTTTAATGCCTGATTACAGCCTAACTTAATTTTGAATCACTGGCACAAGCAGCAATAATGAAAATATAAAAATATATAATATAAAACAAGCTGAAGTGCCAATTTGAGTGAATGTTGAGATATTTCATTAAGGCATATCTTTAAAAATGCATGTGTAAGTTGCATCAGTTTTTGTTCATTATAACAATTACCTTATGAGTAATAACCTTCATTCAGTTGAGACAATATTCAGTTGACTACTACTACTAAAACGACTATATGAATCGATGTGCTGCCATGAATTCCTTGGAAAGAATACTGTTAAAAGTGAAAATGTGGCTGTTGTGGTTGCTGACCATGTAAATGTGTTGCAAGCATGTCATCAAATTTGAATTTGATCAATACAAATTATAAGTGGTCAAATAAACATAAATTGGGAGTATTAACTAACTATTTTATGACATTATGACCATTGTGTCCATTATTCTCAACTTGATCCAGAAGGAGGCAGCATATTCCAATTCAGCAAAACAGCATTGTGTGTGTTGCTACATCCTATCTGCATATATTTTCTGAAACAGGGATTTCACATGTAAAAAGCAGACTTGGTCATATGTTACAGGTACAGTTGTTGGATGGGTTCTGAAGGAGGTTAATGGTCAAGAATTCGCAAGTTTCCAGATACAATTTTGTTCTCTAGCATAGAACCTGCAGGAATGTCAATTCGATCTCCGTGATTCGCTATAATGATGACAGTGCCCTGCAAGAAGAAAGACAGCTTTGGTTAAAAATATTGAATAGTAATTATTTAATATATAGCACAACAAACTATTGTAATTTATTCTTTAATCATTATCTGATATATACACATTGTGTAAGACTAACCTTCAAAGAAACATTTTTTCCAAACGTGACATCTCCAGACACAGTGAGGTGGTCGAGCTCCAGGATGTCTGGGATGCTCTCAAAACGCATCAAGTATTCCTGAACCTGAAAACACGATGGATTTAAAAAAAAATTTAAAATAAGATAAGAGAACCTTTATTTGTCCCCAAGCGGGGTCTTTACAGATAGCAGCAGCACGATGCAAGAGGCAGCTCTTTCCAACACGAGTAATGCAATCTACTTGGTCCCTTAATCCGTTTTTACTGTACCTGAGTAAAAGAGCTCCCGAGTTTGACATGCGGCGTTGTAGGAAACTCTCTCTTTGGGCTCATGGTCAGAGATCCAGCGTCTAGGCTGTAGAGGTTGGACATGACCAGCAGCAGGTCCGATGTGGTCTTCACAGGGAGAAAGCGGCTCCGCGGGACATTAATTCCGAGAGCATTATCAAAACACTTGATGGCTGCACCCACAGCCGTCTCTAACTGAATCACATTCTGACCACCATCCAGAGTCTGCCAACACAGGAAAGTCAATCTTTTAATACAACTTTCATGACGATGTGCAGAATATCTTTTTCAAGATATTCAGAATGAGTAACAACACTTAAATAAATAAACAACAGGATATTCTGCGTTCTATGGCACATCAAGTTTTTAATAAATTGTGAACTCGCAAATCCACAGAAAAACTGTTTGCTTTTTCCAATCTTGGAATATTGGATACAATGCTTTCATAGCCTTAACTAAAATTAAATTGGAAAACCGCTTGTGAGGTTTCAAAGGTGACTGTTTGTTAGTAACTTATTACAGAATTTATGGTCTGTTATCCTGATGTGTCTGGTTTCAAGGTGCAAGAGCGCCATGGCCAACTACACAGAGACTATTTATATGCTTAAAATTGCTTAAGCACATTTCCCTAATGGACATTTGAAGTAGAATAAAACAGTCAACAAGATAATAATGAACCACCTCGAACCTTTTCCCATATGTTGAGTCTCCAAAGTTTCTTTTGAGCATTACAAAATATATACTATAGATTTTAAAAATATATTTATACCTTTTGTCCATTAGCTGTTGGACTTTCCGATTAAATGTTGCATAGTTTGAGAACACTAGTTTAGTGTAGAATGAATAGATAGACACAACTCAATAAGCAAGCCATAAGAAAATTAAAAACTAGTAATCTCAGGTACATTTTCTTGACACATTCAAAAGTCATTTTGAAATCTAAACCAGATATGAGAGTGCTAGATAGTATTTTAGCATTTAGTTTTATTTATGATCAAGGTTTTGTTGTGCAAGAATGAATAGGCTGTGACTACATTTGTACAAAGAAAAAACTTACCTTAGGGTTGACTATAATTTCCAAGTCCATTGCACTTTGCTCTTGCAGCCTCTTGATAGCAGCAAGAGAAATCCATAAGTTGTTGGTATTAAAGATTTTAAACTTTGAGACAGATTTAAATTCATCCACATGTGCTTTAGGGACCTGGGCGATCTCAAGCAAGCGCAGTTTCCCATCATATTCAATCAACGTACCGCCCTATATATGAAGATAAGATCTATTATGGAATCAAGTAACTTATTACTACAAAAATTTACTTTAATACAAAAATTCATACCTTAACATCTGCACGAGTTTTGTCCGTTACCTCCATTACAAACTCGCAGCGTTTTCCGTTGGGCTGTGTGACCAAGTGGTGGAGAATGTGTAAATCTACAGTGGCTCCCAGGTTGTCTATGTTGGACACAAAGATGTACTCCTTCCCATCCGCAATGAGCTGATCCAGGAGACCGGAGTTGTAAAAGCTGGCATAAATGTCTCCGTGACCCGGGGGGTACCAGCCCTCAGTACCGGTCCCGTTCATACTCATATTAGCGGAGACCGGGAGGAGAGATTCCTTGTTGATGCGCGGATACCTACGTTCAACACACAATGGGATATCTTATTCATTTATATGGATTCATATATGGATTATATTTTATGTGTATGTTGTATTTATCTAAATAGACTCTTGAACCCTGTTAAAGCACATTAGATGCAATTTAATTTAGATATTACATATAGTAGTAGCATTGTACAGTATCATTCAACAGCTGCGCTATTGCACTTCTGATCAGATACTCCATCGTGAGATCAATTCTTCTTTTATATTTTTGCTTATACTAAATTTTATTTCTTTACAGTGTCATAATCATTGTAACATACAATTATGAGGATCAAAATGATGCGCAAAACAAGCTTTACCTGCTCTGGTTGAAGGTGTGTATCTTGACCTGGGTGTGGGTGTACTTCTGCAGAATCTTCTTTGTATCTTCATCTGTATTGAAGGAATTCATAAGCACCAACGGCACGTCTGTGTTGTATGTCTTGTTTAAATGCTAAAACACACAAAAGAAATAAATGATCACTAATCAGATAAAAACACTGGTGTATTTAGTTAATATTTTGCTTGTGTTCACTTTTGTATAATTAGTGTAGATAGTGACACGCATCCAAAACCCTGTGGCTGCGTGCTGGGTCAAAAAACAAACATGAATGTAAGTAGGGAAGAAAAGACAGAAAGTATTCATTTGAAAATGTTTTTGGTCTTGTTTTCTCAAACCAGCTTTGCATTACAAGCCACCCTCATTTTAGTTAGTTGGATTTGGGATCCATTTTCTAACATCTCTACCTGAGCGCAAAGGTAACGTGAGCAGCCCAGTGCAGAAAATGGAGAGCAGTGTTTCGGACACAGGGTGCAATGTGCAGCGTCCTCTGGGCTTGTTCCCCCTGGAACTAGTGACTTTTCTCCCTGCTTGAAAAGCAGGGAGAAAAGTCACTGGCTACACAAGGTCTTTTCTTCAATGTAGAAGAACTTCAAATTATACATTATTAATTTTAATGTCAACTTATATATATATATATATATATATTGTATATATATATATATGTTTTTTTCAATAAAGTTCACAAAAGTGTTAGGGAAAAATGTTATATATCAAATTTGTGCGAAAACACCCAGAGGTTCTTTGTTGAACTCCAAACCTCATCAACACTTTTTTACAAATATTTTCTGAAAGCACATCTTGTGGCCAGTCCCTGGGCAGCAGCACACTGGCCCCACTGTTTTTCTCGAGCCTCCAGACCTGAGACCCACATTGTAACAGATCCTCTTTGACTCCCACTTTCACTGGTGGAACCTTCAGCTCCTGTTTAAAAATGCATGTCTCTCAAAAACACTGAAGACACCTGCAGTAATGACAGCTCATATAGTAAGTAAGTAAGTGAGGTTTATTTATATAGTGCATTTTACAGACCAAGGTCACCCAAAGCGCTTTACAATGTTCAGAGTTCAGATATTGTTCCAATCATTCCACACACGGTGATGACGGAAGCGAGTCATATGGACAATAAGAGCTGACCCTTTCATATATTATGAATGTACTCTGCTGGGGGGGAAGTTTACTTTCACCAACTCAGTGAGCTGTAATTCCTAACATAAAATATAGAGGCATCACCATTTTATTACTATGAATCTAATAATACAGAGAATGACCAATGTTGTTGGTCATTTGGGCAAGTGTCAATTATATTGACACTTGCGCAAATTAGTACCATTCTGTAAAAAGCCAAAGTTTTATCAAAAGTGTGATTTGTTGCATCCATGACAGTATAATGCTTGTACCTCAATCTGCTTCACAGTAAGGTCCAGAAATGTGTTTTCGTTGCGGACGCTGATCAGACTCTTGGGCCCTTTGCATCCCATACTGGTGCCCAGACCTCCATTCAGCTTGACCACCACCAGTTTGTTCAGACTGTTGGCCACCTTATCAGGAATTCCACGAGCTGCAATCTTGTCATAAGGCTGGATCTACACAAGAATTAGAACTATTGTTACCAGTACACTCAACATTAGGCCGTCCTTTCAACAGACATGCTGACATTGGGCATGTTCACACTTATTGGTCTAGTCGAGACTCCATTCACTTCCTCTTATCCTCATCTTCCAAATGCACCAGAGACCAGTTCATTTGGACCAAGTGTGAATGCTCCCATGGAAATACAGCTTGACATGACAATTGAGTGATATCATGTTTTTCATTGATTAAGTTGCTAAATATTAACAGTGAAAAAAGAGTGAGATTGTAGTTTAAAAAAACAGTTACAATCACAGAATATGGAAGGGATTGGCACCTTTCTTGTCACTCGAGGACACTTCTGGTTTATAGTATTTTTGTACATTTGGTTTTTTTCTTGTTAGAAAAGTTGTGAAGTAAAACCAAAGCCTTTTTTGCGAGTCACAAGTTACATCTAGGAACCAGACTTCATTCAGTGATTGTAAAAAACCAGTATGACAGGTTTAAAAAGTTGCTTACAAAAAAACCCACAAGGAAATTCTTGAGAAAAAGTTATGACGAAAGAGGAATTTAAATAAGGGAAAAAACAGTGAATAGATGTCACGAGTAGTTGTCCCTTAAAAAAGCTGTTGTAATGTGTCAAGTAAGAATGAAGAAATTAACAGTTTATCTCAGGGTTGAGTAAATTCCCCAAATATTTCAAAATATACCGGTTACATGACAGTACATGAATATGGTACTGTCATGGTATGAATATGGATAAAAATCATTTGTAATTGAAAACAGGGCTAAATGAGTAACTAAATGAATTGTGATCCTTGTACTGCCATCTGGACAATGCAAACTCTAAAAACAATGGTATTATAATATAAACATATGACAAAACTTCAATAGATAAGAGCAAATGGATGAAAGATAACATTTGTTAATGGCGTTATTTCTACTACTGTATGACACTTTGATCTATTAGAAGATCACAACCTGTATTTGTTAGATAAATATCTTTTCAAATTGTTATGGTAGCATCCTCCACAGTAAAAGCCAACACCACTAAACCACAAGCTAATTGAAAAACATGATCCAGCAACTAAATTATAGCCACAAATTATTAAAACAGACTCAAAAAGTACTGTTATAAACTTGAGCAAGTGACAGAAAGTCCAAAATGTACCATTATAAATCTCCATCTTAAGAACAATAAGCTTCAGTTTGTGTCAAAAATGTGCTCTACAAATAAACATTCTTTTTCCCTCTTACAGACAAGAAAATTTGAAGATGATGCCATTTTCAGACATGAGGAAATACTAGTTCCCGCACAACTCGACTAAAAGGAAAAGTGAATGTTAAAAACCATCTAAATAGAACACAAGAGATGAAATAACATATGTAAATCTGAATAGACTTTTTAATGTCAGAACAGCATAGAGCCCAGATGTCATCATTTCACCTCATGGTCATTCAATAAAGAAATCAAAGCAACGTGAAAATGTTCAAAGGAAGATGTATTGTTAAGTGACGCTCCATTTGTGCATTCACAATAATTGTATAATATCAATCATATGTGCGCATGTGTGTCAATGGTATATCTATTAGTAGTTCATATTAATCCATGGGAACAAAACAATAAAACATCAATACATAAACTATAGCCAATTATTGAAGTAAAGGCCTTTTTGATGTATTGGGTGTAATTAGTTCTTTGCACATGAAATTATCTTACCGAATCTTCAGGAGGCCTTTGTATTTTGGGCCACTCCACTGCAGGTCCTTTGAATTGCAGGAATCTGTGAAAAAGTTTCTCAAAACCCTTAAAATCTTTTCTTGCTGCCTGGGAAGAAATAAGAAAAGCAGAGAAGAATTTTATTACCAAGTCAGTGATGTATTAAAGATCATGGAGTAGATGTTTATGACACACCTACACACTTAAGACAAGATTTATGGGAATAACGTTACTTTGTCATTGGCCTTAAGGCCAGAAGGTCGTGGGTTCAATTCCCACCCCTGCACCTTCTCCACCGACTCCCACTGATGACTCCTGTCGTTGTGTCCCTGGGCAAGACACTTAACCCCACTTTGCCCAAAGCCCCAACTGAAAGATCAAGGCTATGCTCACACTCAGAGAGCAGCCGTCCTCCTGTGGACTCACCACCTGCAGAGGGTCAGTGAGGGGCTGGTGCTATGAGACTTGGGTGGCATCTCTGACTGCCACCCCCCTGACCCAGAAATGGATTAAAGGGTAGAAAATGGATGGATGGATGGACGTTACTTTGTTTGCATTCTTAAAGTAAAATTGAGTCCAGCTCAAACTAATGCATAAGTCATGTACTTAAAATGTCCCAAAATGAAAACCAATAGACAGTTCGCACTGCTTTTCAGTATGCGTCACTCCAGTGTTTTCACATGCAACTTATGGGACCACCCTCTTAAACACTACCAGATGCTCCCGAAGACATGAACAGTCACCAAATGTGTGGTTCTTACTTCTTTCTCTGGCTCAAGGGAGGTGTCCAGCAGTTTTCCCAGCTCGGTGTGCATGGAGCTCTCCAGCTGCTGCCGCATCATTTCCTGGAACTGCGCCATACTGCTGTTAGGTGCCCCCTTACTTAGACCTGGAAATAGTGAGCAACATGTTATGAATCAACAAATTACAATAAAAGCAAGAGTTTGTTTTGTGGCCAATATTGATAACAGCATATTAAGGCCAGTTAAATTCACTAATCCATTCTGGGTATTTGAAGACAACCAGGTAACCTTTATCACAATGTGGTCATTATCTACTCAAAAGGGTCAAATCCCGTGCTTTGGGGTAAATTGTAAAACTGAATAATATTTTAACTGTGCGTAATGAAAACAAAGTCAGAGACAGTTGAATTCATATAAAAAGAGTAACATCCACTCAAGAGGTGATGTTGACCATTTCACTATATGGTAAAAACCAAAATATTGGTACAAGTATCAATAGGGTACAGTGAAAACAATTAAAAGTATATCAACAAACACTCAACAAAATGAACTGAAACCCCTTACCTTGAACATAAAGAGTCATTTTTTCACCTTATAAAAGGGCGTATCAAATCATTTGGTTACTACAAAAAACACTCAATAAACTAAAAGAGTCGGATTAGATCCAGAAAGTGAAAGATGTTCCTTAATTCAGACGCGTTTACAGCCATCACTCGAGAACGTCCCCGACCATAGTTTAAAAAAAAAAAAAATCCTTCAGTGGATATGACAAGCGGAGCCTATGAAAGTGTGGACATTGAAGGACAAGATCGGGCAATTATAGCCTTCACTTCACTCTCATTTGTCCGCCTGGCCCATGCTCTGCACCACGTCACAGAACTAAGACCCAACCTATAAGGAGGCCCAGCTGTTTGAGGGCATATCTTTATTGCCACGCAGTCTGTTTGCCCAGTCACATTTATTGACCCAAAACGACACAGATGAGATGCACATGATGCGGAAATGAGTAAAGAAGTGCGTGGAACACGGAGAGTGACCGCATCCTTGAGTATTCCGGGTGTTTACGTGTCATTAAATGGTCCGACTGTTTTTTTTCCGTATAACGACCTCACAATGAAGTGCACAACTAGAGCAGCTTATGCGCAACATAAATAAAAAACATTAGCCTGTGCAGAGAACATTCAGAACTTACTGTACTACCGAGGGATAAATGTGGAGCCCAGAGTGTAGCCGAGCTGACTTGAGAGGTGGCGTCCAAAGCAGTACGGTAGAAGTGGTGAGACTGGGACCAGTGAAACAGCGTTGGTATGCACCGCGAATGGCAAATATTTGGCGTTTTTGTAATTATACACAGCCACAATATTACTCCAAAACGGGCCTTAAAATGTGCCCAATATACCAAAATATACGAACTAGTTTAGCATCCAGGTTGCTCGAAGGAAACTTTAACCAATCATCGAGCAGATGTTTGTGACGTCATTCTAACCAGCGAATAGAATTTGGCAACGTTCGATTAGGCGCCTGACGTTCCTGGGTTGCGTAGTACGAGATTTTCCTTTTGCAAAAAAATAAAGGTTAAATCCTTTGTATCCTATATATGTTTACACATGTATCCATGCATTGAAATGTATACGTGTGCATTTTGAAATTATGTGTAGACAGTAGCGCCCTCTAGTGTTAGAGATTCTAATTGTTAGAATGAAAAGTGTAGCATCCAGCTGATCTGGGGCATGCTAATATACATATATTTTAAGACACAAATAAATATGAACTTGCTTTCTAAATACCGTGATTTTATTTAAAGTGACCAACTTTTGGTGTGGGGCAGAGGAAGGATTTAATGTGCTGAGATTTATTTGTGCTTTACGTAGGATTATTCATATAATAAACATTATGGTAAGATACTACTGTAGCCAGAGCTGTCCTGGGTCAGACTGAGGCTAGGCTACCAAGCCATGGGCAGCTATCATTCTCACATGCCTAAACAATTCCTACTGAGAGGTAGAAGCTTGTCCATTAGAGCCACAGCCCCAGTGTGGCACTTGGTCTCCCATCCCACTAATAACTATCAAGGCTTTTGCAAGTATGAAACAAATTTAGTTGGTTTATTAGGCTAATAATGATAAATGTCATATTCAACATCGAACAAAAACAACTATTAAAAACATATGTATATATATTTTATTTCTATTCAAATCTCAAAAGTAACATCCAGTGTTTCAGGAGGTATGTTTTAGATAAGCAACTACAGTATATTTAACCTTGAGGTATATTTCAGGTTTAAATTCAACCTGAAATGTAACAAATTCAATCTGTTTATAATGAAGACATGTTAATGCCACAGTAGTGCACACATAAATAAATGCTGTTATTGGAGTGTACATCACAGTCGTGCATCTGGTGCCGTGTTGTCTAGTCATACACCAAGGAACTCCATAGCAGTATCTCTTTCTTCAATGAGCTCTTTTGCTGTTGCTTCCATCTTTGCCCGAGAAAAGTCATTTATGGCCAGTCCATCAACAATATTCCAGGTCTTGTCCTAGTATCAAAACAATGTTACTTTTTTATATGACAATTTCTCAGTGCTTGTGTACCAACAAGGACTAGATTATCCACTTCATTATACCAAACAAATCTTACCTTAATATGGACAGGGAATGAGTAGACAAGATCATCAGGAACACCATAAGGATTTCCTGTAGAGTAAACTCCCATTGATGTGAACTCGCCCTAAAAACAATAAAGTGATGCAAATGTGTCCAGTATTTTCTTTTACCAACTACAATATAGGGCACTAAGCAACTGACTTGAGGAGTCCCAGACCACAGCTCCCTCATGTGGTCACAGATGGCCTTTGCTGCAGACATGGCACTGGACAGTTTCCGGGCTTTGATGACAGCAGCACCTCTCTGCTGCACAGTCTGCAATGCAGCATGACAAACATGTGTTCATGCAAGTGCTTTTTGTTATAAATGAGGCCATTACTTTAATTAACTTACGGTGATGAAATCCCCTCTGAGCCAGACATCATCCTTTACCGCATCAAAACACGACAACTCGCTCCCAGACATGTTGACTACACAATGGTGAACATCAGGATATTGGGTAGAAGAATGGTTTCCCCAAATAATCATATTCTTCACCTGAGTGGCTGGGACACCACACCGCATTGCCACCTATGTGGAGGTGAAAGATGCAGTATATGTAAATATGAGAAAACATGTAGTGTATCATTGTGGTTATCTTTTGCCATGTTGTCATATTGTCATATATTCTATTGTCATTCATACATTAATTTTCCATGCACACCCTCCATCATGGTCCGTCTGTGTGTGTGTGCGTGTGTAGAGTCTGCTCACTACTATGTCAAATAAATGAATATGCACACTCCCCAAAGAGATCAAGGGAGAGATGTAAAACTGAGACAAATTAATGGTTTTCGGATCTCCACAGGGACTTCATGAATTTTGTTTATATTTTTATACTGTTAGGGAGAGACAGAGACTGCTGAGGCTGTATCCCATCATTTATAGCAAGTTGGATTTCAGCAGTTTCTTGCAATATTCCATAACTGCCATACTTACCATGTATTTTAGGGTTTTTTGTATTTACTGAAATAAAGCACACACCTGCAATAATGCCCTCTCAACAGGGTGCCCAATAGTCCAGAGCAGGGGCGTCAAACTGGTTCCAGAACAGGTGGCTGCAGGTTTCACTTCCAACCAATTTCCTCAAGTCTTCAGGTTAAAACTGCAGTCACCTGATGGGTCTGGTGTGCTCATGCTTGGAAGTTTTAATTCCAACAATTAAAACCTCCAGCCAGGAGGACCGGTTTGTCACACTCCTGTTCTAGCGTCTCAATTTTTGAACGGACTCATTTAATTTAATTATTTATTTTTTTATTTTTTTACGAACACTTTTCTGGAGGTAAATTGTGTTATAGGCAATTCAAATAAAGCTAGCTGAAATGATAAATCGAGTTAATTGAATTAAAGTTTCAATTATTTATCCGGTTAGTTTTTTAAATTACTATTTGAATCACTTGTTTTACACAAAGCGTGTTGCGCCCACACTGCACCGAAGGCAAAATAATTTGGCAAATATTTAATGCAGATATGTCTGACATTTTCTGAAAACAAAATGGAAACAGGTCCTAGACATGCGTTTGTTGAAAATTTTGGAAAACTTTGAGTTGAGTTCTGGCTATTCGTTGTGTAATGTCATCAATGAATGTTTAAAATAATATGCATTTAAAGATGCTATGTGGAAAGTTTTTGTATATGATTACTCAAGTCAAAAATAATCATTTATATTTTACTCAAATACTAAACTAAATCAATATCTTCAGCCATAGCCTAGATACTAAAAATACTGTCAGGGGTCAGAATTTAGAATTGGCAAATAGGCCGTTGCCTCTATAGAAATATGTTGGAAACACTGAACGCACATCACACTGGTCATTTAAAATAAACAGTGAATGAAATGCGCAAACCTGAGAGCGAGCCCTGTTGTGATCCAAGCGTGTGAGACAGGAGAAGTTCTCTTTAGGAATTGAGGGAGCAGACTTGGCAGCAATCAGACAGTTTGTGTTAGCAGGATTTCCCACAACCAGTACCTAACATTTGAATAGAAATAAAATAATAAAAAACATTTTTTTTTTTTTCAAAAGTTAATTAAATAAATTTGAAAATTATTTTGTATTCACCTTTACAGTCTTCTTGGCATACTTGTCCAATGCAGCTCCTTGGCTCTTAAAAATGGCCACATTAGCTTTGAGCAAGTCTTTCCTTTCCATGCCCTCTCTTCTAGGCATGGAGCCAACCAAGATGGCAGCATCCAAGTCATTGAAGGCCACCTCTTCCTTATCAGTTGCAATAATTTCTGTCAGGAAAACACAAAATAAGCACATAAATAAAAAGGAGGACAAAAATACAATTGTGATGTTACAATGCCTCTTAACAATGGGTTAATACTGGGGCCTCTCTCTCTCTTTAGTTCAAACAAAGCAAAGGACAACCCCAATATGAAAGAAAACATTCCTGGCCACAAAGGAGAAGATTTATAATCGTTACGCTAACAACAAAAAACTTTGAAAAGGTTGTGGCTGTATCCGAATGTCCACACTATACCCTATGTATAGTGTGGACATTCGGATACAGCCTGTGTCAGTAAAATAAGAAAGCTTTATGAATCCAAGCCACAACATTTAAAACAGAACATGAATATTACCTCTCAGAAGAGGAAGAGCAGTGTCTTGCAACTCCATGACAACTCCTTCAAGAACTGGCATCATTGGTGTTATGTCCAGAAGGAGCAAACTGACTGGCTGTAAAATGCAGTTCAAGAAACAATTACTTATTTAAATCAATCAATCTATCCATCCATCTACCCATCTATCTAACATTATAAATAATCAGCTCAATAATTTCTGGCAAAATCTTAACTAGGCCACCTGCTATGGGTGCCTTTTTAAAAATCTTGGCACCCATGCTTGGCATAGGTCACTACATGTGACTTCAAGGACACATCTTGTAAGACTTAATTTCACAAACCGAAACACAAAGACTTATAATGTATGTCCTATTCTAGATATAAATATGGACATTATAATCACGTGCATGAAGAATAAACCTGCCCAATTTGCAAATGTCATGATCTAAATTGAGGTGTTGCAACTTGAATAGGTCAAATATAATTTACCTGATCTTTGCCAAAGACATCTCCCTTGGCAATGCTGTACAACAAAGAATATGCAATCTGTCCAGCAGCTCCAGTAACCAAAACTCTCGTGGGTGCAGCCTGAAACACAGAGTTTCAAAATAAGTTTTTTGCTAAATAAGGACGACAACTGCGATTGCCTGTTGCGGGTATGGATTCTAGTCAATGGGATGTGCTAAAGAAAGGGCAGAGTAAAAATAGACCCCATGCCACGAGCAGCCTGCTTAAGCTACGTTTTATTACATAAGATAAGAAAGGGAACGTTATGGTTAACTAGTAACTACTACAATAAAGTTTAGATAAACCAATTTCTAACTGCCAGATAATTGAACAGTTTAATGTAAGATAAGATTGTTATTTATCTTTTAACCAAGTTAGATTATCACCATACAACAGGTGGTTGACATCTGATTCATTGACATTTAGCTAAACTTTATCAACTCTTTACCAAAACATCTATTTGCAATAGCAGGACGGACTCACATAAATGTACTCACCATGTTCATTGGTGTACTCCCTTCGTCCGTCCTGTCAGTCGGATAATAACTGCCTTTGCAACTCGTCCAATTTGCTATTCTGCTTTACGACACATGTCCGTTTACGGCAGGATTGGGACGTGCAAGGTCCTTTAGTTTTTCGTCAACAAACAATATTTATTTGAACCATGAATGTACATGTATACCATTCTAAAGATTGCTCGAGGGCTCTTAAGGTCCTAAATCTAACGTCTAAAAGTTGTTGACCGTATAGACAAACCGTTTCAAGTTATGATATCATATGTGTTAGCAGTTTGCTAACTATCATTATCAAGACCGGCTAGCAGTTGCTAGGCGACAAAAGCTAAAGTAGCTAATGCTAACAGAGTCTGTATTAGCTAGTAAGTGAATAACCTTATTTCTATTTTACCTATACGTTCAACTAACTTATTATCGCGAGTATACTTTATTACACGTTTATTTATCATCCACTATCTTTTTATTTTGCAGTAAAGTAACGCTGAAAGACTGGAGAAGAAGGCTCAGAAGGTTCATTTTAAGGCAAGCTCCATGCTACGTTTATTATTCATAGCTAATAAATAAAGTTCTCTAATGCCGGCTCAATCAATAGAAATGTTTTTATATAAGCTAGATGAGAAATTAGGGTTTGTATTCAATGTCGAATGTTTTTCTAAGTTAGTTAACTATCACCATCTCTCAATATTTGTTGAATGTTTTGTGAAGTTTCTAGTCTTTCCTAAAAGTTAGCTAAGTTCATTGCCAATAAGAACTCTCATTAAAAATAACATTTTATGTAGCTCTGTTACATTAACACGTATGTTACTCTGGCTTTTTCCTTTAATGGCTTTCCATGACTTTAACCAATGCAGTGAAATCAGAGTTGCAGGACAGACAGTTGAATAGATGGAATGGGGAGAAATATTCATTTGTGACTGTGTAGTGTATGCCAAATTTTTGAATTCTGTTATTTGAAAAAAATGAGATTATTAATTTGAAGGGCGGTCGTAAATGAAAAATATGCAATAAACAGTATGAGGAAGATTTTATTTTATTTATTTGTTTGGAGGCTATGGCTATAATATTCTGTTCTGGGTGGCTGAGTAGCTAGCACTCTTGCCCCAAAAATAACAATTGTAAACCGCTTTGAGACTCCGATGTGCAGTGAAAAGGCGGTATATAAATAATGATTACTTACTACTACTAAATGATTACTAATTACTAAAAGTACATCATCTAAATTTTCTCAAAGAGTGTAATAAAAACAAGACAAGACGACTGCACTATTTTTATTCAGTATTTGTTGTATGAAAATGACATACCTCTACAGATATCAGTTGGACTTTTAGATTGTGTTTTTGTGTTTGTCTCCCCGTGGTCTATCTCCACAGCAATTGACATGTGGGGATTTGTCATCTAATTGTTGTTAAAAGGAAATCCTCACAAAAACAAAAAACAGCACCATGTACATGATCAAATCTGGAGGCCCTGTGCTGTGGTGACGGGAGGTATTCTGTGTGCTGTAAAAACAGCTTATTGTGTGACCTTATCTACTCAGAGACCAACTGATTTAGAGCCGAGTTGTGACTCCAATCATGATGTAATATTTTGTTTTGAACATCATGGTATTATTTAATCTGTATCTGAAGTTGTAGCATCAGTATCACAAAATATTAGGGCTGTAACAAATCAATCAATTAATCTCAACAAATACATTATTGAAAAAGTTGTCAACTAATTTAGTTCAGAAAGTATTTTAATCAAACCGCCCAATGTAACTAGTCATCTCTATGAAGATGTTCAATTCTGGCGATTTATTTTGTCAAATGTTTAAAAAAAAACAATGAATCAATAGAACTTTCCAACTAATCGATTGTCAAAATAGAGGCAGCACTATTATTATTGCTTAGATAAAATAGATAAATATCAGTGGGTTTGTTGATCAAATATAAAATGTAGACTTGATTATAATGTTGACTAACAAAATAACAGTCTAGCCACCATTGACCAATAACTTGATATAGCAATCATTGAGGCTGTACTTGTATTTCATGATTCTAGGACTCTAGACCGTTATCTTGTCCTTTGTCCTCTCTACCGCTTCCATTTTGTGCTCTTATCCCATCTTTTCCTCTCGTTTCCCTCTTTTTTCTGGTCTTCTCAACTTGTCCCTATAGACTGCACCTGAGTGACCCCTTTACATGGGCAGCAGGAGAGATAGCCCGACACAGCCATGAAGCCACCAGCCACAGTATCCCCATCTTATCTCAGCTGCTATACCAAATAGTGCTTTCAGTCCGTTTGCAGTCCACTCACTGCCAGGTAAGATAATTTAACACAGTTACTTTAGCACATCAACACAAGTACAATGCTTCATAATAAGACCTGCATGTCCCCTTGCTTATACATGAATTTAGGGATTAATTCTTCAAGTGCAGCTTGTATGTTTATATTATAAATAATATTGATATGCAGTATACATGATAAGTTGTGGCTTAAAGATTGTGGTAATTATAAAGCTTCCCACTAGGTGTCAGTGTTACTATATGAATAAAGGGAAGGAATCAGATATAAACAATACAATTTTTACGATATTGGACAATAATAATAATTCTTTTGCTCTCAAAACATTTAATCATGTCCATTTATTAGGTTCACAGTCCCTAAACCTTTAATTGCTGCTGCAGACAATGTAATTTACAGACCAACCCTAAACTCACTTTGCTGACAGTACCTATCTCTAGTGGTAAAAATAAACTACAATCATGTTTGTTTGGAGTTCAAGCTCTTACTTCTCAAATGTGTAACAAACTGTTTCAATGTTTACTGTTGTATGCTGTTGTATGTTTGTCTTTATCTGTGGCGTTTAAGTGTGTTAAGGCTTTTTATCTGGTCTTAGATTTTCCAGCACGCTAATCATCTCTCTTGAAATCATGGGTTACTTCCCAACCATTGTTTTAACATAAGGAGACAATCTATAAGATTGGACGGACTAGACTTTATAAAACCTCTTTTATGCAACAAATAGGCAGAATTGCATCATGAGCTCCAGAACCCATGCAGGTTTTCCTTTATTTATTAGTCCTCTATTAGGACTCCACCTGTCTGTTGCACATTACATTTCTGAAACAATTGGTGCCTGAAGGAGTAAAGATGTTTTATTTTTTATTTTTATAGATCTATTGTTCAATAAATTTATCATAGGCTGCTGATTGATTGTTTCCTTCATCTGTCACCTATCAGCAAGATCTTTGTCTCAAACACTGATGCATTAAGATTTGTTCATGACGTTTTGAAAGTGCTCTCCACAATTGTCGTTATTAATTTCTCACTTAAGTTTCAAGAGGGCACCAAATACCAAACATGAAATACTGGATATAGATATTCAGGTTGTCCTTTGCCTTGGTGATTTGAACAAATGATGACCAAAATTGTTTAACAACTGCTTACTGCACCCAAAACTCCCACTGAGATTGACAAATGGGTACCACGTATTTTGAAAAATTTAGCTCTTGTTTGTTACATTTCTGGCTTTGGAACAGCCCCTCCCTGTCCCACTGCATCCAACCCCTTTCCACCACCTTTTCATCAACCTGGAAACCCAAATCCGTCCAACTGGACCAGTTGTGCTACCTTGCTGTGGATGCTGGCAGTCACACCCTCTGAACAGCCATAAAGGGCCGCAGCTCAAATGGGGCCACGTCATCGTCAGCATTCCTGGTCCTTCCAAGAGGCCCGGTAGCCTGCAGGTTACCAGCCACGCTGCTTGTCCCTGTTTGTCCGCTCCCACTAAAAGGAAAGAATGTTTTCCCCCACAACACGGCAGTGTGGGGATTAAGGCCCATTTTGAGTGGCCCCGGGTCGGGCAGCAGATGTTAGCCAGGATAGTGCTTGTTGCCGTGCCGACGGTGAGCCTACGGGATTGGCCTGCCCAGACGACGTTAAGCTTGTGTACATGTATAGAAGGGTTTTGAAAGGTTTATGAGAGTCTGAAACACATTAAAGAGAAAATGGTGGGAAATTTGGCACAGTGGTCAAACTGTGATTGTCATACCATCTGCGAACGTAAGAGCCCCTTTAGACTGCTGTGGTCTATTCCGTTCAGGCGTTATGGTGTGGTGCTAAAATACAAAACCTGGCTTAAAAAAAGAACAATAACAACATATTCAACAAGGTAAAGTGTACACTGAAGTGTATAGATGACCTCCTCAATCTGACTTTATAGATGTGTAGATGTGCACACATCTACATGTATAAAGTTTTGTGTATGTGTCTTCAGGTTGATTTGGCCTCAGTTCCTGTCATACTTCCGAGACATCAGGGCCAGAGAAGATATTTTAATTGTTGAGTTGGTCCACTGGATACTGTGAAATGTGACATGAGTGTCTGTGCAGGAGATGTCATGACATGCAAGACACAACTGAAATAACACAAAGTCATGTCAGTGTTAACCTTGTTTATTTCTGCAGAATAAAAGTTAGTTTGAAAGTGTGCGGCACAGCAGCTTGACCCTGGTGATGAACTGTGATAGACATGTGCCAGGCAGGGAACAACAGTTGAGCGGACATGATAGAAAGGATTCTTCTTTCTTCCTCTGGAGAGAAAGCGACTGCAGCAGCAGCGCTTGGGAGATATGACACCATCGAGGTCAGACTCCAGATTACAATCCTCTTGGTCCGAGTGGCACAGACGTCCAGTGGCTGTGTGCCATGTCAAACTGTCAGAGAGTGGCCCGCCGAGAGGTGTCACAGGAGCTCAGAGGTGATGGACAGGGCGTGTGTGAGTGTGTGACAGCCACATAAGACCACTGAGGAGAGTAGAGGACGCACATCTGACCTTTGCTCTGCCAGGTCCATCTCGCTCCGTGTCTCTGACAACAACTTCAACACAACCTCCTTTTGACAGGCATAAGTGTGTTGGAGTGTAAAGTTACTTAAAGTTTGTATTATAGTATTAAATATGATTTTATTACAGTAGAGGTATTGTTTTCAATATCATAATTTACCTTTGTGTTATCAATAATCATAGCACAATAGTTTGAACAACAGTTTGATTGATAGATGGATTTATGTGGATAGATAAATATCTGTCTAGTGTATGTGCTGCAGGTCATGTGTCCTTGCTGGTCATAAAATGAAGCACATTCAACATGACACCGCTTAAGAGATAGACTGTGAAAATACAAACAAAGCCGCAGTAGGTTTGACACAAGTCACAGAGGACAGACTCCAGAGGCCCACGGTCCCCATGAACCTCTTTGAAGTCAGCCAGCAATTGTGCTGATAGTTTGGGAGTATTGCCTTTCCTGCCCTTGGGCATAGCTGCAGGGCAGATGCACTTTGCTTTTGGTAAAACACTGTCAAGGATTAGACCTATTAGCTGAACAGGAATACAGCACAGCAGAGGTGGCTTTAGCTCTCTGTTTGGTCCGTTGATGCTTAGAGTCTCACTGATGGATTGCTGTAACATTTAGTGAGCACAGTGTTTGGCCTGTGTAAAGCTGTTTTCTGGCTGATTAAGACCTGATGAGCATAATCGTCCAAACCTCTCAAGTATCCCTTCAGTCCCAGTCATTATGGAGCTGTTTGTACTTCTGCTCCAGGCGCTGGGTAAATACCTTTGCAGCAGCAGCAGGTTTCCCCCTCATCTCTCTTTTTTCCTCCATTACCTCCTTTAATGACGTTTACACATGTGCTTAGGAGAGCTCTGCTCATCTGTCTGTCACTCTATTCTTCCCACACACTTGCACTACCACTAGAACAGAATAAGCAACACAAACGTGGATATTTCAATACATTTTTAAAGCTAACATTTAATCTAATATTTATACATATTCTGTCAACATTTGAAATTTTCTTTTCCCACGACATTTAAAAAAAAAAAATACTGGGCAGATTCTCACTTCAAGGTCATGGTAATAATAGTTTATGTATAGAGAGCATTACTCTCCATTGACTTGACCTGCAGATGACTTTTAGGCAGATCAAACAATTCATACCTAGAATTATTCTATGTATATCTAGGTTTTAATTTTTGACTAGTTTCTTGTGTACTTTTCAACTCCTCACCTCTGCGTGCCCTCTGGAGTTTGAATAGTACTTTAAGTGATCTCCCTGTTTCTTCAACTCACATGCACCAATGCACACCGCTGTGCACAAATACACATACTCTGACACGCATACTCGCATCACTCCTCAACATGAGTTGCGCAGCAGCTTCATTTTACTACTGATTGACATGCCTGTAAAATGCATGCCTCCTCACACAACACACACACACAGGTTGTAGTTGTCACCGCAGTCTGTCGTATTATCTTCACCTTATTTTGTTCTGCCTGTCCGTCATTTCTTTTCTTCTTCCACAACATGAGAATGGCTCCCTGGATGACTGTGTTTAAGCGCATGAATGAAAAGGTTTCCGCGTGCTACCTGGCGCCACTTTGCCCACCCTCCACCAAATCCTCTTGTCTTGTAATGGGACAGCTGAAAAGACATACAGTACCTGTCAGTAGTTGCATGCTAGTGTGTGCTCCGGGCTCTGTGTCTTTACTTCCACTCTCCAGGTCAAGTTCATAACGCCCACGGTCCTACACAAAAAGTGGGAGACTTGCAGATAAACTGACAATAAGCTGAGGAAGGAAGACTCTATAAGTTTACAAGGAACATTAGCGTTTAAGTGCCCATGAGCCACGCTTAGAGCCTAAACCAGTTAGTAGATCAACAGGATTTTACTTGTAGCGTGATTGTATAAACGGTAACAGATGCTTCATTACACATTTGAAGTCAAAACTTTCAAGTTACATTTTACACTCTGCATCTCTGATATCCCAGTGACATAATCATTGCATGTAAAGCATTTTATTTGGACTAGTTTGTGCTATACTGTGTATCTCTCAGCCACTTGAAAGCATAAAGCATAAATCCCATGATGGATTTTATGCTTTATTTTACTGCTGTTCAACCCGGATAGATTTACCTGATTTGGGCTTCTTTGTTCTCGAGCATTTTTTTATTTAATCTTTAGTTCTTTAATTTTCTTCTCACGGACACTGTTGCACCAAGGATGATTCTCTCAAGGGCACAGATAAGATGGTGAAAGTGCGAACATGTAGCGTTTCATATGTATGTAAATGCAGATGTCTACATTTCCCCAGGTATCGCAAGGTTAACAGATAGTGTGTAAACTGCATTCGTTTTCCAAGCACAGGATGGTGTATGGGTGTTGTGGGAGGACATATCAGCAGTTTGTGATTGGTATGTGCACAACGTAGGACTGAGTGGAGTGCCCCGAATATGTTTACTGAATATGTGAATGGGCCTGTTCACACAGCTTCTGATTGAGAGTTGGCAGTAGTGGAAAGTAGAATTGACTATATTGGAAAAACATTCAAGTATGCGTCCATACATAGATCTATGGTAAGTAAGTAAGTAAGTAAGTTTTTATTTATATACCGCCTTTTCACTGCAGATCTGAGTCTCAAAGCGGTTTACAATTGTTAATTATGGGCAATTGTCTCTCACTCCACACAGAGATGGGAGGGGCCAGTACAGGAGGCGCATGCCAGAACTATTGGACATATTTTTAGTGGTAGGGGAAACCGGAGTACCCGGAGGAAACCTACGCAGACACGGGGAGAACATGCAAACTCCACTCAGAAAGGCCCTGGTCCGACCGGGATTCGAACCCAGGACCTTCTTGCTGAGAGGCGAGAGTGCTATCCACTCAGCCACCGTGCCGCCCATGGTGTTCGTACTTATACCTCTGTTGACATGTGCCATACTTGTCATACAGGTTTTTTTTTTCAATTAGTCTCCAGTCTGATAAAAAATGTTTTGATTCAACCTCTTATGATAAAAAACTTCTTGTGCAATAAATAGACTGGCACTTGATGTGTGTTTATAAAAGTTGGTGTGTGTGTGTGTGTGTGTGTGTGTCTGTGTGAGAAGGCAGAAATAGCCTTGTGTCAGTCACCCTTTGGCAGCTCTTTAACCCTGTAATTTATCACATCACTCCAATGCTGTGATGAGACCACTGCGCCAGCTGACAGCACCGCCTCTGGCAGCGTATGTGTGATAGCGACGGGAAGATGGGTCAAAGTGACATACCTGGAATAAAAAGAGATTTTTTAAAAAGCTTGTTAGGATTTGAATGCACTGTTTTACAACTGCAAACCGCCAAATTATATTTTTGGTTACAGAGCAAGAATTTGCAAGTTTCTCCCTGTATCTGAGTATCTTCCTGTCACGCTGGTTTCCCCCACCAAAACATTCGTCATTATGACAGTGGGTGAGTGAGTGATGGCATGGACTGGCAGCATTGCTTCTGTCACTGGGTGTGAGGTGATGGAATAGTGACCAGTGCTTTACAAGTGCAAGACTTTTTTGTTTCTATAATTATTAGGCACCCAATATATTAATATATTATTTTATTCTGTTGGATACGCCCAGAAATTTAACTGAACATGTCAGTTCAAGTATGGCATGATTTGGTTTATGCTGACAATGGATTATTAATAAGTTAGCCCAACAGGTTTTAGCTTGTATTGAAACACCAACACTATACCTCTCAGTAAGGCCTCTCTGTAAATACAAGGTTGATGGCTTTTATAAGCAGGCATAAACTGTAAATATGAGTAGAAAAGATAGAAAACTAAAAAGGACAATTCAAAATAACTACATTAGAATAAACCCATGATTTAAACGGGCAATAAAATTGAGAGACAAGAATCATGGGGATTCTTACACATTATGTATAATTTTAATTGAGTATGTTAAGTGTTTGGATCTGCGCAATTATAAATTGCCCAGCTCTAACCAGAATATTCAACCATGCGTTAAAATAAGCCCAAAACCTCTGTCATAAAGATGAATGTATTAAATGTTTCCTCCTATACCATATTTATCTGACAATCCTGCCATAGACACCAAACTGTCATAAAAAAGCCACGTTTGCCTACAACACTCACTCGGCTTACCCAGAGGGGACAGTGTAAAAGGAAAGCAGAGAGCAGACAAGGTTGAGCTTCCTGTGGACTGCGTTTGAAAAGCAGTCGTATGTTTTCGCTCTTCTGCTTTGATGTTAAACCATTCTCTTTACTAGTGCAAAGAAGGAGTACAATAACCTAGACCTTCACTCTTTAACCCGACCCTCTATAAGTCAGCTCCACACTCCCGCAATGCACTGCAGGAGGGAAGGTTACCCACGGCAACCTCAGCCAGGACGCAGTATGGCAGCTGGCCGAGCTGCAGAGGAGCGGCATATGTGGATTCATGCATGCATTATGTGGATTCAAAATGTTTATATTGACTTTTGAATGCACTGGAAACGGCAGCAAGTCCTAAGTAGCTTTGAAACAGTTGTTGTTTTGTGCTTTACAATATTTTCTTGCTTTTTTATACTTTTAGAATTATCTATTTATTTGTTTTGTTTGGAGGGATGGGTGGATGGATGGGTTTCTGCTTCTACTGGACACCTGAATTTCTCCTCCAGGAGATCAATAAAGTATCTATGTATCTACCTACCTATCCAAAGAGACTGAATGCACAAATTGGCAACACTTGATTTGCTTTTGTTTTATGATATGCAGTTGCTAAGTTGAAAGAACATGTCACTTTACTTTTATAACTAAGTTTCCATTGTTTCATTTGTGAAACGTTTGTTCAAAACATCGTGGTTATTTGTATAATATATTTTTTAATTTATTTCATGTTTTGCCCAATGGTTCATTGTACATATTTCGGAACCAAATGAGTTAAGTTATAAATGTTAAATATAGAACCAAAACTGGACTAAATGTAAAGAATTGCTATTGTAGACCTAAATGCCAATTATTTAACTATTACTAATGACATTTTGTATTAAATCTTTAACACAAATATATTTTTTCTGACTATTTAGAATGAATTTAATTTTCCTGAGAAAATTAGCTTTAAAAGTATGCATTTAAATGCAGTGGTAGCACATATTATTCAGAGACATTAGTCAAATTAAATGTTGATCATTAATGTGATTTATGAATGTTGTGATGTTCTCAGTGTGGATGCTGCAGTGTATTAGCTGCATTTTATTTGAGTGTTGGTTGTAAGCGTTTAGTGTTTATGTTGTACTGGTTGTTGATTTGGTACTGAATTATTTTAATTTGTATGGTGATTTATTTAGACCCCCCCCCCCCCCCCAAGGACAACAGATGAAAGTTACCTTTTGAGCTACAGTCTGGTACAAGCATATTTGTCAACATTGTCAACAATATTAATAAATGTCCTGATAAAGAAATACATTTAATAACATATACAATGATATAATATTTTAAAATAATATAGGGATGACTAAAAAGTAACTCTTGCTTGGCTCTATAAGCTCCGTTTTGTTTATATTTCATGTCTGATTTCTTATAAAGGTTGGAGAGAAATTTTTCTAATACATTTTTGAATAGTATAATAGCTAAAGGGAAGGTATAGACTAAAAGTTAATCGAAACATACCCTCTTCCATAATAGTTATGTTAGTTATGAAAATACTATTGTTATTAACCTCCTCTCTGACAATGTTTAAAACCAGGTTAAAAACGGTTCTGTTTAGCTGTGCATACAACTGAGGGATTTTATGTTTTTATCGTTCTTTTTAATGTTCTGTGATTATTTATGATTTTAATGCTTTCTTGTTTTGTTCAGCACTTTGAGTTGCCTTGTGTATGAATTGTGCTATACAAATAAACGTGCCTTGCCTTGCCTATTGTTGAGGTTATTCTTTTGCACAGCTTGTACTCGTAGTAATTCTAAGTGCCTGTGGTGGTGGTAAACATCTTTAAACTAGTTCTAATTCAAGTTTTTGTCTACATTTTTAATTGTAGCGGTTGAAAGAGAAAGATAAGACTTGCCTCATTGTTTGGAATGCAGCCAGTTTTGTTGAAGCTGTCACCTGCAGTGTGTCTGTCCATCACTAGCGTCTGTGTTATGTGAACATTTTAAGATCACCTTCAGTTTCCATGTCAGTCTCAGGTCAAGGGTGTGTGCAGGGTTGTCTCTCTGTTAAGCACCAGCAAGCACAAGCATAATTCTTATGTCCGGGTTAAGTTAATTTCAATTATGTTACTTCATTAATAAAAAGTAATAAGTAGAACATTAGAAAAGCCCATCAGTTGACCAAACAAAGATATAAGTTCATGTTGTCAATGGCTTTGTTCCTTTAATTTTCCATGCACCACTAAAAAAACCCATGCAGATTTTCTTTGGAAATTAATCTTACAATATAAAACTAACATATAGAAGACTCGTTAAACACAAAGTGATATATATCTAGCCTTTATATGTTATAATATTGATTATTATGGCTCACAGCTTGTAAAAACACATTTTGATGGACTGTAGCCATAATCCTCAAAATGATGATAAACAAAGACATGTTGCTTTTGTCAAATGTATTGGTCTAATATTTTAATTCAACTTTCTTTCTTCTTAACAAATAACAGACACACAACATTTAAATCTTGTAAAACAACATTGGTACATTGTAGAGTAGTATGTCAAGTCACCCTCCAACTCCCCCACCCACGAACATACCCATGTCCAGGTCAAAAATTGAAATAGAATGATAATAGTAATAATAATGAAATTAAATACATATTTTTGGTTTCATATATTAAGTAGTGTCCTTTTGAACTACATTCTTAGTTTCCATTATGTACCTATAGTATCTCTCGATAAACTCAAGATATTTGAGATGTTTTGTTTTACTGTGACAAATTATATAGGTATAGAAGTAAAGGGAAATATTTAAATGATATCACTTTATTAGTTGCTCATTGGCAATTGTCCTAAAAGTAATGGTCTTTATTCGTGATTTGTCATAAAAAAATACTCACAATCAAAACATAGTGTCACATCATGCACATCAAAAGGACCATAGTGTGCTTTTTAATATTCTTAATATCACTAGTTCTCTTAATGGGGGGGAACTAGTATGATTGTTTCTCTCTGCCCTGGGGGATATCTGTGGCACATGAATCGCATCTGGATCTTCATCAGTGTTTTGTTTGCCTGGTCTTGTTTCTACTCGTGTTCTGATTAGCTGTTTTTTTTGTCTCTTTTTTCCCCCTTGTCCACACTCAGGTTACAGGTCCTCTTCAGATGGCGTTCTGCCTGGCTGAGCTGCACTTGTGGTCCACCAAGAGCTCACTGCAAGTCAATGGTAACACTCTTTATCTCCTTGTCCAATCTCCCTCTGCTCCTCTCGCTGTCATTTGCTGGCTTTCTCCTTTTCCTACCAGTGTGTCCATCTCTGTCAGCGCTCACTTTGTTTTCTCACCTCCTCCTCAAACCAGACCACACAAACTGTCTCTAGGCTTCCTTCATTGACCTTATCTACCAATAATGACTTCTTCCTTCTTCAACTTTCCTTTTACTCTTTGGCTTCCCAATACTGGACTAACCCTTCGTCAAGAGAAAAATCATACTTTTTTCATCCTATTACATTTTGTCTTGTCTTTCACAGTCTGCTGAGTTCCAGGTGCAGATAGTGTCTCTCTGTGGCTGACTTTGTATTTGTATTTGGACGTGTACATGTGCCAGGCTCAGGATGGTGACATATCCTATATTTGTTTGTTTTTCGCCTGCCCTGTGTGTCTTGCACTATCTTGTAAAATGTAGAAGGATACATCTGAAGACTGATCACTGAGGTGTGTCATAGCCAATCAAACCATTTCTTTACTGTAAAAGTCAGCAAAATGTGACAAGAAAGTATTAAATAAAATGTATGTTTATCAGTTTTTGTCTAAGGGACATGGACTTATCAACTAATAAGATTAATAGGGGTGAATGGATTATGAAACACAAATGTAGTCATCCTCCTTTTCAGATTTATTACTAATCTAATATTTCCACACCTTTTCAGATTATTGAAATTTGTGTAGCAGCCCTGTATCAGTATGTCTAATTCAAATTAATATTCAATACCAATATAAAGCCCTTTTTTTCTTAATTATACATTATTAACTCATCATTGTATTATACTGGGAACATGAAACCACAAACTCACATAAAGTCTCCGATATTGGCTTACGTCATTCATTTGCAGATCTGTATGTGCATGTGTATTCAGGTGCTGTGTTTGCATGCTCCCCTGTTCTATTAGTGTGACCTGGCCTCGGGAGCACAGGCAGCAGCCAGCAGCACTGCAGCGATAAAGAAACGATGCGTTGTGCAAATCTGGATGCTTACGCTTTGGGCCTGCAGGAATAACACTCCACTCAGCAACTTTGTGTGGTTTTGGACATGCACAGAGGGCTTCTCCTGCCTGTGTCCTGTCTAGTTTTAAACTTATATGTCGTCTGTGTGAATCTGCCTATCCCTCAGGTGGTGACGGGTTAAGGCACTCCTCTGTCTTTATTAATACCCCTCTGCGCCCTCCATTTCGACTCGGACCGTTTTCCAATTCACCCCCGCCTCCCTCCCTCTCTCTGGGTCTTATCTTGGCCCCGGCGCAGGCAGACGGGACAGGCCACTGGCTGATAGTGATTGTTTATCCCGCTGTGCGAAATTGCTGATCTGTCTTCTGCTTTTCCCTGACAGCGAGATGCTCATCGTGTTGTGCTCTGTCTTTCACTCCCTCTCTCCCCTGCCCCACAGATACAGATATTGGCACCTATCAGTACTACGATAAAGGAGAGCCAGGTAAATAGTGTTTTTATTGGATGTCTGTTTGTGGTAACAATAACTTGTATTAGTGCTGTTTTTGCAGTGTATGTATATTTTCTCATATGGGGGAAGGGATTTGCTCACACGATTCATACACCATCTTGTACCATATATTGGACATAGCCAATATACACTTACTGTTAATGTGTGGGATTAGAGCCCTAAACCTTTAAATACACATTCAACACATTGCTTATTATTATTAGTCCTGTCTGCACCTCTATATCTTCCCTCTGTGTTCATGTTGACCTGGGGTCTTGCCACACAGCGATAGGGAAACTAAACTGTTGCCTTTTGCTTAGATCACATGGCCAATGTAGTTCAGCCTCATATTGCCTCAGGCTGAAGCTTTCTCTTCCCATCAGGAAACATGTACATAGCTCCAGTCGGATCCCACAAGTGAAAGACAGGCTTTTCACTTTATTTGATCTTCACTTTCACAGTAGTTTTTAGAGAAATGTATATGGAAAAAAAGTTATTTAAAAATATGTTGTATAGACATTTATAGATGTTTGTGCTGTTATTTTTTGTGCCTGTATTGCTTTATGTGGTTCTCTTTCTCTTCTCACATTGAAGAAGTTATGCAATGTTTTCACTATATGTATAGAATGATCACCGATCTAAATATATGCAGTTCTGATTCCTTTGGTCTGGATCCTGTCCTAACTGTATACTATGACTATGGTAAACAAAACAATGAAAAACAACAACTAAGCAAGCCAACAAACATACAAAATCACTGCTTCAATTGAATAGATTAACATAGTTCCATTGCTAACCACTAGAGGGAGACCCAAGCTCATCTGAGCGACTCGAGGGGTGCCCTGCAGAAAGGCCCCCTGGCTGCGGAGCAGGTGCCCATGTCTGGGCCTGTCTGGCCTCTTATCTGATTAATACTACTAATCCTGGAGGTGCTCCTGCCTGCCAGAGAGCCTAGCGCCACACTGGCCACTTTCTTGCCTCAGGCATCTGGGCCATGATGCTTGGTTTTGGGTTGCATTGTGCCAACACACGCTTTTGGAGTTGCTGGGATGTTTGAGCTCGAGATCAAATCGCTGCCCACTTCCTCTTTTGTGCAAGTTACACACTCATTAAATCTCTGGCCTTTCTCTTGCAGCTGGCCCACTTGAGCATCACTATTACAATGAGAAACTGCATTACTCTGAAGGTGAGTTAGCAGCTGATGGCCCTCTTTCAGATAATTGAGTTGATGTAATAAGAATGCTGGAGTAGTGGTCGTCTCTTACTGAATGACCATCTTGTGTAAACGACTTTTCGCTGCAGTCAACTGTTCAACGGTACCAGCTCTCCTGTGCTTCTTCACCTGATTGTCACCCAGTAGTGGAATACGAACAGCCTTATCAGTTTAATCCTTTATTTACATGCATCTGCTTGCCTCCTATTCCCTCTCATTCCTAATGGAGAGCCAATTCTAATTTTGTTTGAGTCCAGAGAAGACAGGCTGGCAAACAAAAATGTTTTTGTATAGTCAAAAAAGCAGACGTACAAATTATAGAAAGAGCTGTACACATTGAATTAGCTGTTTCAAAAGCCTTTCTTCCCATATCATAATCATTAAAGATTCAGGCAGTCGCAAGTTAACAAATTAAAATGCAAAGAAAGATTTTAAGCAAAGTTGCATTTGATTGAACTGTGAGCGTTGCCTTTGTCCAAAATGTGTTTCTCAATCATGTGAATACTTATCTTATTTACTTTAAGTATCTATCCTAACTGAATATTATATATTTTCTTTGTAGCACGAGGATATACATGGAACCCTAAAAATCGCAGACCTGAGAAGCTTCGTGATTCGCTGAAAGAGTTGGAGGTACACGCCCCCTCTGTTAACCTCCCAAGGACCCCCTCCAGTCTTCCTTCATCGTCTTCCCTCTCAGGGGAGTTTTGGAGTTTTCCCTTTCCGAAACGGCCGATTGATTAACAAATAAGGGCATTCTCTCTCCATTCTCCCTCTCTCTCTACTTGCTATGTCATTTCTCGTTTGTTCCTTTTCTCCCTGGGCTCTCTCATCACCTCTCTTTCGGCCTGGCTCTGTCATCGAGGGGGATATTTGAGGGGATCAGGGTCTACAGACTGCCCCTCATCCTTCCTCCCTTACTCTTTTCCTCTTCTTTGCCTCAGAACTTTTAGAAGTACAGACCAAGCTTTGTTTTGCCAGGACCTGTCTGTTCCACGAGAATGCATGCACATAGACAACATTCGCCGTCCGTGCACCTCCCTCCTGTCACCCATAACTATTGTTCAGAAACTAGAAACACCCCGACTTACCTCCACACCCACACTCCTTCCCTCTCTCCTCCCATCCAATCACCCCAGCTGGGCCAGGAATGTGACTGGAATGAGTGACCTTACACACGCAAACACAGACACTCTAGTGTACTTGTATATCTTTTGGTCTCCGCACTCTCCACAACGGCTATTTTAACACTAACAATGTAACACTTTTCAATATTGTTTTTAAATGTTTCTTTTCTTTGTCCAAGCAGGAACTGTTGTATACCAACATCTGTGTTCACACCAGATGGAAAAGCAAGCACTGTTGCCAGGTATATACCCCATTATACAGACATTCCTGAAACTATTATACTGTACAAAAGAGACCTATACCTACTATTTCAGATGTTGAGCCCGATTGACTTGAAAAAAATCTTCTCATACAGTATTATAATTCACCTCGATTGCCAATGTCCATAGGTGAAACTCAGCTAATTAAAATATTGTTCAAAAGGGTATACATTTCTGTAAAGTAACTTTAATGTGAAACTACAATAAGCATATTGTGGACACCAACATACATTTAGGACACAAACATACATTTAGCTTTTTTTTTAGTGAATCAACTTATTACCTCTAACATGCATTATGTTCTGGGCTTTGGTTAATCAGTCTTACAATAAGACTAGTCTTTGTATATTTACTACCCTGCCAACTGCTGGATGGATTGAGCTGAAATTTGCTGTTAAGCTGGAATGTAATGGTAGTAATACTCTGTATTTTGCTGTAATCCTTGGCCTTGGCAGGGTAGGCGCTTTCCTAGTGCATGTTGTACCTTCAAACTGGGTATAGTCTAAACTTTTGGCTTTAGACTTTAGACTCTAAAGAAACAGGCATCCAATAAGTGTGAAGCTCATTTTAGTGTCTGATTGAATATTCATGACGTGAGAACCACCTTTCTGCTCTAACTTTGGTCCATGTATTACAAAATCTCTGAAAATATTTACAATATTTAATTTTAAATATATATTCATGCAGTTGATTTTGAGCAATGGAATACTTGTAACCCTGTCACTGAATGGACCTCAGCTGGAACAAGTGTGTGTGGATCGTACATTAGTTGGACGACTTCCAGCCAACACTGTGACTGATGGTTAGTACATTTATTCTTATTTTTATTTCAGAACCTTTCAGTATTTTGACTGAATGTTTTTACTTATAGGCCCATTTATGTAGGTAATAAACAGTATTATTATTTCTGCCTATTGTACTATTTAAAAATATATATATATATTTCATTTGTTTTGTTGTTCTTTATACAAGCACTGATGAAAAATTATGCAGCTCTGTATCAGAATGAATATTTTTTGACATGTCCTGAATAGCACCCATGTCTGCCCACAGTCGTCCACTCAAACAAAATTCAACAGATTTCAATTCAAGTATTTGAAAACCGCATAATGGTCAACCATGCACTTCCTGTCATACTGTCAGCACAAACAGCATGCTTAATCTGACATCTTTTGCATTTATGGACACTGACATTCTACTTTGTCACACAATTGCTTTCAATTGAGCACAAACATAACAGGTGCCACAGGTGAGCAGCACTGCAACTTTGGCGACTAATTGTGGGCAAATCCTTTTGTGCTGCGTGTGTCCAGGGGCCTTCCCTTAAGAGCATCCATCAGTGTTTTTCCTCCATTGTGCATTCCTCCAGGGACTACCACCTCCCCACACTTCCTTTCCTTTGCACTGTAGCTCTGGTGGGAGCGAATAAGGGGCTGTGGACACCAGCCCAAATCTGCTAATTATTTCTTTCTCTCTGTATCAATTATATGCCCATAACACCGCCCTATTCCCTTGCACTGAGTCTCCAGACACCTGATAAAGCCCAACAGTGCACTCTCCCTGTGCACACACTCATTTGTCCATTTGTTCTAACACATGTAATTACAACGAACAATCTACTTCAGAGTCAGATCCTGGCACTTACAGTAATGTCTGTCTTTACAGATGTGTCAAATACACAGGGTCACACATTCAGCCAGGTACACGAAGCACTTGTCTCCTGCTACGGTACATTCAAAGCTTCGAAGGCACTAATTATTAGAGTAATGGGCTGGAGAGGGCGAGTTCCAGGGATTTTGTGTATCGGGTGTAAGTTAGAGGCTGTTCTAACATCTGTCACTTGTTAAATTGGCTCAGACAATTGGAATAGTGAGTCAAGCTACTTCACAGAATTAACAACACATTTAAAACATAAAGAATTACCAGGGAGTGCCCCACCAATAACTGACTTGTAATGTATGTGGTGTTGTAACAAGTATATGACACTTTTAAAAAATGTTGTCCGTCTCCATCACATGCTGTACGCTTTTGCTAAGAGGCAACAAAAGGCTACTTTTTTATAACAAAAAATTATCCTGGCTAAAAAGAGGAAACTTGTATTTTCATTGAACTAAATACCCTAGGCTACAGAAGGTGGTATCAATGGCTGTTAAACAATTCTTACATGTGATGTTCTTTCAAGCCTCTATACAATTGAGTTATGGTTGCATCATACAACATTTTAGATTACATGTATTTTTCACCATCAAAGTATTACAAGCTTCCATTGGTTGATGACGAGACTAAGCTAAGCATATGCTACATGATTAAGCATCCTTAAGTGATTTTTTGTAGCTGGTTTCATTTATCCACATTTAAATGTGCTTTGGTTAAGCCTATTGCCCTCTTATGTCAACATGCTTCTGAGGAGATGGTATTAAATGGATTTAGTAGAATGTGTATGAGAGTGGGACAGTGAGTGTGTTTCATGCGTGTAGCTTTGAATTCATATATGGGCCTGTATTGGTAAGAGTGTATGCATAAGATATGGTTGAGAGCAGACATAGTAGTACCATACATGACATATGCAGTTTCTCTTGCAGTAAGTACATATATACACACACACAACAGGAATGTGGCAGTGTCAGAGGGATTCAATGAGGTTTAGGGCTGGGTCAGGAAGGTCTGGCCCTTAATACCAACCCTGCCACCTGCTTCAGTGGTGGGCCAGTCTGTTTTCATATCCATTCTTTCATTTGGGAATGAATAGGATTAAATGTAATCCCGTTTATAGACACCCATAGAGATCAATACTAAACTGCATTTAACTTGATTTGTCTGTAATCTACCACAAAGATGCTTACTATTGTGGTAGATTACTTTAAATGTAGTATCAAAAAGCTTTGTTAATAGCAGTCTTTCTGCCATAGATTGCGAATGTAAGCATTTTAATGCTCTTTAATCTAACTTCTGTTTTGGGACACAATCTATTTTGTTGTTTTGTTCAGCAGAAATGCTCTACTCTTGTGTATCCATTGGGGCTGGAGACAACTAAAAAATGCTTGGATTGGTAAAAATATGTCTATCCTTAAGTGAAATCTTAAACATTCAAAACTATTACATTTATGCATCTGACCTACACTGCACTAACATTGTACCAGGACTTCATACAAAGCCATATTTATGCGGAAAAGTTGATAAAGGTATCTAACGGGGAATGATCTGAATCAGATTCTAAACCGATTTTGATTTCCGCAGACCCCATTGGTGAGCCTAAAATACCAATAGCAATTAACAACTACAATAGGATGTTCTTGGCCAATAAATATCAAAAATACATGCATTATATGAAGTTCAACAAGGATATTGTTTTGAATGAACACAATATTTGTTACCTGTACTATCAGTGCATACTTAGTTTGAATTTATGAAAAAATTGGATTAAATCATGAGTTAACTCACACCTCCTGATGTTGCTCTTGTGTCATATAGATCTTGATAATTTATCAAAAAATTATATATAAAAATCAAGTAATCACACAAATACTAGTGTAGTTATAAATTCTTTCAATCACCATGGCTAATTGCTAGTTAGATTTCCAAATCTCTGGGTGCAGCCTTCCTCGCTCAACTCAAAGCAGAATATCTGAGAGACATGTGTAATACCCCCCTTTCCATTTAATTGGCTTCATAAACAGATTAATTTTGAAGGAGAGGAGCTTAATTGCTAATCAGCGTCTCCATGCAGCTTGGGATGAGTTGAACAGGATCAAGTGTTTTCTTCATTCACAAAAAGGGCTCAGAGCCTCTACAACGAGGGAGTGATGAGATAAAACAGAAAAAGATGGTAAAAGTCAAGGATGAACAGAGCAATGAGGGAGAAAATGAAAACATTAATTATTTTCTTGCTTTAAATACAGTGTCTTTGCTAATGTCTTTGATTATGTCATTGCAGCAGTCATCACTGATAGGCTGATGTTGTTGTCTTTCCTGGAGAAAAGCCAACTCTGTGCAATATACATCAACAAAAAGAACCTCACTTCATCAGAGACTTTACGAAAAGTAGAGAAACTTTCTCCGTCTGACATCAAGGTAATCAGAAAGTCTGTTGGATGGTATATACCTTTCCTTAATCAAAATGGTTGTGTCCTCAATAATCAGCCAGCTAAAAGCATCATCACATTAATACCAGACCCTGTTTTTGAAGTGTGTGGGTGAAGCGGGTTTGTGTGAAAGCAATCGTTCCTGCGTCTGTCTCCCCTGCTGTTCTGATAAGACACACACTAGTCATACGACACACACAAACACACATTGAGCCACTTCCCAATAATGATTCACACCGTGCGCATGCACTGCACCTTACACATATGTCCGGACACACATGGTACTGCCCATCCCCCTAACACTCACACCCAGATTGCCCTGGTCCACTGGGCTAAGCTGAAGAAGGGAAAGTGGGGGGAGTTGGTGGGGGGGGGGGGGGGGGGCTAAACTAATCCGGCCCACAGAAAGTGGTTTTTGATTATTGCTGACCAGCAAACGCGAGCAGAAAAAACTAGAAGAGGCAAGAGATGGCAGTGAGGGATGGAAGGATAGGGGAGAGTGGCTGCGACAGAGTGTGTTATTAACCCACTGATTTTAGATTCTTTCCCTTTTCATTTGTAATCTGTCACTGATCTCTCAGTTTGGCTTTTGGGGGCAATGCTTTGTTCCCTTTATCATCACATATCCGTCCATCTTTTTATACCTGTCCTGTATTTTGTCGTTAAATCACACTTCTTCCCCTCACTCCTCCAAGAAAGTGTTAGTAGGGCAGACATGGATCAGTGAGCCTCAAATTTGCTGCATACATATGGTGCAAATTGTCAATGTAACATTTTTGTATCAGCTTTAAAATAGATTTTGGTTTCAAGAGTCTATTGTGGCAATTATTTAATTTCAAATGAGAAATGTTTGCAATTTATTGACTCAAAACTATTTTTGTATATGCTCAAAGAAAGCAATTTTTAAAAAAGTGAATCTTTCCTTAAATCTGAGTTACTTATATGCATCATTTATATTTATATTTATTTTTATTTATTTGTTAATGCTGTTTGATATAGTTTAACTTTTTATTTTCATAAATTTGATTGCCTTCTGAGTGTTGACAAAAACATATGCAATATGTCCAGTTAGGCAGTTACACACAACGTGCAAAAGCTGAAGTGGACGTGAAAGACAGAGCCGCACCCCAAGACTTATTCAAAATCAATTCTATAGAGTGGCCTTCATGAATGTGTGAGTTATTTCTATGTATGTGTTGCATGAGCACTTTGCCTTATCTCTTCCTTTGTTAGTGTCTCATGTGCATGTTTGTGCGGACCCCCCTTCTCCACACTCACCCAAGTGCCACGAGAGCTCATTACTGTGTGTCTTTCTGTTGTGGCCTGTAGAGCGTGGCAGACCTTCCCAAAAATATGCACATTGCTAAAACAAAAAGCCCTTCAGAACAAAACACATACAAGGACATTAATAATACAAGATCAAATACAACCTTAGATATCAACATAGTAAAGTGGAATCGGGAAGGACGTTCAATTGGGGCAAAATTGTAAGGTTGAGTGATGCCTTAACTGAGTCAATTGGGAGTTTAGGTCGTGTCATTTTATTATCTTACTCCTAAGAAATGTTGTATAGTCTTCATGAATAGCACAGATCTACCATCAGCTGTTTTTAAATCTCACATGCAGATTTTCAGTGTGGACGTGAGTGGCCCTGGGCATAGGCTACACAGACGAGTCGCTCTCAATCAGCAACAAGATGTAGCTCTGTTTTGGTGGAGCCAGGATGAGATTGAAAAAGAGCTGTGGCCATGGGATCCTACCGACGCACAATGGCACAACTTGGTTCTGCTCAATTTGTCACCCAACGACGGTCTCAAGGTGAGCACTGATAAAACCAAAATGTACATTTCATCTTATGAAAATTTTTGCATTAACCCATTTGTACACATAGTAAGCCTTATTACATGCACAAATTCCTGACATGTGCCAGCAGTAATACACTGCTGCAGGATGGTACAAAGATGCATGTGCACTGGCCAGACTCCAGACAACAGAAAAGTAGAGAAATATTAAAACTGTGATCAGTACATGATTGAAGAAAAGTAAAGAAATTGGATTTTGATGGCGGGAAAAGTAGCGCATTCAGATTATCCAAGAACTGCATGCGGCTCGCGAGCCTCAGGTTTGTCACAGTGGCTCTTGAGTCATCCTTCGACACATGCAGTAAAATAAGTACACACCTGACATTCAGTACATAACGAAAATATCAATCTATGAAGCATCAAATATGTTGCATTAGCAGCACTTCCATGATCTATACTATAGAGATCAAACATTGAGGTGTCTGCTAATAAGCTGATATAAACACGCTCACTCAAATGTCTGCTATGTAGTAACAACATAAATATTCTTTAGTAAAGTAGCTGAGAGGAGGGAAATGTGTAACGAATTGCAGGCTAAGACAACTAATGCTTCAGCTCCAAATAAGAGAGAGATGAAAAGTGCAGCGCTTCATGAATATTGACATAATTAAAGCTTATGTTGTTGTTTGCTGTTTTTCCACATTTTGTGTGTGGGAACACTCAACACTCTCCTTCACAGAGTTTATTCCTTCTTCTGGCCCTCTCCCTCCCACCGTTATTTTGCTCCTCCTCCCGTTCCTCCACGCTTCCAGAACATTAAAGTGTCTTTGCGGGTCTGCGCCATCGCGTGCTAATGAAAGCGTTTGTTGTCATTTTTCAGATGCGCAGTGTGAAATTAAGCGAGCAGTTTATGTAAGAGCCGTGAAGAGAATCAAACGCCAGGCACACATCGGGAGACGGCAGCTACTTCAATCACTTCAAGCTCATATATATGTTCCTTTTGTTCAGTTTGCTATCTGCCACGCTAAGCCAATTTTCTAGCCAGTCTCTCGGCATTTAAAAAAGTCTGATTTCATTCCCTATGTGGTCTTAATTCATACCCCCTTCCACTTCATGCTGATAAGTGGAGCCATGGCATGCAGGGGGTTGGAAGATGCGAAGAAGAGAAAAACAGTTTATACAGTCAGTTAACATTTTAAATGATCTATCTCCATGGTTTTCTCCAAAACCCTACTTGCTACTTTTCCACACATACAAGTATATGTTATATTATGTATTAATGTTACCATTCAGCACAATGGTAACATTACATATCAAATCATTTCTAAAAATTCAAAATAATAATTTAAATTAAATAACTATGGAATTAACAGATGCAGTTTGATGTATTCAGATTTGTATTTATTTAATTAAAGACGGTTTCCTTGAATTAGAAACTAAACTAGCAAAACATTTTAGCAACATATTAATTGCAATAAATTGAAAGTTTTATTTTTGGCATGAAAGATTAACTGGCCAACAAATTATTTTTGTCAGTGTGGTGTTATCTCCTCTTATCTCGGTTGTCTTCTGCATCCTTCATAAGTGCCATGTGATACAGTGACCTGCGTTGGTAGAACAGCACGATCAGCAGTCTTGCTTCTCCTTGGTGGACCTGTTTCAAATTGTTTTTATTGTGTCTTTTGTATTATCTTCTTTACTAATTTTTATACAAGTATCTTGATCCATAATGTCTCTTCTACAGTGGTCTGTTATAACCGATTTGAGGTCACCCGTTTCTGTTTTCAAACGACTGCAGAAGAGCACTGAAATAAAAAAATAAAAAAATAAAACAAGGATACATGGATTGGAACATGCTCACAGTACAGTGAACAGAGTCAAGAAGGGCCTCCCAGCTCCCATGAACGTTGAATGAGGCTCGAGAAAAGTCGGACTTATTGTTATGGTAGTTTTCTTACAAATGCAGGTATGGGATAATTATGCCAAAAATGTAAATGCAAATCAGCAATCAAGAATCAGTACTTAAATGTTGTGTGAGGGATGCAAAACATTTTTAATTATGCTGAAAAACACCTCACTGGTTTGTTTGCAAAACAACTAAACACAGTATTACTATTGTAGAATAAAAGCACAGTCTACCTTTTATTACAAATTCTGTGATGGAATATATTTGTAATATTCCTTTTCCCATCATTCCACAATTACTGTATCTGTACTGGCACCAATTATGGTGGTTGGAGTGAGTTAGACTTGGAATAGTAATTTTGCTGCGGCTGTGCATTTTTTCACATCACTACAGCCACTAACCCTATTTCCCATACCTAAAATTGTCCCCCCACCCCTACTCTGTCCCTTTATCCCCCCACTCTCCTCTGAGTCCCTCAGTCTCTCCACCAGTCTCTCCCTGTCTTTCTCTGCTCTGTGAGCTGGAAAATTGGCTTCAAAAGGCCACTGCTGTGAACAAGGGCCAGCCACACAGTTGGGCCCGTCCGCTTTATCTTTTACGCCACGGAGGGGAAAAAAGGTGCCAGTGAGTGAGAGAGAAGAAGAATGGAAAAGAATAGTTTTGACCAGTCACTGAAACCAATAACCAGTTGAAAGCTACTTACCTAGAGCTTGTGTTTGACTGGGGCCGACTCCTACTTTAACTTTATACTGTTTTACAGACTATGCAAAAGTCTGAGGCATTCCCACCAGGTGATATCTTCCAACCAGTAAACATCCAACCCTTGATACTTTTCATACACATATTCTCAATTTTTTGCTTGTGAAAAGTGAACCCTAGTCCCATTTTCTCTTTGATGTTTCTTTTGTGGACTGTGCTTGGTCTAAAACAAATTAACAAACAACTTAACTATAAAAAATATCAGTGACACTTGATGAAATACTCCCTTTTAGCATTCAATATATGATGTATTCTTTTATACAATATATTTAAATCAGCAATGTACCAAATTCATAATATTTGTGATAATCGAACAGTGTTCAAGCCAAGTGAAATCAAAATATAATTTCATTATTATGTATTTATATATTTTTCTTTTTTCTTTTAAACAGTACACCGTTAACCATCCAGTAGAAAACAGAATGATATCTTAAAGGTAGGGTTTATGGCCTGTGCTGGACTGCTGTTTACTGTATCGAAGAGCTGAGCTGAATCAGCTGCACCTCCTCCCGATTGTGCCATGGTGCCATGGTGCCATGGTGGCATGCTGGCATTGGGAAGCAGGCCTGACTGGGCATGTGATGAACCGGCACAGGGGATAGGATGAGGTTGAGGGTCAATCTCTGTGCACCTGAGGTGTGCTTACTGTGACAGCATTCTGGACATGCCATCTTTGTGAACTGTGTAATTTTATTCGGCATGTAAAGCTGCTTTGAGTCTCCAGGAAAGCACTATAAAACAGATACATTATTAGTTTTATTTAATTACATTTTGAAGAACTCCTGATATCCGGGCTCACCTTGTATACCCCACATTTCACATGGACTCTGCAGTTTGTCTGAAATAAACACACACAGCACCTACCCCCCAGGGAGCCACAGAAGCAGGCTGTGGGGGATTATTGAAGGGGAAAGCTTTTGGGGACAGTCATCTGCTCCTCAACTGGTGTCGTGTATGGGCAGGAAAAGAACTTCATTCCCCTCTCTAAGTCCCCTTTTGGCCATGCCTGCCAAAATACTGGGCTGGGCAGCTTTACGAAAGATGGATGGCAGGCAGGCAGTCGATCCCTCTTTCTGTCTACATGGCGAAAAGAAATGGGCTCATTTAGCCAAAGCTGCCATGGTCAATGCAGGCCTCTGATAGAGGGTTTGGTAAGGTGAAATCCTCTCTAAAAGCTCTCTGACTCACTGTGGAAGAGTTTGGCTGCTGATTTGTTTTTGTATCATCCTCCCTCTGTGTTTGATTCAGTATGGTTAGCACTCACTCACACACACACACACACATGCACACACTTATTACCAATACGCACTTGCCTTGAGTGAGGGTCTCACTAATATTAGCTAAACCTGCAAATAATCTCAATTCATACTCCACCTACAAATTATTTTATTTGTTCGAAGGCGGTGGATTGGACTTGATACTGTCTGCTTGCTGTATGGTTTTGGAAATATAAACATATTGATTGCAGAGAAAAGGTTTTAAAGGTATTCTGGACCAAGTTTTCACTTAAACACACCAGGAAAATAACAGGCAACCAGATGAAACTGCCATAATAAATGTTGAAAAATGCAAAAATGCAAAAATATTAATCAATTTATTGAAAACAACATCTATCTTAAATAGTTTGATATAATGTGTAGGATCATGGCTCAAAAACCTTGTGTCTCCACAAGTGGCTCCAAATTTATTGTTGATCACTTCAAAACGATGCTTGTCAGGTGGCAGCATTGTTCAGTTACAATGCAGCGCCCAAGGACCAAATTGCAGAAATTAATATTCCACTAGTTTAGGGTTACATTACCATGTCTTGATGGACCTCCAAACTGATCATTTGAATCAGCCTTGGTGACATTTGTCTACCACTCCACGTTTTGTTTGAAAATAGTCATAGTATTTTTCTTCTTTTCTTTAGGTTCTGAATTCCGTACGCACTGAGGGTAACCCAATTGACTGCCGTTTTAGTCATCTCCAGCAATATCGACTCTTGACAGTGGAACTTCCTCAGGGACTCCAAACATCATCAGAGGGGTGTCGTGCTGAATCCTGTGTTTATGAATTTGCTCATGGACGACTTCACCGATTGTCTATTGTCCGCATCCCTCTTCTGTCCCAGCCCACCTGCTGCTCCAGTCACCCTTCAGAGAGCATGCTTCTCCTGGGGTTAAAGGATTCCTCTCTGGTGCTCTACGACCAGCGACGGGGTGTTTCTCTTCTTGCATCTTGCCTTGTGCCCCCTGCCCTTTTGGCTTGGCATCCATCTGGGGCTGTGGTGGTTGTTGGTGGACAGGATGAGCTGATGTGTTTCGATGTAGGCTTGGCTCCATTAGGCTTGGCATTGGTAAATGAAGACATGACATCAGCTGCTACTCTACCTCTTGCCCAACACCTGCGCCTCTCTGGAAGCCTGGAGGGATTACACTGGGGCTCGGGGCTGGATGGAGATCCAGAGGGCACGATGACCCTAATGTTGACATTTCACACGGGACCTCTTGGTTTAATGAGATTTGGTAAGTTTATGTATACTATAACCCCAATTTGGATCATCTCAAAGATATATACATTGTTGGATGAACTTGCTATATTGTGAAACACTTTGCTTTACTTTTTCAATTTCCGCTCTGAGGCAGTTTGAATGTGCCTATCTTTGTTTTGGTCCCAGGTGTTGGACGGTTTCAGGCCCTCTTACTGCAGAGAGCTGAGTCAAGTTATTTTGTCGATGAGTGGCAAGGTTAGCAAGAGTTATACTCTCAGAGGTCGATCAGTAATCACCCCATTCAGGAGGCCCCAAAGTGCTTCCTGGGATGCATTTTTTCCTGATAAGTCATTTACAGTAGACGCACAGTCCAAAGAGGGGTCAAGATAAAGTTTGCTAATTTTTTCTTCTTCAACAGTACTAACCACACTTTCAAACGCATTTTATAAATACGTTTCAGGATGTTGCATGCAATTGTAACTGCGTAAACAAGATGACAGTGGCCCACAGCCCTCAGTGTGATTGCAGTTGTGAGGGGGAGGAGGGAGAAGGTAGAAGAATGTGCGCACTTAAGTGTGCGTTTGTCTGTGTATGCAGGGAAGGGGGATGTCTTCCAACAATAGCTACCCCTCGTCTGATCGTCTGCCAAGGTTTTGATGAAGGAAGTCACTGCTCGTTGTTTTTCCATGATAATTCTTCCTCCTGTGTGTGTATTCTTCTATTTCTGTTTTTCTCTGAATGCACACATACACTTCAATTTGTTTATTTGTTAGTTTGTGTTTTTGATACTGACTTGTTCGTAAAGCTTGCTAAATAACAAAATGAGCCTGCAAGTTGGGAGGCTGCAAGGAAGAAAGAGTTGGCAGGGCTCCAAGCCTTCTTTTTCTATATGAGACAGGCCTTCCCGGTACACCCCACCCCCCAAGCCTCCTGCTGCACCAACTTATCTCATCTGGGCACACATTGGCTATGGCTGGGCTCGCAGTGGTGCTGACTGGGAAATGCAAAGTAGCAAACATGCTTTAAGATACATGATATAGGACGGGTCAAAGACATATTTTTTTCATTTTCTGTGAATTTTCACAATAATTGATGAGTGATTTTCAAACTTTTCATACAGAGTAGCACATACAACATTTGTTGGCGTTCCAATATCACCCAATCTAAATATGTAAAAGGAATTGTCTGTGTTTGAATCTGGATAAAACCAGACCCCATGTAGGACTACATTATTTTAAAGGTAGTTCTGAAAAATGTATGAACTCAAAGGAGGACAAATTCAATCAATCCTCTGCCATGTACCATTGGAAGCGTAAAGGGACTTAAATGCAAAAGCCCCATTACACCTAGATTTACCTTTTGTGAACACAGAGACATTTAAAGATTTGAAAGCTTACAAATTGACAATTCCTCTCTACACATTAAACTCAGTTGAGGCAACATAAATGTCTCTTTTAATGTCAGATTGTCTATGCTGGTTAAATGGACACTAATTGGTGTTTACAATTTTTTTATTAGAAGGGCATGGCCTGAAATCTTACCAATATGTGGGTTTACAATAAACTTGAGTTGACAGCATTAGACATGGGTGGTTTAATTCACTTTCCATACTGTATTTGGACTTTTCAGGGCACTCGCCTCAGTTTGGATGTCCATGTCCTTCTCGGTTCTAATCAAATGTGTATTGTTTAACAATATGTATTATTCTTTTAAACTTTCCTTGCTCCTCAGGGGCTTTGTCTGGAAGCCAAATGGGTCCAGAGAAGCTGCTGCAGCAAAGACTGCGCTGTGGTCAGGTGCAGGAGGCTCTGGGTATTTTGGAGGCTCTGGACTTTAACACTACAGGGGACCAGTGCTTCAGAGGCCTCAGCTCCATCATCAACCACCTGCTCAGACTTCCGCTCAACACTGAGAGAGAGGGTGAGCTTGGAACAAAACATGTTTACAATTAGGTTTGTATAAATTACAGATGCAAAAATCATCAAAATATTCCCATTGAGGATTAACTGTAACTGTATTCATAAAACAGTTACTTTTTCTTTCAGTGGTGTTACTTTTACAAAAAATAAAAGGAAGACATTGTGATATTAGTATTTGATCTTCAAGGCACACAATATTATAATTCAAGCATTAGTAGTGCATGGATGTGTGTTTATCCTTTACATTTTTCATTATTATTAATTTAAAACAAACTGTTATTTTGTGATTGGACTGTATGATGGATTTCATTACAAAATACAGTTATACAGGGGTCCGGTTTTCGTAAAATTCTCGCCAGTACTGATAACAGATACAACATTTGCACAAATGTTCCTCTTACTCTTAAGTTATTTTTTTCTCTAGAACAACTTGAAGCAGCCCTGGGTGTGTTTTATGCTGCTCCTACAACTTTATGTGATGCCGTGATTTTGGAGTATCGTGATCCCGTGAGAAAGTACGCCCGTCGCTTTTTTCACCACCTCCTCAGGTACCCTTATGACTTCCATTTTCTGGATCCTTATTTTTCTCATTTCTTTTCTTGAGGAAAATGCTGCATTGTTCTGTTGGAGGCCAAAGGTCAAAATTGGTCCTGAGCCAGTAGTTTCTTAGATTTAAAATGGTTTATTTGCTTACAATGAATATATTTCTGACGGGAAATCAAAACATATGGTGTGTAAATGACTTAAGATAATTGATATTGATTCTACTTTACAATCAAATGGTCAGATTTAAGGACAATCTGTTTACTGCATTATCAGGACCAATATTCAGTCAATACGGCTTACTGCTTCTAAAAAGTCTAAAAAAAAATTCATTTGAATTTCAGCACACACTCAGTCAGACTCATAGAGATGCTGCTTTGAGTCATTCACAACACATGCACCTGTTTAGACTGTTGTTTCATTTTCCCTTCTGCCATGAGAGCCTTTTGAAATGGCTGTTTGACTGAAATAGACCCTGTTGTTCCCACACACTGCTGCTCACCGCTCTCCATCACGCAATTACCCACCATTCCCTCCTTTTCGCTGTGTTTTTTCTTCCTTAGCCTTTGTAGCCGAGCTGCAGCGTTGTTTGGCATCCCTCCTCCTCTCCTCTCTTATCGCCTACCTGCATTCTTTTTCTCTCCATCGACATCAAATGAAGGAAGCCCCCTCCTTCTGCCCATTGCCTTTGCAAGCATTTGTTTGTTTCATGTTGGCTCCAAACTCAGAAAGTTGAGGCGTTTTGTTCAGGGACACACTGTTCACTTTTGCCAGCTCTAATTATGGATGCAAGGAAGAGGGCTTGCTTTTCTCACTTCAATTATGGACTGTTCATTGGTTTGGGGTTCAGATAGAAAAGTAGAGGGCGTTTTCATATAGCTCTGTGGATCTTAGGAATACACTGTACAAAGATTACCTCTGATCTAAAATACATGCTTTTTGTCTTGTTGTGCAGGCACCAGCGTTTTGAGAAGGCCTTTCTACTTGCTGTAGATTTGGAGGACAGAGACCTGTTTATGGTGAGTTGTAGTTGTTTCTTTTGTTCATGTTATGTTGTAGAAGAAATTACACTTCAATTAATCTGTAAGTGCAGACATCTATTCATCTTCACAGTGGCATGACATGCTACATACAAAATATAGTGTAAGTGTTCATTTTAACAAACACACAGCTTGAATAATACAAACACTTATTAAACAACAAACTTCTATATAATTGTATACATTAAATGTATTTATCATATTTTCAACATTACATTAAAAATACATATGCTGGAGGAAAACCTGCCTGTTGACTGGCTCTTTTGGCCTTACCTTTCTCCTCTCTTCTCATCTTCTTTCTAACCTGCCATTCTCCCACTCTCCACGCTGAAATGTTCTTCTGTGTATCTAATCCACTTTTCCCGGGCCACTTATTATGTCACAATGATAAAAACACATAGACATCAGTTCCATTAAGTAGTGCTGCTGGAAGAGCACATTTATTATGTGGAGTCAAGCCTTGTTACCCTAAAAGAGCATGGGAGGAGCAGACCCATTCAGACACATAGCTTAGCCCTGTGTGAAAATATTATAATCATTTATCTAATCTGACTCAATTTAGAGCCATGAATCTTTCATTTTGTCTACAACATCTCATACTGTTTCTAAACCTAGTGCACTGCTCCATTACGTTTTCTCAGCAAAAGTTTTTGAGGTGGGATTTTTTAGAGCTAAGTTAAACATAACGGGCAATTATGTTTTTGCTATTATCTCTGCAACGGAGTAATGTAAAAGCTATAGGATGGGTTTATTTGACAGTTAGTTTGCACCATCTTTTAGAAAGTTACAGATTCTTTAGTAAAGCTTGGAAACGGGAAAAGAAGCGCATGACTACATACAAGTCAGCTTTCCTACTTAATTTTAGTTTGTGTTATAATATAATGACAGCACTGTCTTAGAATATTGAATGTGCTTTTGCTGACTAAGTAACTTTTTAATCCAGATCTGTGACACTCTAAACCTTACAATTCTCACTTCAAACAAGCTGTTTTTGCTTCAGTGACTGTGGAGTGCAATGACCAAAAAAGCCAAAGGAAAAAGAAGACATTGACATTTCACCCTTTGCTCTCTGACGGGCACTAATTAGGCTGTGTTGTTGCTTTAACCTGCTGCTTGGCTGATTGGGCCAAGGTGGAGGGGGTTAATGAGGGCAGCCCCCAGCACTATTAAAATCCTCGTCAACTTCACCAACTGTCTTCACCAACTCAATAATGCACCATCGACTTGATCAAACGCACTCTACTGCACGCATACAGACTCACCGATAACGTGCACACCTTCACCTCCGCCCAGCATGATACACCCCCAGAGCTAACCCCGGCCCCCTGCCTCTGTCCAGCCCCATTGTTTCCGTACTAACAATTGAGGCCCTCCAAGCCCTTTACAAATAACAAATCTTTTGTTCAAATGAAACACTTTAGTGTCGGTCTAAATTGAGGGGGAGGAGGAACTCGTGGCAGTGGTTCTGTAGGGGGGGGTCTCTTGTTGAAGGGAGGGGGTCTCTTGTTGAAGGGAGGGGGCAAGTGACTCGTTTGCATTTTTTTCTATAATTAAAGCTGTTCTGTGGCACCATAATTAGGCTTTGATAATGAGTTGATAATGTAAGCAATTAGGTCATTCGTCAGTCACGATAATTTATTTCTCACCACCCACTTTTTTAGCACATTCTTCTTGGGTTGTGCTCTTGATGTAGCTCGTTAATTAAATCAAATGGTGTCATAGTCCAATTGAACGCCTCTTTTTTTCCTCTTGTCAGATACAGCACCAATAATAAGGCATGCTGTGTCTATCAGGTCCAGCCCATATCTTCTGTGCCAATCTGATGCCACGGGTCCAAACAATATAAGCTCATTGTTGTTGTTAACCTGTCTAATTGGCCTCATTAAATCATTAATCTGATAAAGGTGAATAACATATTTGTAGTCATTTACTGGGATTAACTGTTGAGTTCTGATTAATATAGATTTTTCTATCAATAGTTCAGTGTAGACTTTTTATAGATTATAACATAAGTCTCCTTTGTGTCCTTACTTAGAGTGATCGTAAGACTGATCACAGTTTGTTGTTCTATTCGTAATCTATTCAAAAGTGCATATGATGTTAAAAGGTTTAAAACATGTGAAGGATATGAAACCAATTGGTGAACATTTGATCTTGACTGAGCGATTCTTAACAGAGAAAAACAATCTCATGTTAGTATATGCTTTAAATGGTTTTGAAGCTGTATGGACCTTAATCCTGTACATTTGGCTCCATACATTACTTTCTGGATTGAGATTATTTGACAACCCAATTTGCCTGCATGTGCACACACCCCAAACACTGACTTCTGTTTATGTGCGGCCACTTTGTACCAGTTAAACTAATCCCTTATTTATTGGAGGAAGCCCAAATATCAGTCAATATCAGGCTCTTAGTGTCCATCTAAGCCCCTCCCTCCCTTTGAGTGGCCCACAGAAACGGCCCTCTTTATAGGTGCAGTTAGCTGGCGTGCTGCAACCCCTAAAGCTCTTATATAAATAAGATTAGTGTCGCATTTGAGCGTCAGGGAATAAGAGGTGTAATATCTGATGGTTTTATATGCACTATTATTGTTATCCCTTCTTAGTCGGCCTGATACCCTCTCTCTCTCGTCTTACATTTGCTTGTTCGTTTATTCTTTGGCTGCCTTTCTCTCCCTCTCCTGATTCAGACAGTATTATGAGGAGCTAAGCTGTAATGCGACGGCCGACATCAGATGTTCATATTCTTTTTGCCTGTCTATCATTATTCTGACTCATGACCAAAACCTATTGTACATTTGCTTTTGTGAATTGTTTCAACTTCAGTCGCATTTCCATTTTACTAAATTAATTATATCATGTACTTATTTTGTTTGCTTACACTAGTGTTGATGCTCTGTAATTGGTTAAAAATCCTCACTTATCTCTCATGTTCACTGCTGTTGCATTCGCCAGCTCCGTTCGAGTAGCCGATTTAGCTTCTTTTGAGGCCATTTTTGTGTGTGCCATTTTCACATTTCCTCCTAACTCTTCGCCACAGAGGCCAGACTCTGCACTATAATTACCCAATCTGCTCCTATTCACACTCTTCAATTTCTGGCCCTCTTGCTCTCATTCGTGTCCACTCCCCTTGTTTGGAACCTCAATTTCTTACTGGTCCCCACTTCTTTTGGTAGGTAGCACCCCCTTTTGTGCCTCTGGGGGTACAAAAGCCGAGTTACAATATGGGGTATTAGGGCCGGGTGCAGCCCCAGCTGGGGGCTGGCTTTAGCCAGCTGAGGGTTATCCACGGTGAGTCCTGAGTCATGGCACTGATGTCCTGTGATGTCGCTGAGGCGGAAGACTTTGCTTAACGTGCTGTACCCTTTGATGGCCCTCAGGCCTTGCATTCAATCCAAGGAAGCCCCTCGATGTCCTAAGCGATTTGAAGTCACAATGTTGAATTCATTTGGGGTGAAAACATTTTTTTTATTCCTAAATTCTTTTCACCTCACCCAATAGTCCTCATATGTGTTTTCTATTTCTAATCTCTGTTATATAGTTTTGTCCAATGCAAGTATTAATCCACAAATAAAAAGTTAATAATCATTTCATTGTAATTGACTTGGAACTTCAATCTGACAGTGAGCCTTTACTGAACTGTTCACTGTAGTGATTTTATTAATGAACAAAATTGTTGCCTAAAGCCTAAATGAAGCACCCTCAGACATCATTGAAACACAATCTCACTTCACTGCTGTGTGAGACTCCAACAGAGATATAGAGCATGCATACTGTTTTCAATATTGTCCCAGGCTTGTGTCATAATGTGCTTGGCTGGATATGTCTCTGTTGTGAGAGAATGCAAACGTTTTTAAAAGGTGACCAGTCTTCCGCGTCCTCTGCCGTTTTTGAAATGTGGTAGATAACATCCTCCCTGTTCAAAACGAGAGACGTGGCCGAGCGGGGGTGCCAGTGCAGGCTGATTTCAAAGTTTTTTTGAGGAAACGGCATTTCATCCAACCGGTGGTCTTTCTGATGTCAGCCTTCAAACAGCTCATTTTTTTCCCATTTCATCTGTTCCTCTTTTTCCCTCTAAACACTCCTGAAAAAAAACTATTGTCATTGGAACCTAGATTCATTTTAGATTAACTTTCACATTGCATTCTTTCTTCCATTACCTTCAAAGGACCTCCATTATGTCGCCAGCGATAAGGGTGAGGTGGTGCTCGCCGATGTGTCCAGGAGAAAAGCTAATGAAATCGAGGCCCAGGTCGACGCAGGTACGAAAATCATGATTAACCACTAAAGAAAGTATCAGGATGTTCCCTCTTATATCTCAAATGTGTGCTGGACATGTGATAACCTTACTAAATCGGGTAGTGACACCGACTGGATATAACATTTGATGCTTAACTTTCAATATTTTTAATAATTGTGACCAAGAAGTGTTTACATAGGCCTAGTTTTTTTGTCATTACCAGGGGCTCTACCGCTGCCCTTTGACAAACACTCCTTAAAGTACATACCAAAGAGGATCAGGCCGAGTTCCTGATTACGCACACACACTCAATTCCTTACAAGCGCTGAGAGGACCCACACGGGAGCATTCGAATTTGCCAGTGAACTAGATGAACATGTCTTTGAGTCCTTCATTGGTGTTTAAAACTCACCGGCGGGCGATGTGCATGCGCCAGGGTTTGCAAATGAGGCAACAGAGAGGTATTTAACTCCACTGTATAAGGTCAAGCCCCTGAGCCAGCCCGCGTGCATGTTTGTGGCAGAATGTAAATAAGTGTGGTAGTAACGGTGAGGGCCCTCTATTCGCATGCAGGTGTTTTCAGGACTAATGGAACAGGCACGCTTCCTTCATAAGCCTCTTAATTATGTCCTTGATGATTTAGCTCCATCACCTGCAGCATGTCCTATCCTTGGACAGCAGCAGTGGAGCAGCAGTGCAGAAACCGGATGGAGGTTGGTGGATGGGACATGAGGAATGACAGACAGAACTGAGTGTTGAAAATAATAGTCGGTTAAGTAAAAGGCTGAACAAAAGAAAAGTACCTGAGGAAGTAAGAAGGGATTGGAAACTTGCCTGTGGGAGAGTGCTGACATATCTAACATGGCATTCAGTGTGTCCAAGATCTCCTTGTTTGGTCTTTTCCACCTCCATTGCCCTGAGGCACCAGAGATTTAAACAATTAACATTTACTTTTTTGGCAATTAAAAATGGTAATGAGACTTTGTTATTTTGTCGAAATAACAATGTTGAATAATGTTCAAATAATATCATCAAAAACTTGCTTTGAAGAACGTAATTTCATTTACAGAAATTGCAGAAACTAATAATTTGAGATTTGTTGTTGTTGATGATTTAAGAAGCTTTGAGATTTAAGAGGCAGAACAACTCTTTTAGTGTGAGGTCATAATGTTGCAGACCTGAGACAAAAGCTTTTAGACAGTAGGAGTCTGTTTTTGATGAGGAAATAAAGTTGTAACATGGTTAAAAGCTCAATTTTTTTTTGCATATCCCTTTATAATTATAATTTGAGGAATGAAGCTAATCAACTTGCCAATTGATTCAATGATCTTCTGTTTTGATTTGAGCAGACTGCAGAAGATTCAGTGTGGACACCGTGACGACATTATCTCTGTGAAAAAGTCAAGTCATGAATAATGAGTGGTTCCTGTCAGGCACTGGCCTCCAGTGAACAAGTGTCTCATTTTACTTATTAGACTGCCATTAGGGGATTGTTGGGAAGCAGGTAGCTTAAACAAAAACTTATGAAGGTACTGTATATCGAGGTCCTTAAACAAAAAAACCTCTGGAGATGAGTTTACATTGACACATTTTCTCACACCTCTCAGTTGTCTACGGTGTGTTTGGGTCTGTATCCGGCACCAGAATCAGCCAAAACGTACTCAAGTCATGAGTGAGCAAACAAAACCAAATAGACATAAAGTTCAAATGCAAATAGGACTCCACCTTCAGCGACATCCTGGTGTCTTCTCAGAGAAACAATGGAGCAACTTAAAGCCAGTGTCATGAGGCCAAGGAGGTGGAAAGCGCAAATATACTGTGACAAAAGCTCAGTTGTACCTGTGTAACGGCCTCAGGTGTGGAAAAACTGTCGCAATGAAGCATTTGTGTGCATCTAATAAAAAGCCCAAAGAATGTTTCCAAAATAATGTTTTTATGTGGCATAAAACTGCTGCTGTGACTACCACATGCCATTATCAACACTACCTTTATACAAATTTATTACTGGTGCAATTGAAATTGTTAATCACGGGGTACCTGATTTTCACATTCATGTATTTTCTTTTGTTTTTTCTTTACTTCTACTACTCTACTCTCTTTCTGTTGAGAAAAACATACATTTTATCTAGTCCAAGTAATTTCATGTATCTAAAGACGAATAGTCTCTATGTATGCACACTGTGGAGTTGTTTTTAGTAGGAGGAATACTACACTGCTACACACAAAACATTGTGGGTCCCATTGCTTTTACTGTAAACAGCATTAGCACAGTCAGAATCACAAGTTTATTCAGACTAGATTTGTTCAGCATCATGTCGACACGAGTTGGTCTGTAAATCAGATTGGACAGCAACACAGTATCTGCTCATATTCATGCGCTCGTATTGTAAAGCTTCACAAGGAGGGAACGCACAATGGAACACACATTTGAGCTTTGCAATGCTTCCTTTTATAACAGCTTCGGAAATCGCTTATAGCTGTCTGGCTGACAAGTGTGTTGATTCGGATAGATACGGTATTGTGCAAGACAGAGTAGCGAACAAGTGCGCGGGAAGGCCTCTCTATCTCCATCCTTTTGAGCAGCGCTTTCTGGCAAGAAGAGAAGCCAAGTTGGTTGCCGCTTCGTCTGTCTCCCCCTCACAAAGCCTGATGTGACTGCAGGGCCTTTCAGTTGGGCAAAGAGACAAGAGCTTTATCTTAAGATCCACTTCTCCACCTCCTCGCGCTCTCTCTTTTCTTGGTCCTTATGGAAAAAAGCCTGTTAGCTCCGGTGGGAGGGCGAAGAAAAGAAGCGTTTGTTTCTGTACCCTCCCCACCCTCGGTGATTCCACTCTCACCATCTCCAATCATGTTCGACTTCTGTCTCGCTATAAAAACTTTTAGAAACACCATTGTTAAGGCCTCAAAGAGCAAAGGAGATGCTTAAGCATCTATTCAGACTGTTGTTACTCTCAGATATGAAAGGTAGATGAAGAAAACAGTTCCAATAGACAGTGCTTTTATTTAATATTTATAGCAAATAGAAAGTGCCTGTTTATTTTGATTCAATTCATCAAATGATTGAATTTATTTAAAGCAAAAATACGTAATTTTCTGAAGGTCAGTCAACTGCATAATTCCGTGGATATATACATTTAAAACTATTGAGCATTCTCTGTTGAAATATATACTCTTAATCCCATTTTGTTGTGGATTACAGCCAAGGAAGCAACCAAAAAAAGTATATATTTTGGCTTAAATGTTATGTTCCTGAGCTTTTTATTGCAAAGTTTTTACTGAAGAAGAAAAATGCATTTCACAAATGGGATTATTCACTAAAAAAGTTAGGTACCGCAGCTTTATAGATTTTGTTTTTAAATTCTGTATGTTTTTATTCCACTGAAACAGTATATAAACAAATCCTTACTAAGCAGACTTACTAAGCATGTACAATTTATTCATACCCTGTGGGCAAACTTTGTTCTCTGCCTTTGACCCATCCTGGAAAGATGCTGAAGATCGGCTTGATTAGGACTACCAGTGCTGGAGGATTTCTTTTTAGAGGCAATGTAAAAAAGAAATGTAAGCAATTTTATTTGTGAATTACGGTAGCAAGAAAGGTAACTTAGTTCTCACCATAACAAGAAGATACATTTTAAAATGACATAAATAATCACAATGCATTATAAAGTTTGAGGAAATACAGGCCTCGTATAACATATTTATAGTAGGGGAAACTGTTATAATATGGTTTTAAACATATCTCCATCCATCCATTTTCTTCCCCTTGATCCATTTCTGGGTCGGGGGGGGGGGGCAGTCAGAGCTGCACCCAGTACACAGAGCACCAGCCCCTCACTGATCCTCCTGCAGGTGGTGAGTCCACAGGAGCTGAGATCTTTCATTGGGAGCTTCAGGCAAAGTGGGGTTAAGTGTCTTGCCCAAGGACACAACAACAACAGTCATCAGTGGGAGTCGTGAAGTAGGTCTTATGGTGGGCTTGAACCCACAACCTTCTGGCTCATAGGCCAATGCTCTACCAACAGAGCCACTGTTGCCCCTAGTTTTAAACATATCTAGTGTATCTATATGGAGTTCCTAAGTGAAACGATGTTAATGGAATCAAGATGATGATGTTGCCAAGAGCAATGCACAGACATGTCTATCATCTATTTCTGTGTTTGCTGACAGGCTTGACGAGTGGAGCTAATGGTGAGCCTGCTCCCAGCCTTGGGGCCAGAGCCAGTGCAACAGGACCCTGGCCGCCCTCCGCTCTCACAACACGGTGAGTGAGTGTGCTCATGGGCCAGCTCTTTCACCCACAGCTTCTAGAAGATGTATTGTGGATTCATAGATGTCGATTTTCTGTAGCTGCAATATGTCGGAGGAAAACACGCTGATTGTCGCGATCTTCTTGCTAACATATTGTCTAATGCCTATAGGCGTTTTCATACAGCAGCAGAGACGTGTCGACAGAGGACACCACTGGGAAAGGTTGGCGTGTTTGGACCCGTGATGGCTTTTTACCACGGGGAAGACAGGAACATGTCCAAATAAAAGGGTCAAAACAAACACCCGACATTCAAATTAAGTTTTCCAAACTCACAACGCACAGCACCCAGGACCCCAGGGAATTGCAGTATAACGGAAAGTACTACAGGAAATCTGAGGTTTTGCTCAATGCGAATGAACTTAATGATTTTATGCATGTTTGAAATGCACCAACTAACAAAAGAATTTAACCTTTTGTCAGTAACTCAGATGTAAATGAGTGTTTAAGAGTGTTTAAGTGTTTTGTACACTTTTACCAATCACCAGCCCACAGTCTGTCAATGATTATAGTATCGGCTTGGCTCGATCAAGATTATAAAAAAGTACCAGCCCTTCAGTACAGTATCTGATTGTCTCATATCCACATCAGGGTGGTCTCAAACTGAGTTATTGAGCCTGATAACAACTGTCCCGCTCTATAGTACTCTCCTCGCTCTGGAGTTTTGACATAACTCGCATGTTTCTGGGTGAATGTTCCATCACTGGGTCTACATGAATGACATGCTGAAACACTGTGACTAAAGACGCACTGAAAGCCACTCTCTCCTTTGTCTCGCACACACTAGAGAAATATAACCATCCATCCTATTGTATTGGGATGAGTGGGAGCAGCGGTGGAGGGGCTGGTCGCTGTCATAGCTTCACTAACATATTGCAGTATTTATATAGGATTTGTGTGTATTAGATAAAAACGCGCTCTTGTTCTTTTCATCCTCATAGGCTTTTCATGGCTGTTTGACTGTAACACTGATGACTCTCCCCTTCTTTCCACTCTGCGTTCCTCTAAGCCCCCTCCATCCATCCCAAATCCCTTCCTATCGGCCAATTTAAACGAGCCGGGCCCTGGGAGTGAGGAGACAGAGATGCTGCATCCTAAGCTCTTTTTTTTTAAACTGTAAAAAGGAATAAGAATGGTAGAGAAAAGAGTGGTAAAGAGGGTTAGGGCAATTTGGCAGCCTAACGCCCGGCGCGTTTCCCCAGGTCTTTCCCGGAACCAACATTGGCGAGATCCCCAAACAGTTTTACAGATAATGGCCACAGAAGGGGGAAAAGACAAAAGCCATTGCATTTTTATTGCACAATTTTGTCCCTTTTTCTGTTGAAATACGCTTTGTATCAGAGCCTCTTCATAATCTGGTCTCTGATGAAGTTTCATTGTTTGTCATGTGAAGCCAGTGACAGCTTAACTGAGATGGAGTAGGGAGGCATTATAGCGCGGGCGTTTTCCCGTTTGGCTCGGTGAGAAAAGAGCAGAGAAAACAGACGGAGGAGAGCACAATAGCAGTTTGGGGGCTCCTCGCCGCATTCCCACATTCACAAATCCAACTCCAGCGCAAGGAGCGAGAGACATGAAACTGGGCAGCATCCCAAAAAACTGTGATAGCTGCTGGTCCTTCTCCGTAGAACTGGCTATTTTCAGGTTTACTTTTTGAAGACCGTCACACAACATAGACAAGCGGATTATTACACTGGGTAACAAAATTGAGATTAGACGTTCTATGATGTTCAGTATCTTGTTTATCAAAAAACAAAAGCCTAAAATCTAGAAATGGCCTACTTTGCGTAACTCAAAAGTAAGAATTGGAACATGTTGGTTAAGCACGAGCGCTAACCTTTTGACTTTTCTCTTTTCCTTCTGAAGTGACCGAAAATTAAGTCAGAGAAGTCAAGTGTCTGAAGCCCTGCGTGTGACGGTGAGCGCCGATGCCTTCAGGACTCGCAGACACTACGGTATGTCACCTGTCTGTGGGAAAGCAGTTCACTAAGCTGACCTATGGCCCACAAACTCATCTACACTTTTAGATAGCGTTTTGTAATATGCTACAGACATTTACCTGAGCACCCACCTCCATTTTGTGGTAAAAAGCTGTTGCTTCCTCTGCGCTATTGGAGATTTTAAGACTTATTTCCTTATTTTGCTAAAGATTGAAATGTTATACTTTTTATGCTAGAGTTAGGGATTTTATTTTATTTTATTTTAGTATAGAGTATTATTCATTTATCTTGTGCTTTTTGCTCCTCATTCCTGTTCTGTAACTTGCGATGCAACACTGAAAGCTCCCCACTGTGGGATGAATAAAGGATCTCTTAATCTCAATACTAAACTTTACATTTAGCAAATAACAAAACATGGCATACTTCGGCCTTTCTTCTTCATAAATATAAATATTTTATCCTGGCATTTGACATAAACCATGTGAAAAGAACTCTCTGAGGCAAAGAAGATGTTATCTGAACACTTAAACTGTATATTTCTGTAAAGTTTTAGAATGTCTGGCCTTTAGTCTCTTTGCTGTTGAACTGAAGGTGTATGTTTTCCGTTTGTGGTGAACAATGTCAGACTGGTCCAACTGGTCGGTTCAGGGTGAACTGTTGCCCCTCTTTATGCTCCGTTGTAACATGGAAAATCTCGGATGGGACAAAGTTATCATGTAAGCAGAAAGTTACAGAGCGGCTGAGGCTGTTTTGCACTGACCCTTGTGCGCGGGACAAGACCCATATATACTGTAGTTGAATTATCTGGAAGCGGCCAGTATTTGATTCTGCAGGAAAGTCATAGATGAAACAAGTCTTAAATGACACTTTCTTATGAGTGAGTGATTATTGTGGTCTAAACTGTACAAACGTAAATCAGTACATACAAGGATGAACATTAATAACATACTATTATGAGGGTGTGCTAACTGTAGGGCTGTTGTTCTTATCAGCAGCAGACACCAGTAGATTTCTGGATCTAAGCCCTGCTCTGATTCTCATATGACATTGTGTGTCCCTTTGCACATTTAGCCTGAGTGCTTTTGCTGCATGACTCACTGGTCATTTAGGTAGACCACTTTAGGAAAACATCGCTCCCATCCCTGCCATTCCTTCTGTGCCCTCCATTTTAATCTTTTTTTTTTTTTCAGGTTGATTAGCAATGGTCTTTTCACTGTCATTTCATAATCCGGACTGTAGGCTATTGTAGGTAATTTGCATCCGCATTTTAAAGTGTAAAAGCCACGGCCGGGTTTTAATGTCAATCATAAACTTATTAACGCACAGCTCAGAGCCACAGATGTAGATGAGTGACAGTGATTATATGTGAGGAGCAGTTTGTTTGTGCCCCATCACACTAAAAACTTTACCTTGTGCATTTTGTTGGTGATCCACAGGTCTTTCAGAAGCTGACAAAGCCACTGCAATTGTAAGTTTATAAAATCCTGAACATTGTACTTTCAAACAGAATATGGTATGTGCTGTGATGTTTGGTGTGCGATTCTGATTGGTGTACTCGATATAATACAGCTGTGATAATTAGTCGTAACTCATAGTTTTTTCAATAATCTCTTTCAGTAATCGACTTATTGTTAGCTGCTCTATTACAATCTCTAACACAAGTGCTGCGAGATGTGATTTTTGAGCAGTGATTGTGAAAAAATAAAACAATAAATGCATAAAAATACCAATGTAATAAAAACATGTATTCGTCAGGAACAAATTGTGTATAAAAGTGTCCTTTTTATGCCTCCAATTGAGATCCAAATCACATATCCACGAGCTGAGCTGCTAATCAATTAATCAAATGAATAATTTGCTTCTTTAATCTATAATCAAAATAATCATTGAACCATACAATACATAAGTGACCAGTTCATCTAATCACACGATCCTGAATACACATAGCATTAAAATGTTCTTTATTCATGAAAGAAATAAGCTGAGATCACAATACTAGTTATATGCAATGTTGCTATTTTCTCAATTATGTATTTCCTCTTAACAGTTATGCATCAGGCTTTTCTAAATGACTGTGCGAGTAAATATCATTCCATTGAAAGTATGTTTTTTTTGTCTTTAGGAAGAAGATGAAGACCCTGGGACCCTTCAAGTAGTGCATTTAGGAATGGTTTGACAACGCACGATCATAGTTAGGTACTTTTACTGATGTATTCTTGTTGCATTCAGAAGTCATGTTGTTGGAGAGGTATGTAAAATATTGTAATGAATACTTTGGATTGGCAAAAGTATTTCATTTATGGTAATACTTTTACTACTCCAATCAGACAATAATATGGCACAGGTCTGAAGGTGTAAAATCGGGTCCAACTTAATGTAAACATTACCACCGGGGTTTTGCATTTATAAAACATGACAGACTCTGTTTAAGCCTTACCATTAATAATAAGGCAAAATAAAAGCTCCTATTATACTTCCATCAGCTGTGATATTCAATACATTTCCTCTCTGTGTGCCTCACTGATGTGTGTGTGGAGGCCAAGATTACGGGCCACAGTTTTATTCATGAACAGGAGCCAACCCGCGACTTTAAAGCATCGCGCCGAGCCCCTTTCCTGAACAGCAGCCATGGCCGTGTCAGAGCTGTCGACGCGCCGCGCTCAGCCACTAATCTGACAGCGCCGCGCGAGCCCTAATCCCCACTGTATCGTAATCTATTTACTTTGCATTCTAAGAGGATTTCCACCAAAAAATATACAAGAAGCGATGTTGGGAATGGACAGAAGATCAGCCAGGATGCTTTGCTCGCTTCCCTTTTTGTTTGTTAGCTTTAAAAAAAATCATTGTATGTTTTTTGGGGAGTCAATTCACGGCGAGAGGGATGGGTGAAAGGAATTACATTTGTGACTGATACTAATACTTCTCTTATGTAAACATCAAAATGCTGTGTTTCTTTTGGGATGATACAGTCACACTACAGAAGCGGCTGGCGATAAGTGGCATCTGTCGCTGCCTTTAGTGCATCTCTTGACACGTTCATAATTTACAGAACCAGGCGGCATTATCTTGCGATTGTTTGACTTGACAGCTTGAATAAAAGCTGCAAAATTGCTTAACATCCAAGCACCAGTCCCCCCATGCACACAGTGGCCTACACGCAGACGCGCCTTTTGACGCACAAACAGTGAAATCTCTTCTGTCATAACACTATAAACAAAGTAGACGACCGAATGCTCTGCTCAGTTACCCTTAGAGCAATTATGTCAGCTTTGTGAATCAAATGTAGTTATGCCTCATTTAAAATGTAGCCAGCAGCTCATTGCAAAAACACTGCCTTTCTCTCAAATCTTGGGTCTGTTGAGATGACTTGCAAAGATAGGCTTATTAGTGGTATTAACATAGTGTGTGGAGCTGAACGGCCTTGTTAACATTTGGAAATGAATCAAGCCTTCAGCATTTGAATTTATCAAGGTCCATTGTATTTCCTTCACCTCAAAGTGTTTTTTACCCGGACCTTATCACAGCTAATGATGCCACTGATTGCACTGAAATGCTCCCCTCAGGCTCTCAGGTTTGTTTTACGCACAAAAAAACATAATAGGCAAATATCCCAACATGCCTTGAGGCAACAGGAGGAGTACAAATTAACTACAGATGATAAATTGAATTAAACCATTCTGAGTTCATAAATCTATTGGTCAGACTGATTAAGAACACAAGATAGTATAGTGTTGGATAGGAATGGCTCTCATTTGCTTAAGATTTCTGTTTTATAAAAATTCATTTTCTGACACAACCTTGTTCATTTCTTTTGACCACCACTTCAAATTCATCTATTTTCTTTATCCTGCGCCACTCATTTCTTTTCCAGAGCTTCTTGCGGCCCCTTTTTAAAGGTGAAAGGTTGCGAGTCAGTTGTAGACCATAGTGCAACGCCATGCATTTAAGAACTTTGCCATTGTTTTCATCAGTCATTGCACCTGGATTAGTGCGAGGAGAGAAATTGACCACTTGCAAATAATGAGTCTCCAAAATAAACAAGGAAAGAGTGAGAGGTGATGCCTGAAGGCCAGTGAGTTCTGTGCTAAGCTTCCCAGGACTGGAGCAGAGCAGGCGTGTTGTGACTTGGGACATACTACATCCTTTCCACATGAGATAATATCGGCTCTTTTTAAAGACTTCTCTTACCATTGCTTTTGTCCTTCCATTGAATTCACAGCAATGGTCGACTCAGATCTATGAAACTGCAATACATGTTAGTTTGAAATCATAAACTGTCTGACTTTTTCAATCAAATAATATACATTTTAAATAATATGTTAGAAATTATGATATTATTGTTATTTTTTTCCTGCTTTTGGTCAGAACTTGTTAAAATAAATGTTTGTGCCTGTCCCAAGCATCAACTTTTATCTTTGTTTTGACCCTCATTCTTATTCCTTATCCAGTTGTTCATCTGCTTTTATAAGCACAGGGCTGTCTGTGTCCTGTCTGATCTCTTTCAGTGCTTGCTTTTTCAGAGTCTTTTGGAGTGGTCTGTCCGCTGTACTGCCACTTGGACTGCTCATTGGTGGTTTAAATGAGCAAATGACATTTTCTGTGGAAATTATGGTGAAATTATGAATTTGGAATGTTGCTCTCTGTGGAATAGACTTGAAATGGAACTGACGAAGCAGAGTAACCAGAGACGCAGACTACTCCCATGGCGTGTACAGTTGACCCTGTACTCACCCAAGGAACAGTCCTACTATATCACCTCTCACTACGAAAACACCAGGCCCAGGTCTGGCCACAATCAACAGCCAATGAGCGAAACGACACTCACGTGAGTGTTCAGCCTGCATGGTATCAGATCTGTGGCCTTCTCAAACTACAGCTGAGGCCTCCTCTGCTGTCTGCTTTATCTGCGTCTGGCTCCTTCCACAGATACACATCAAACTGTTGATGCAAAAATGTCTGCAGTTCCGGTTCATCTCCTGAACAAGTGTGAGCAAAATGTCAAAAGCTTCCATTCGCCCTCTGGAGCAAACCAGGGGTCAGAGGTTGGCAAGCAACGTGCAGAAATCAATTCCCTCCTGAGAACTGAAGTCCCTATGAGCTCTGAGACCGTATCCTCACTGTATTAAGAACTGAGGTTTCTAACCAAAGAAGCGTATTCTCTAATAATTACTCTAGTAATTACTGATCAGAATGAACATGAAGTAATCAATGTTGAAAGATCTCATGTCGTCACTATGTCTCAGACAACCGACTTTAGAATCCATGATACAGAGATGTATTGTTCTCTCATTATTGTATCAAGCTTAGCACTGTTTGTGCTAAGATATTATTTCCAGGTATTAAAACAATAGTAACTTTGAAGAAGTAATGCATAGAAAGATAAAACAGTATACTCTGATCATTGTAGATAAGTTAATGCTATATTGTGGGAAATGAATATAATATAAAAATATAACCAACACATGTTCAGAGATCCTAATTCATAATGGTAATGTTGTTTCCTAATGCAATGATCTCCCCCTTTTATGATTCCATTCAATAGAAAGTTAAAATCACACTCTGACCGATCCAGATCAATCTAATCTACGAGATTGTGGCAATATACGCAAAGGAGCAGAAAGTAGAAGAGCTGTGGGGCTTTGCGGAGGGACACACATTTGTACCTTTTTCATTTAGACATCCAAAATGGAGGAAAAACATTGTTTAATGTATTTTAAACAAAAGCTAATTATTTGGGGCTTTCAACTTATTTAAGCAGTTCAGCTCTACACTGAAGGACTTCGTGCGCGCATTGCATTCGGCTACAATATTGATATTGACATGAAAACCAAGAATAATGGTTTCTAAATACCGTATTGACGTGAATAAAGATACAACATCATTCTTTACGTTGTGCGTGTTTTTGTGGGTGAGAAAGTGGTGTTTTGTGCCGTTGTGTGTGCCCCGCGGCCTCCTGCACAGGCCCGTGTGTGCACTGCGTCTCTGCGGCTTGTGGAGGCGCAGCTGTCCCGCAGACCTGTGGATCACTGCTTCAACAATCCCACTTTATCTCAGACAAATGTTTGTTCGATGCAAATCCGACAAATCCGCCGCTGTTCGGAAACACTCGCCTCGCTGTTTGCGCGTCTTGGCGCAAATATGTTTAATGTCCTCTTTGGCAGATGTTGATTCAGCTGCGAGGCTCATTTCCATAAAGAGAGCGCGTGTGGGCCGTCAGAACCCGCGCACTACAATATATCGATCACCTGATCGTTGGCCACACAGGAGGGATTATCGATGCTTTCAAGTTGGGGTTCGGGGACCGCAGAGCTCCCATGGGCCCACTGGGACAAACACTCTCTAATGTCATTATACACACTTTTTCACGTGTGTTCATCAAACCAGTACTGGCCTGTTGCAGTCAGGCGCAGACTGACGCTCGGACTCTGGCCTTCACGGGACGTGCCCACGGCGTCACTTGAGCCGTACATGGCACCGCCTCGGTCATTAGCATCAGGGCGCTGTCATTATCGCCCATTACAGGTCTGCATTCATTTACAGACATCAAATGTCTCCCAGCTCCTTCTTCGGGATTTTTTCTAACCATTGCTTTAAAAGACATGGTCTGCCCTGAGCGAGAGAAGATGTAGCGTTTCAATTTGACAGAGACATAGGATTAAACCAGCTGCGCTCTAAAATGGAAATGCGGGGCCTACACGCGTTCACGCCTTGTATTAATTATAGACTCATTTGCATTTACCCTCTTATACGAGGTTTAATTAAAAAAGAAGCAAAATAAACAAGCTTTAAACACCAGTGTGACTCGTTCAAATGAGAAAACAACCTCATGAATATCAAACCTTATGTGCCTGAACAAGGCTGATGGGTATTGGTGCAAAACAAAAATAGAACGTGGTTGATAATTGGGACTTAACAGATCTTTATTGGATGAACATGTATGTAAAAGTTGTCTTATTAATGTTACATTCAACATCTCACTGCCATTTCGGGACGAGAAATCCATTTCCCCTCAAATATACTTTGACTTTATAAAGCCAAGTGCTGTGTTCAAAACATGTCAGATGGCCAGAGGGGAGGCCTACGGAAATTATCTGGCCGAAAACTTTCTATCGAAAAAGATGAATCCCAAACCGAACATAGAATGAATTGATTTCAGTATTTCAGACAATTCAATTTGTTAATAAAACAGTATTGATATAAATGCCAGACTTGATGACCAATTTGCTCTCTTTGGAATAGTCAGACAGATTTACATACAATGTTTTTTTGTAACTTTTTTCCTCCCAAAGTGGTCTAAGCAATTTCAAATTGGAAACACCCACTAAGCATGGTCATTGTAACTGACCCAAATACATATTTACATATTTCAGCTGCATGAAGTAGCTGACTAAACCTCTGTCATTCTAAAATAACAAATTTGAGAAATAAAAACTATACAGGTTTGTAAGGGGAGGTAAAGAGTGTCTGTTGGTGCAGCAGAGGAGTATTCCACCTTTCCCCTGTCCCAGGAGAGTTTGGTCTGGACTAAAGTTTGGTTTGTCAGGTTCTTCCTGAATGTGCCACTCCAACATTTCAGATTTAAGCGACTTCATCGTAACAGAGCAAGTAAAATCAAAAGTCTGAGGAGCACAACTGCAGAACATGGTGCAGGGCTCTTTGTCTTTAAAAACATGTCCGAATGCTTAAGGGAAGAGTTCGACAGTGAGAAAAAGCCCATCATAAGACTTGGAACCTCCAGGAGGCTTGGTCCTTGTAGTCCAAGCAGTCTGTGGCATTAAAGTTGAGTTTCCACGAGGAGGCTGCGCTCTGCTCTTTGTAATCCAGGCAGTCAGAAGAGTTGAAGGCCAGCCCCGAGCCTCCATAGGCCTGGTGGTGGTGGTGGTGGTGCCCTGAGGACTGGCTGATGTGGTGATGGGGGTGTCCCGACATGGAGGAGGCCGTCATGGGGCTGAGCTGGTGTGGGTGGTGGTGTGAGTGCATGGGGGCCAGGTAGGAGCTGCAGTCCACACTGCTGAAGTAGGAGCTGGAGGGGGGGTAGCCCTGGCCGTAGCCCGCCGTCTGGTTGTAGGACATGGGGTATGAGGTGGCTGCGGTGGCAGAGCCCGACATGGAGCGCTGCATACAGGAGGCGTTAGAGGGCGGTCCGGGCTCAGGCAGGGGGGCCACAGCCGGGGCAGGGGCGTTTCCTGGAGAGATGGCGGGGCTCCAGATGGAGGACACAGTGCTGATGGAAGTGGAGGTGCTCAGGGCCGGACCACTGTGGTTTGTGGAGGACGAGGAGGAGGAGCCCGCGCTGGACACGGCAGGAGGAGTGAACTGACCGCTGCTCTCTGAACCCGTGCTCTCTCGGGCAGGGGACGACTTCTTCTTTGGAGGCCTGGCTTTGGTGCTACTGCCGCTCTGCTGCTGCTGCCGACATTTGGCCCTCCTGTTTTTGAACCACACCTGCAAACACACCACTGTTATAACCACTGCAGCTCGGACAGGGCCGGGCACTACTTTATGGAGCAAAATTGAGGGTTATTAACTATCAAGGTTCATTTCCACCTTGGTCCCTTGGCTTGGACTATCCAGGGGTCTAATTTCATACCAGGACGACAGTAAGATAACAGGCTATTGGGTTGCACCACACAGTAGGGAAACTCTAGAGCATAGAGAGGGTAGGATCATTGGCATTTAGTTTCACACACTTTCTGAAAAATCCAATGTGTGAGACCTCCTTTCTTGAATTTAAACGCTTTAAACAACACCATTTGTCCAACGAGTGTTAGAACAACACAAGGCCCATGTTTACATGTTCCTTTTACACTCATCTTAAACATTCAATGATCAGGCCACATATTGGAAAAGACTTCCAAGAAAGGTTCCAAGAAAGAATATTCTATTGAACAAAAACACATGTAGTGTGTGATGACTACAGGTGGAAATTAGCATCTTTGCTATAACCTGGTATGCATCTCTCCTTTGTGTTAATGTTTAATTGTACACTGTCCCTGTTCAAATAAAGTACATTCTATACCATACCAATGCAGCCTCCAACTGTAAAATTAGTCCCAAAATCTATTGCTACATCAGAGGAGTAACAGATTTCTTTAGGGTTCTTCTCTTTTTTCTCAAATTAAAAAGGTTGGGCTACTCTTTATGATAGATTACATTTTTAAAAATGGGGACTGTTTTAAGTTATACATTTTTGGCAGTTTAAAAACCCAGAATATTTCCTATGTATATTTTCTATTCATCTGTCAATAAATAGTTGACAAAAGAGTCTTACCTGCACTCTTGACTCGGGCAGGTTGATCTTGAGCGCCACCTCCTCACGCATGAAGATGTCCGGATACCGGGTCTTTGCGAACAGGGACTCCAGGACGTCGAGCTGGGAGCGGGTGAACGTGGTGCGCTCCCGCCGCTGCTTCCTCGGGTTCGCTGCGAGATAATGGACTGGTCAATATGAAATAGTATAATCAAAAGTCACATTTAGTTAGCAGCAAAACCAAATATCTATCACCCGATTATTCTCTTCACTAAACAAATAAATCCACAAACTACACTTCATGAAATATTTAAGGGATACATACAATACAACAGTTTTACGTTTGATTCAAAAAATGCGTCTGTGTGTGGGTCAAGGATGAAGTGTGTGCGTGTTCACGCAGAAGTGGGCTTTTAGACTAAATGCTACAAACGTGAAAGTTGATTTACGGCCCTTTTCATATTTTATAGCCTGCATTTATGCATATTTATTCACGTTATTGTCATGGAAAAGCCACAGAAGATCCAATGCAATTGCCCCTCTCCCTTCTCTACATTTACTCAGGCTGTGGAGCAGGACCAGTGCAGGTTAAATATTGAAATAAGTCGCTTTCAGTTTCTGGAGGTTCTTTTCTAACATTTTCAGTGTAATCATGAGTTATTACGCGCGCACGTGTTCGCAAAGCCCCTCGCTCACCCGGATAGCCCACGGACGGGTGCAGCAGGTCCATGGCGGCCCCGCTCAGCCCCAGGCCGTTGACGCCGTAGGGAGGCTGTTTGAGGTAGGACATCATGCTACAGGCGGTCACTGCTCCACCCAGCTCCAGCTCAGGCCAGTGGTGCGCTTTCCCACGATGCTGCAGCTTGACGGGACAAGAGACTAATCCAGAGACTGCAAAACAAAAACAACAACACACAGTTAAAATCAGCCATTAAAAATGCAGACACACAATTGATATACCCGCGGAAAAATATAGGATAAATACGCATACATGCAATTATATCATTACGTTATATTGCGAGCGAAACAAGTTTATTACAAAGTTTAACTACATTATTTACTTATACTTGAAATTCGATTTTTACGCACGAAAGCACTGAAATAACGTCCATTAATAGTTGCACGACACATCTCTAAATTAACAGCAGGGACGCACATAATTCCCCCGAAGGAATATTGGATTTTTGGGAGAGGGATAACTGGGGTCAAACGGCCCCATTATAGACATCTCATCCCGAACACGCGCGTGCATGGCTGGATACATTTGTGAAAAAAATAAAAACTTTGGGAAAAGTTATAACTAAACAAACTGGAGCCGGCCATTGCTATCTCTCATATTTCGTTCATATTTTAGTAAAGCGTAATACGCAGAGCACATTAATCTCTAAAAACAGGCAGAAGAAATGCCAACTGAGAGAAAACGAAATTAAGTTTATCTGCAATATCTTCATGTCTGAGTGTGTGGCCTCCTGCGCGCAAAATCCCAACCCAAACTACCCCATTAATATAGATTAAATTATTTTGCACTGCATCGTTTAAATTAGAGGTAATGCAATTAGGAAAACTATCTCACAGAAATCAGAAAGGTTTAAATTAAGTTTGGAAACTATTAAATTTACGCGCAGACAAATCCTTGTCCCAGTCCTTTACAGAATCTGTCTTGTTTTAATTTAATTAACTGCGTGCATTTCAAATGTAGACAGAAGCTTTGTCCACCATTATATTGTTGGTTATATAGGAGTAAAGGCCTATATAATAATAGTACATTTCCAAATCACTCTTGCACAAATCCTATGGCAACACACTGACCCAAAACAATGGCACGGACGAGGAGACGAGAAGTTTCAAGAGTTGTAAATGTGACTAAATGTTAAGTCAAACCTACGGGCGCTGTTTAAATATTATGAATGACATTAGGGCCCATGATGGGACTGATTGTTTTTCAAATGAGCCGCTGATGGAGCCGAGTGTGTGTATTGCAGCGGCCCGAGTGAAAAAGGCCAGATCCCGGTGCAAATGAACTCAATTAGAATTTAGATTAGACCTCCGGGGAGCCAGCGCTTCACAAGGACTCTTATCAGTGAAAGAAATTAACAAAAACAAAACACGCCTCTTCAATTATCTCCCGAGTGCTGGCGATGCTTTAATGGCCCAATCGCTGCGAAAACAAGTGGAATAGAAATATGAAATTATCTACTCTGCGAGAGGCGACGTTGTTTAACCCGAGTGCGTAACAATTGATATGTTCATTCAATATCACGCAGCGCTCTCAAATCAAAGTCCGTGCAGATGTATTATTATTATTATTATTTAGATTTTGAGATCCTCGCATACATGTAGTTATACAGTAATAACAGCGAAGTTTACCTGCAGTTTCTGTCCTCTCCTGAACTCCCGAGGCAGCTGACAAATTATCCAGCAGCAGCAGCAGCAGCAGCAGCAGCAGGAGGAGGAAGTGCAGGTCGAGGTGTGCAGCGCAGTGTCGCGAATCACAAACTGCGCAAAGCGAACGGCATCACGGATAAAAACACAGACTGGAAAAACACGGTGTCTTTAACCCGGGCGTCCGCACGGCAGTTCCACGCCTTTTCACAGCCAAATAAATGAAGTTTGAAGGCGCATGTCGCGGTCTGTCAGAGGGTTTGGGGAAGGCAGATTGATCAGAGTCTCTCCGCCCTGAGCCTCTATGAGTGAAGGACATCTGGAGAACTGCTCCGTCTGGGCCAATCAACGCGCGCGGCTTTGGTGAAGGACAGCGCGAGTGGCCAATCACGCGCCAGAGCGGCTGCCATGCGCCCGACCCCCTTCTTCACGCACGCGACCCCCGCCTCCACGCGCGCGCTCTGTGGTTTTAAAAAGATAAATGTTTTTACTGAGGCCAAACAGAGGACACAAATGGGAGAAACCACATTGGAAATATATAGGATTTTTTTTATTTTATTTTTCGTTGTTTTAGTCTTCTATAAGCCATAACTCACATTCACTTTTTTTTAATGTAATGTTTTATCATCATAGAGGCCCAGTTGTTTCAGGAAATCTTCAACCGAAATGCGGGTCAATTTACAGCCAAAAAAAATCTAAAAAAACTTTTTATTATAATTTGACTGCAGTGTTTTCTATGTTGTTTGGGGGCAGAACCTGCATCATGGAACAGAGAAGCAAATACGCAATCTCTGTGGGAATTTATTTTATGGAACACACGTCCTTAAATGACTTTTTTCCTCCATGGTTTATACGTAAAATAGGAAGATGCAATTTTAGCCTATGCGTTTGGATTTTTTTTTCCCTTCCCTGGTCACACAGCCTCTTTCTCTCCACACGCAAACACGCAGCAGCCTCATGAATATTAATAAGATCCAGGCCTAATCCCCATTTAGATTTACATTTGTGGATGGTTGACGTAAAGTTTAATAAGAAGAGGCCTCTGAGACGAAGAAAGAGAGAAGAGAGAAAATAATGCAGCAGACTTTGTTCCAATGTTTTAGCAGCTTTAGGAGACGGTGCCTTAAATAAACAGGTTCCCCGCTCTCTTCACAAAAGTAGGCTAAACTGCGAGGCTTTCTTTAGTTTTGAAGGCAATTTTAAATCTGGAAGTAGAGCCAATGCACAGAAAGATGCCAGAGATCAGAGACATAAACAGTTGCAATATAATCTACACTTTATGGAGTGGTTTGGAAAATAGAAAAAAAAACTTATTTGGAAAGATATACAGCCGTGTAAATCCAGGCGTCTTTAATCCCCACATAAAGGTCCGAGCAGAGAGGGCCCTGGCTGAAATAGCAGCACCTCCTCTGAGTTAAATTATGCAAAAAGGCCATTCAGCAAATATGGTCGTGCCAACACAAAAGAGCGGCGTTTATTGTGACATTTCCACTGCATTTGTTGTTTTATTCCATCCTTTCCCTCGATGCGCGATAAACCCTCAAACAAGTATCAAGTTATCACCAACCTTTTGTAATAAGAGTATTTTGTCTAATCCCAAATTGCAGCTGAGTTTTCTTAATGCTGAGCTGGTAAAGCCTGGGATTAGGCGGCGAGGAGAGCAGAGGAGAGGAGGGGGAAAGTTTGGTCCCTTCAGCCGGCGGGATTGGAAGTGGGGATGTAGTCGGTGCTTATTAAAGGCGCGGTGCATAAAACACAGAGTTGGAGCCAAAGCACTGGACGCACACAGCGGCCTCAGGTGGAGCAGAGGCCGGGGAGGCACCTGAGACTGAGGCCAGAAACATCACAGCTCTTAATCCATTCTGCTGGAGCCCTGCGCGCGTACAGCCGCCTTTACGCAGCCACAAACGCATCCAATAATGCGCATTTGTCCTCAGATCATGGATCAGCTGAGGTAAGACTTAACTCAACTTATTATTTTGTTTAGTTCATCTCCTATTTAATTTAGAGTAAATTATAATATAACATTTAGACTAAACTTTATACTCTCAGATAAATCTGTACGCCTCTGGTCAGATGAGCTGCTCCTAATTTCAATAAGATTATTAAAACTCCTAAATAACTTTTACGCACGGACATTTACCGTTTCCAAACAGCTTCTCCACGGATGATAGCGGACACAATGGTAATGTTCATGCTGTATTCCATGGGCAAGTGACAGGTGGTCATTTGTGGCGGCTCCGCGCGTCTGGGACTTTACTGCAGATTACAGCGGCCCTGATGCACCGTGGCACCGCGCACTAAAACTAACGCCTCAGGGGAACAGCCAACTATTAAAGTCAACGACAAACGCACGAGGTCACATCACAGAAGAAACGAATTGGCAAATTAATTTGAAAGTGTTAGAAAGGCCGGGAGGACGTCTGCTGTCAGAAGCCATTTTGCCGCTCTAATCAGGGATGGGAGCCGCCTGCAGGGATCAAGTGCAGGGTTCAGACCAAACACTTCTCATTTCTGTTGGAGGTAAACACCGCGCTCATTACACCGCGCGACAAATATTCCGTTCAAATCAACACCACTGTTTTTCCTAATCTAATTTCACAATTTGTGCGCATCTGTGTCCAGCGCCACATCTGCTGTGATCCTCTCTCACCTCACACAGCAGCATGAGCGACACTTTTCATCTCCAAACGCACGACTCTCAGTCACAGGGGAACGGAACAGAGCGGGATAAAGCGCGTCGCTAAACGACGGCTCCAGTGAAGCCGCGGCTTTTTCTTACAAGTTTTATTATGGAGCGAGAGAGGGGCACGTAAACACATTGGAAGACCAACAATCGGCCTGCTATACATTATTATAGGATTTATTTATCCACACGTAAACGTAAAAGCCACCATCCTTGATTATATTTTAATTACAACTTAATTCATTTTCAGAAAAAGAACAATTTAGCAGTAAAAAACCCACAATAAAACAGGAAGCTAGTGTGCGTATATGAAATCACAGAACTTTATTGAAGTTGGGTTATGATACTGGAATAAATAAACAGCTGTTCACACTTACACGTCTGAAAAGTGAAGCTATGAAACTTGTGGAAGCTGCTTCTGCAGACAATAAATACAAACCAAGTTGTGTGTTGAGCAAAATGCATGAAATGCAATAGTAGAATACTTACAAGCAGCTTAAAGGAAACAAGCAACAATAAATAATATATTTGTTTTGCAAGAATCCAACAAGGAATCTTATGCTATTGGTCAGAGCAGGGATGAAATATACAACAAGACATGGTTCAAACGAAGCTGAACCAGCTCAAATGTTTGGTAAACTGCTTTCAATAACAATACAAAAGGATTAAGAAGGTGAAATCGACATATTCATGTAAATGTTCCCCTTTAAGATATGTTACAAGAGTGAAAAAAATAAAAAATTACATAGTCAAGTCATGTAATTTTAAAAGTATGCGTTTTTTATCCATTAAAAGTCTTCTTGAAAGTCTGGCTGCTCCAAAAGTCCGTTGTGCTGTACCTCGAGCTTGTGCTCATTACACTTTACAGTCCACAGGACTTGCACTTTTTTCTCATGCAGGTTTTTCTTAAGTACCTTTCCAAAGTGCAAACTGTAAATAACAAAGTTTAAAATATGGAATTGAAATGTTGGAAAAGGCATCGCTGGCTCAAATACTCCACAGAGCCTCAGAGAATTAGGAAACTATAGAATAATGAATCAGTTTGTACAACAGTGGATCACTGCAGGACACACTTCTCCTCTTTCTTGGACATCTTCCCTTTGTTCTGCTCCAGCGTCCGCTCCAGGTGCTCATCCTCCTCCTCTGCCCTGCGGGGACAGGTCACATGGTCAGAAGGTCATGATGGACAGTACACATTGCTATGACAACAGTCTGCAGATGGCACAATGCCAGGCTGCAGCCCTGACCCGCCTGCCCCCTCTCAGCCAATCAGAGCTCACACCTGCACTAAGTCCCGCCCACACAGGTGCAGCGCTGACTTGAGACGTGTGTGAAAAGATGCTTCTATGTTCAACGGCTGGATTTAGACTTTAGCAAAACATATTTCCCATTGATCTTTGAAGGATGAAATGTGACTTTAAAGTAACTTACTCTTTCTCTTGTGCGTCCAGATCCCTGACCAGTGCGTCACGTTTGTTCACCAGAATCACCAGTTCATCCAGAAGAAGCTGTTCTCGCCTCTTCTGGGCCTCCGTCTTCTGCCAATCTGCAACAACAAAGAGAGGACTGAGATCTGAGCCTCAGAACTGAGACCTGGACATGGGACCTGAGACCCGAGAACTGAGACCTCCAGAAACATTCAGTGCAGCTACTCTGACCTGAACTCTGATTCAGGCTCATATCACAGACCCACGGAGTAACGGGCGAAGACATGATTCTCTTTGTGCACAGGCATCAGCAGGGACTAAACAAACAATTTAGGCCTCAAGCCTTTTACTTATAAAAAGTGAACGTGTCAAACTTTGATTTTATATTTACGTGTGAGTGTGTGTGTATGTAATGTAAAAGTCTACTGTATCTGTTCACATTTTCAAGTCAATTTAATGAAATTCAAAAAGTAAATTATTCCAATTAAAAATAATAATTCCAATTATTGTTTAAAATGTGAGAATAAATAAATAAATAGGTCCCAAAAATAAACAGGTGTGCCTCAGTCTGAGGTCTTTGGGTCCGTTCAGGAAGGGGCCCCACAGGATCCAGGTGGGACCCTGATCCAAATCCCCTCTGCTGCTCCCAGAGGAGGGCTGCTCCCCCCGGGGCTCACATATCCGCCTGCACCCTTAGGAGCCCAAACTCCCTCCTAATAAAAACACTTGGTTAAGATAATAGATTCATTATCATATCAGCGCCACTGCTTTAGTTTGATGGCACATTTACTGCAGGTGCTGAAGTGGGCCTTTGGAAAATGAAATAAGCTCTTCTTCAGTCCAATAGTGAGAGTCAGACGAGGAGTGTGTCCCGCTGGGTTCAGTCTGTTTGTCCTGAAAGGTCTGCTCAGACCGCTCCGGACACTTTGAAGTCGGCCGCGGAGCGAAATGAACACAGTCCCAATATTTGACGCGCTCCAACATTCTTCCGTTCCCCTTTCTGCTCTGAGAAGCAAACACAACTGTCTTTGTAGTGTGCAAATATTTTACAATCTGTCTAAATATGCCTGAAGAGTGTTTGAAGTGACAGGGGAGATGTTTTACACCGTTTAGAAACAGATGACTCATCTTTTGGATGACTAAGTAATATGATATTTGCCATAACCACTGCGCTCTCACAGACCTGCCCCAACAGGACCAGCCCACATGGCAGACGGACCAAAAAAATCACTTAAGTAAAAACTCCACTCCCCACCTTTCTGGAACACTCCAGCCAAAAAGCCAAAGTCCTGGTGGACCCCGGGGGGCAGTGAGGGGGGTTATGGCGCTAAGCCGCAGCTGTCAATCACAGAGTCAGAGTCCCGCCCCCCTCATTAAGAAGGTAAACAATAAAGAGACCCGATGAGAGACGTGACCAGGCAACAGCAGAACGAGGCAGGCTGCACAGGAACAACAAAATACCCCGCAGCCCAGCACAAGCCCCGCCCCCAGGGCACAAGCCCCGCCCACAGCACACTGAGGTTAAAGAGGGAGACTCGGAGACAGAGCTACAATCCCGCTGGATTAGCCCCTTTCCCTCTCTCTATCGGGTCGACAGGATCGTGCTCACAGTATTCAGATAACCCTGAGCGTGCAGATGGTAACCATGTGAGTGCGCACTGCCACACAAGAATGCACCCGTTCAAATCCCCATGACCCCCCCCCCCCCCCCCCCCAGCGGCCCCCACACACATTTATTCAACACCAAAGTGCTGCAAAGCCACGTTTTAGGGAGCAATGAGAGGGAACCAGGACGGCCAATCAGAGCCCTTCACCACACTCTGTTTACAGTCAAACAGGAAGCAGCCACAGGTTGTTAGACCACTGCTTCTCAAACTGTGGGTACTGGGAAGATCAATTATTTGATACATTTAGAATCATTCTCGTCCACATTTTTGACCTCAGTTTAATTCATTATTACACTTTCTAATTAAGACCTAGGAAAGTCCATCAGTAAATATGATGGAACTTGGGAAATATATTTCTTGGTGTGAAAAGTTGTAGAACCACAGGTCGAACAAAAATGTATAATATACTTTTTTATTTAACAAAAAAGTGTAATAAGGGGAAAGAAAATGTATAAACTGACATTAAAATAACTAAGGTGATAAAAGCTGACCCGACTTGACTCACTCTGTGGCTCAAATGAGTGCCACTGAAAATCCTACACAAACAACCTCACAAAATAAACTAAATTAACGAGTGGAGTTCAGCGGCCTGTGGAAGCAACACTACTTGTTATCGGCTGTTCCAGTCAACTAGCGCCCCTGAAAGAGTTGGCGACATCATCAAAAGTGGCGGGTGTGATAGGATTCCTTTGTGAACCTAATCAATCAGGGTCTGTAGCGCTCTGCCCCGATGTGTTACAAAGCCCAAATAGATTTACAAATGCGCTGTGTTTGGAGGTGGGTGTGTTGCTGTTGGGAGGGGTGTGCGGAGGGATAAGCCCCTGCATAGGATTACATATTGATTTTAAACATATAAAAAAGCTTATCATATCAAACCGTAACAGGAAAAACTCGAGGACCCGGCCATGCATAAATCCCTTTTAGATGGCAGGAGGGCGTCCACTTTAAAACATGCACGCACACAGACCCACCTGAGGACCCCGACACCAGCGCAGATACATAGGTGAGAATCGGTAAGCAGATAAAGAGGCCATCGTGGATCAATTTTGAGGGAGCGAGACGAGAGAGCGTGGCATACAGATGGCACCTGGCACCGCCCCAAAGACGCACAAGCAGGGGGGGGTTTACGGTGCATGTCTGGGGACTGGACTCTGGCTCCCTCTGGGCTGCGACGTGCCCGTGTATCGTGCTGGTCACACTTATTTCTCATCTGTATACAAGCATGGAAGGGGCACAGAATGCTTAGGCTGGATTATGGAAGATGGAATACCCAACTTCCCCCTATGATATACACATGGAGTTTGTCCAACAGAAAGGGCAAAAGTATAGAGCGCTATGGCCTACGCAGTCAAATGTGAACAAACGAGACCACAACATGGTGTCTTCATCCTATTGGAACACATATTGTTCGCATACTCGCCCTGGGGGTCACTATTTGATGCTTTGGTCTGAGAAAAACATCAGAATCAGATTTATTTTATTGCCACTGTGAGCGAACAGTGGTCTGTGGTTCTTTTTCACTTTTCTGTCTGATAAAGCGGATCTTAACATGTGACCGTGGCCAACAATACATAAACGTGGAAACTAGTGATAGAAGAAAAAGGAAATAGTTGAATGGGTTTGAATAGAGTTTGAAAGTTAGGTAACCCAGCTTTCTATGAGCTTTCTGACAATACCGACATGTGTCTCCTACAGCCTGAAACGGTAAATAGACTGTTGATATGTACAGGTCTGTCTTTGCTACATGTTTTAGCACAATCAAGGCTTTAATATTGAATCTGTGGAGACTGAAAACAACGGTTTGTGATTGTGTGATTATAAATGTACCACCAGGTCAGTGCAGGAAATCCAATACTTTGCACGCAGACATGTATGTGACCTCGTCGGCTATTTAAGGATGATGCAACTAAATTAGTCACAGTGTGCTTCGCCCCAGGGCCACACAGGAGTAAGATTTCAGACGCTTCTGCAGTGCTATTGTTTGACTCGCCTTCTGGTCAAATAGGATGTGGCACTGTTCTGTGTTGTGCACCAGACACGGTTTGACTCAGACCTTTGTGTGTGTGTCTGTTTATGTGCAGTTAATTGGGCTGTTCCTGATTTGTTTCATGCAATACTGTATTTGTGTCGTCCCAGTACTTTGTGCGCCCACCATTGAATTATAGCACGTTGATGAGAACACAAAACAGCTTACTGGTCTTACAGATGATGTAAAGCATGGATGTGAGAATGAATCAAGGTAACAGGTGGCATGCGATATGAATATTAAGTATGAATGTATTAAGTCAAATATATAGCATGTTGATATTGACAGTGAACTTAGAATCTAGACATTAAAAAAGCTGATATTGCGTCTGCAGAAAAAAATCTGTATAAAAGGCCCAGAGGAACAGCTCAGTGGCTGAACTGAAACTTTGTTGATCTGAACCAGTATATTTTATATTTTTCTCTTTAATGACTACGTGCCTCCTGTTTTTGTCTGTTAGAGCCAAAGTCAGTGCCATGGTCGGGAAATTAACTTGTCCCTTAAATAAACGTAATAAATATATTTAAAAAAAAATACTTTGTCTGATATACAGCAAAAATCTAGTTTCATTGTTTAATGTTATTTTGTTTGCTTAAAAAAAAAAGTAAAGCCCTTTAGCCGCCAAAGTAGCAGAATTGCTACATGAGCTCCTGAATCCAGGACACTTTCTATACAGCAACCTGGCCTCCCACAAACGTTATTCGTTTTAGAGAGTGCTCCTTCAGGGCTTTTCACACACAACAAGTGAAGGGGAAGGGCCCCGCTCCACTGCAGGTCAAGTTAGCAATCAGAGTGCCTTTAATACCTTTGCAATGCTGCCTAATCGTCCGTCTATCACAGATTTAGACAAGAAAATAAAGGAACAAGGTACAACAAATGACTGTGTAACTGTGGTCAAAGCAACCAGAGGGGAGCAATTTAATTTCAGACATTGGGCTAAATAAATTACAAATGAAAATTGTTTTGTGACAGAAAAATTGCTGTCCTCTGAAGGCCGTGAAACGCGCCCATAAACTCAAGGAGGAACAAATATTCACACAAATAGAAACATTGATATCTTAAAGACTAATTTTCAGACTGATCCTGGTATAGCGACCAATAACACTTTAATGTTGTTCTTCTGTACCTACTAATCATTGACATAGTGGACCAAGAGTGGAAAAGTTTGAGGCAATTTTGAGGTTTAAAGTTTCCGCTGTAGCAACTATGTCATTTGTATCTGCCAGGATCTACTGGTCCGACAACGCCTCCTTAGAAGACGATTGTAAAGAACAAATAAAAAAATTTCAACAACATTCAAAGCCAGGGGACTCTCCTCTGCAGCCCGCTCCTATCTGTGGCAGCAACAGAAGCCCAAGCAGGTAATGCTGCTTTCCTTGGGGGAACGAAGGCCAGCTGATAAGTTAGACGGCGGCAAATCCAACAAGTCCAGATGAAGGAGGAGAGGGGAGAGTTGACACCACACAACACCATCACACCTCCGCTCCACAATTCTTTCTATTCGCACAGGGACACGGCTTATGTTACTGCGCAAAAGGCTGCGAACAGACAAAAACATGAATATTCCCAATCTCTTCTCGAGTGTCTGCGTGGTTCAAGACACAAAGTAAAAGCAGCGCAAGACAAATACGAGGAATAAATTACAGTATTTGGAAAGCAAAGCGAAAATGCTCCATGACAAGGAGAGCCATGAAGCAGAAAACTTAAATCCTTCCCTTTGACTGCAGATGAAACCGCGCTGCAGTTCAATAAAAATAAATAAATAAAACGGCCCGGCAAAGACAGAGGCAAATCAGCAGCGCCACAACTGGCACGCATGTCTGCTCCTCCGACCGCCCCTGCCTTTCTTGCTAATTACAATTGATTTATTATGGACCAGGTAGCTTATCAGGTGCCCAGTGTAATTACAATGGGTGTCCGAAGGCTGTATGCAGAGGTGGGGGTTTGGGGAGCGGGGTTGGCGGTGGTCAATGTCGAATGGCAAAATCAATTAGCATTGATTTGGCAAAAGGTTCATTTTGCCAAAGAGGACGGCGTCGAAGGGGATTAAACTTGCCTGGCCCCTTGACAACTTTGATGCGACACAATGGCTGCATTCCTGGCTGCGCCGCAACAGTTAACAAGCTTTCGATAATTTACCTGCATTTGTATTTGAGTCTTTTCTCTGCGCCGCTGTGGCTAAATTTCAATTCGGGCCCCAGCTAACCACGTCGAGGAACGAAACAGATAGCATTGATCAAATATCAACGAGTGAAATCCCTGGCAAGCGCACATCTTAATCCTCATCAAGAAGTCAACACGGAATTTCAATCACCCGCTTTAGACACAAATGAAGCAAACATCTGGACAATACGCACAAAGCAACTCGCGTTTGCATCGAGCGCTCAACAGCAGCTTCCTGTAAAAAAATAAATAAAAAAAAATTGGGATAATCTTGCTGCTGTGACAGTTTCCCGACATAAAAATATGTTTGAAAAGTAAAACAGTAGGTGCAGTCGTTATGATTAAATAAAGCGTCAACCTGAACCTTGTTAAGTTTCTCTGTCAGCATGTTGTCAGATTATTGGGTTTGCTTTTATTTCCAGTGACTGACGTTAATCCTCGGCTCCTGCATTGTACAGAATTTTAATTTAAGTGGTGCTAGCTGCTTTTGCAAATGCAGTTAATGGATAAAAGTTGAGAATTGTGATTGTCTGACACCTGGCGGTTCTCATTAAAGTGATACGGAGGTGTGACTTACCCTCGATGGCCAGCATGGCTCGCAGCTCCCGGTTCAGCAGCTCAAAGCGCCTCTCCAGATCATGCTCTTTCTCCCTGTGGCAAGAGTTGCGGAGGAAACAACACAGACGGTCAGCGACAACAAACTTCATCAATATGTTAATGACGAAATCATTAAGCACTTAAAGAAACCTGCAATAAACATTGATTGTGAGAGTCGCCAGCACCTGCACTGGCTTCACATTAATCTACTGCACACGGCTGATACAGAGCGGAGAGCCCTGGGTTCACAGCACAGAACATTTCAATACATGCAGCGATGAGGAGGTAGTACTCTGACCCATATGTGGCAAGAGCTCTGTTGTGTGCCGCTTCTCTGTCTGCTGCACACTGGGGGAGTCTTGCACAGTTTTTCCAGTGTGGTTTTACTGCAAATGGTATATAAATTCTTGTATCTTGAATCTATCTTGTATCTCTGAGGTGGATTGGGATGGAAAACTTTGGAAAAGTTTGTATTGTTCTTTTGTTTCTAGAAATTAAAATAAAGCAAATATATTTATGATAAACAGGGGGTAAGGGCTAATGATGATATGCCAGTTAGTTATCAAGATATTTTAGAGGTTATACACAAAGCCTTATTTTAAGTATTTTAAAAGGAAAAATAATATGCACACTCCAAGCTCACTTATAGCTCATCGTTTGCTAATATCTGTGTACCTTCTCACATTATGGAGATATTTTTAACAAATTGATACTTTTGAGTTGAATATGCGTGTGTATATTCTAGTACTTGTTACTAGGTACAGGAGAACTGTTTATACATACTGTAACTTCCATAAATGCAGATTTAATTTAATCATAGCAACTTTTAAGTCTAAACATACAATGACACATTACTGTTGTGATTATCCTTAATGATGTGATCAGTGACACATGTGGAGCCATGTAGAATGAAGAAAACCTTATTCAATTCAAATAAAAGGTAAGAAATGTAAAAGGCAGATATGACCTTTACCAGTGTGTGATCCTGAGCGTGCCTCATGAATCCCTCTGGTATAACTGTGCTGCACAAATTAAATTCCAGCTTCTTTCAGACATATTTTAAAATGAGCTCATTTGGCCGTTAATAGAATGTGTCCTTCACAGGCGTCTTTTCTGTTCGCCTTCACAAAGAGAACAGAACGGGCTCATAATCAGGCCCTCTGTCAATTGGCCTCATACACTTTAAATGGCCCTTTCCCACGATGTAATGTGATTATGAATACTTCAGGCGCCGCACTTGTTCAGATCTCACATGAAGAAAAGTGTGTGTCACCTGCCACAGCTGACCACACACAAAAAGGTTGCTATAGACTCGCCTTTGCTACGTTTCTATTGATTTCATATCCAATCCACATGTCAATCAATGAGTGTATAGACACAGGGGGCGCACAGGAACAACTCTCCTGGGCGGCTAGAACGAGAATCTTGCCATTTATTCATTTCAGATCACAGAAACAGCCATGGAACATGCAGTTGGTCAAAGTGAAGTGCCTCAGTAAACATCAGATCTCTTATTTTGTCCCAAACATCTGCCCATACACATAAAACATAAAATACACTGTATGTGGAGAGCATCATTCATAATTTCATAAAGTTACTAAAATTACACTTGAAACCCTTGTTGCCTGTCTTCACGTTCTGCTTTCTGATTGGATGATGGGCTTTAGAATCATAAACAACTTGAAATGAAGGAAATCAGCATCACACTTTGATCAGACAAGGTTATATATGATTTCTACATGCTGACCTTGTGTCTGGGCACAGAGATGTAGATGTAATATAACATCAAAATCATTGAGGACAAGGTGTAAAACAGTGAAGATAACAGGTTAAAATAATCAAATTTCAATGTTGTTAAATAGAATAAGCAGCAAGTTTTGACACAGATGTTTTCCTGTTGGGGCACGTGTGGGTTTGAACTGCTGTAAAACAGTGAAAGTCTTTTTAGAGATGATAAAATAGTAATTTAGACTGTTTTTAAGGGTATTAAGAAACTATAGGAATAGCTACTGCAGCTAAGTTTCAAGTTTGCAAAACTCTGTATTATGTGTGACTACTGAAGAATAACTCCAGTTTAAAGTGGTGAAAAGGTTAAAAATGACTTGTACTTGTTGACCTACTGTCGGGGGACACATACATCTGTAATAATGACATACTGTCCCTTTAAACTTAAGTTGCACCTTTGCACATTGTTCTAACTCTGATAAACGTGAATACAGGACTGATGTAAGGGTGACAGGTGTGAGATACGTACAGCAGGGACAGCTGGTTCTGTCTGCGGATGAGAGCGTTCTTCTTATTGACCAACATAAACCACTCCTGCATCATGGATTCCTCCTCCTCCTTGTTGTTGCCTGAATAAGCAAAACACAAAACAAATGTGTGAGCTCCAATTGGATCATAAGGGTTAAGGTAAATATGTCAAACAGCAATTATGGAAAAAAAACCTATAGAGGCCATATAATAGAGTGTAAATATTAGGGCCATATCGGTCTAAACACCACGATAACAGCTCACACACTTCACATGCTCAATGCTCACTTAAGTGTGTATGTTGGCTGTGCAAACATTCACGCTTCACACCACGACTTCACAACGTCAATATGGCTTCAACCAGGCTGGGATTAACTCCACGATTACAGTCAAGCCTCTCAGTGTCGGCCAATACATATCCAGCAATAACTCAGCAGGCCCCCACGACCGACCTAACATGCCGCTCCAGTCTCCCGTGCTTACAGTAATACCTGCCCGGCCTGCGGTGAGTTAGCAAGCCTCTGATGCATGGCTAATATAAGCTTGGCCTTCGCCTGCAGCTAAAGCGCAAGCTCCGAGTCACAGGCTTCAGTGGGATACACGCAGCTGATACTGGCACTGCACAGCAACCAGAGAGAGATAAATGTTAGCATTAGCAGGATCATAGCGGCTACAGTGGAGACCATGGGATCAGCGACTAATCTTACAAATACGATTATCACTAAGAAGAACAATTATAACAGGCTTAAGTGAATTCATTTAAATTAGTAATGTATTTCATGTTTCGAAAGTGACACCAACAACTTGTTTATTAGAAAGATACAGCCCAGTCCTCATCCTCTCACATGTGGGTTTAGGTTACATGATTAATTGCAATCAAATCGATATTTATGTGGTCACAATAAGCAAACTATATGATTTCTTTGCAAAAAAAATGGACTGAAGATAAGCAAAACATCACTGGAATTTGGAAAAATGTCTCATGTTTTGAGTTTACTTTGAAGATTTATCAATGGAAAAAAATCAAGAATCTTTGCTCTTCTTGTTGGGCAGAAGTATTTCTCACATCAAATTTGACATTTCATCATTGACATAAAGCATGTCCAAACCAAGGTGCGTGGGCCAAATGCGACCCGCTGTGTAATTTTATTTGGCCCTGTGCGTATCCATTGACGCACTTCCACAGCCAACTTCAGCTCCATGTGGTATAAGCTCAGAAATGTTGGAGTCCAGACATTCACTTTGTTTGTATAAACTGTGATTGTGCCACAATGTGGGGTAATGGTGTGAATCAATAAAGACATACAGTTTCATACCCTATTTTAAAGCCCAGAGCAGCACGTAACCAGTCAAAACAATCCATGTCATCAGCCCCTGGTCCGGTGAACTAAAGTGGCCCTGCTACTAAAAACTTTAGACGTCCCCAATTTACATAATTGATGAAAGGCAAAACTGTCAAAAATGTGGCCTGAGGATAGGAATTTTATGCGAAAAGATTAAAGCTACTTACCAGTAATTCAAGTATTTATATGTATATATCTGCATATTAGGTAATCTCTTCATATGAGAGTATTTTTTTCATTTTATCTCTTGGTCAGAAATATGATGCAAAATGGTGCAGCGTGGGTAAGAGGAACCGAGCAGTGTAATAAACAACACTTTGGAAATCATTCAATTCTCCCTTAGCTGCTCCTTCACCAATAAACCTGAACAACAACAAAATCCCAGTTTCCTGAACGGTCATTTCAGCTGGGACATGAGCAGAGGCTTTATCAGTAAAAGCAGTGTTCAAGCGTTCTACATCTGTGGGCGATAAAATGCAAAAACAGATCAAAGATCATCTTATACGAGCTTTTGTATTTTATCTACAGCTTTCTCACTTTCTCTAGAGACCTGGCTTTGTCAATATGGCAGCCATTTAAACGAAATAGTTGTGGAAAAATGAAATGGCCCTAGCACTTATAGAAAGTTGGAATATATGAGGACGGTTGGTAACGACATTATTGGGGGTAACATATATTCGTTTGGTACTTTTCATAGCGTTGGCAATGAAAGGCAGCCAGGAGAATGTGTGTGGACACAGGAGATACTCTGAGCCAGCAGATGTATGTAATTTCATTTAGGAGGATAGAAAAGAGGGGCGGGAGGGGAAAGGGAAAAGTGCGAATGAAAGAAAGCTCTGGGATTTAGCAGAAATCGGGGGCTCGTGGATTACTGTAGTCAACTTTGAAACGGACGACACTCGGAGGGGGGATAAAGCCGCCACTGACAGGTCATTGTGTTGCCTGGGAGTCAAATAAAACAAGCAAATAATAATGGCAAATATTAAGCTCCAGTGACATTGTGGTGAGGCGAGCTGAAGACGAAAGGGGGATTATAAAGCTATATCCCCCACCGCTCGGCAGCCGGCAGCCACCAGCCAACCACTGGTCCCATTTTGTGAAAAGGAAGAAGGGGAAAGGCTGCAGAGAGCAAGGAAACGCGGAGGTCAGAGGAAAGGTAGCGGGAAGGACAGACGGGACAAGGAGGAGGAGAGAGGGGGGGGGGGGGGGGTCTGTGGGGGGGCAGGTGAGTGATTCAAAGAGGAGGAGACTCGACAGCTGCTACACTCTTCCTCCCCAGGGCTGACCCCTGACATCCACTCTACCTGACTCTTGGAGACGCACACAAGTAGATCTGCAGCATTAATCGCAATCACAATTTTAGTAGACGCAATTAGAACATCTCAAATACTGCAATTTTGCAAACAGAAAAGGGGCAACTGAGAAGCAAACAAAACCACTTGAATTTGAGAAAATATCTCTTGATTCAAGTTTATTTTGTCAATGGAATAGTATGTTCTTGTCGAGGAGAAGATTTTTCAGAATCTATATACCATCACAACTCTAATAATCAAATAAGCATTTTCTGAACCAAGTGGGAATTGAGTGTATGCTATTTATGTAACTCTTGGGTAATCTTATTGTGAACAAAATCAGACTGTTTAAAACAAAAGATATTGCGCTGTAATTAGCGATTATTTGATAATTGATTATTTGGCAAATTATTCTTTGAAACATTCTCCAAAACACAGATCAAGAGATGCCCCTGGAGAACATCTTCATAGAGACGACTGGTTATCTCGATAACCAAATCAATTTGGAAACATATTGTCATTTAAATCGTACAACCTTGTCTCTTTTTAAGTTGATGTGATGTTAAAAAATTATTGACAACTAAAAAAGTGGGCAACAATATTAATAACTGATTAGTTGTGATTAATTGATTCACTTGTCTCAGTCATAAGACATTTATTTCTGATATTTAATATTTTCAGGTTTTATGCCTATATATAGTCGCATTTTGTTCAATGCAAGTTTTGCGAATAGTTTATGCCAGATACATAATCATTTTGACTGGGTTCATGTTTAGTCGACCAAACATTTCTTCCAATCAGAATGGTCAGGAAGAGAGGAAGTGTTGAATATTGCGCATCATCAAGACAAAGGTGTAAATATCTCTGGCAAACGTGGCTAACTGTGTCTGTGAATCCAGCCCTGGCTTGGCCTCGCGGTGGATCCATGCTGACTCTCAGGGGGACGTATTGGATCAAAGCATCTGGCGTTTGGCAGGAGGCAGTCGGGGTCTTGCTGCTCGCCTCACAGGCCCTTTCTCTGTGTTCGACACCGAGCAGGGCGCGAAGGAAACAGGCCAAAGTCTACAGAGACAGCGAACAAGAAATTTGGCACAGGTACAATGTTTGATCATGACATCAAAGGATTAGAGGAAATATGTCTGAGGTGGATACGTATTCCCGATCCCGCAAGAAACGTTATCGCCATTAATATCACCTTTGCTACTTCGCCGTTATCATTTGTGTCGACGATGGTGAGAAACGCACAAAAGATACAATCAATTTCCGACACATATGCACACAGTCACTCTGGCAAGATACAACTGATACACACATGGCGACAACTGCTCTATCTGATTGCCTGTCTGTGTGCTCTTGTTTCACTCTCTCTGTCTCGCACACGGAGCTGACCGGATTCAATGACACAGGCCCACATTATCCCTATACGTCAGGAGGAAAGCCTGCTTAGCATTGCCGATTGTTTGGATTGAAGGAAATCAAAATGGCACAAGGGAAGAAAACGCTTCAGTGAAAAGAGAATCAGAATGAGCTTCAATAGCCAAATAAGATTAAGATAGTAATCTTGGCCACTTTTCCTCTGGTTCAGAGAGAAATAATGAAACCGTCCCCAAGGTGGACAGAGCAAGGCTGATGGAGGTGACCGATTGACTTTAACTTCTATTACAAAATGTCCTAAAGAATAAGAAGGATTAATTAATTGAATTAGAATTGATTGTTTAAGTTTAGATTCTATCATTTCTACACCATGGTCCCAACCGCTGTAAGAAAAATTCAATATATACTTTGACTAATAAAGCCACACAAAACACCATGGGCATGGATAAAAAAACATTTAGATAAATTAGGATAAAAATATGAGACACAAACAAATTCCAGGAGTTAAGCAGCCCTTCTACAAGACTTGAAATATTGAAATGTAATGACAAACACAAACAATACCGAAGACCAAAGCTCGCACATTACTTATCCAACTATTTTGTCATTTAATCCAATAGCTGTTAATCCAATTTATCTATTAGTCATAAAGAGAGAGGAGGAGAACCGGTGAAGGAGGAGGAGTGTGAGGGAGGAGACCCTGAACTTCTCTTCTGTGTCAAAGTCCCCGTGTTTTATTTCGGGACGCGTTGCACCCGGCTGTCGCTCCCATGGCTGGCTGGCATCTGAGCACGGCTCCGTCTGATATCAGCGGGGATCAGACAGATGAAAGCCAGAGATGCATGAAAGGCAACGGCGAGAGGAGGAATAAAAAGAACAGGATGAACATTGTTTCCTGTGATTAGGTATAGAGCTCGTTAAAAGGCTGTCACTGCAGCGACCTGAATATGCATGACAGGGGCCGGCCTCATCACAGAGGACGACCGGAGGGGGCGAATTGTGCGTAAGTAGCCGAGTGAAGTCTTGATTTAATTAATGTGAGTACAGGCCTGTCTTATTAGGGGAAGAGTGCTACTTGTAGGGAAGGAAGAA